TTTTACAATTACACGTCAGAATTCTGTAAAACTAATGGCATATGGCGTAGGTGTATATTGCTAATAAGACATAAGATTTTAAAAGTCCAAATTAATTTTGTAGCTTTTGAAAATAAAACATTTAAATTTATACGTTAGGTTTTGTGTTAATTTTGTTGAAATGTTAACAGTACAAATTTAAATTTGTTTTACACAATATACAGAGTGTTTTAATTTACATTAGAGATTTGTGGTCTAACTAATTTTTAGCCAAAAATTTAATTTGACCTTTTTTTTGTCCCAAACAAATATTGAGAACTCCTCATTGGGAGCCATTTGTCTCCTAGTTGTTGTATATTATTCTAATAGACTGGTGACTTGAACGACCTCGGCGTGGTATCGTAGAATAGCCCGTCATCTTTGACGGTAACAGTAAAATAGAAAACCAGCGCTTCGTTATAATTACTATTAAAACGTTTTGGGCAATATTACAATTATTATCGTTTTGTGTTATCCTTCAGAACCGTTAAAACGTCGACTGACTAATATTCATATTATGCAGTTAGACGGAGTATGGACTCAGTGGTCCAATCGACGAGCATTTCGTATAAAAATATACCCAACATGAGATTATATGAAAACTAAAAACTTTTTATTTGCTAAAAGCCTCAGAATTTAAAACGTTTTGATATGCCTAAACATTTTTAACCCATAATTTTGGATAGTTAATTAATTGAAGTAGGTGTACGTTTTAAAAAAAATAACTATGTTAAGTGACAACATTTTAAATCGTTTAGATTTTAATTGATAAAAATCACCCAAAAAAAAATATGGACTACCAAAATGTTGTAGTCGACTTTACTGAATAAATGACTGAAATTTTAATTTAGTCGACTTCAATTTTAATAGACTTAAACAAATGCATTTATAGTAATTAGTAATTTAACGAAAAACTGTAATTACTAATACTTACTTTGATGTATTCCAACATTTTGTAGTCGTATTTTAGGCATGTAAAAAGTTAAACTGGAAATTTGCAATTCCCGTTCTATTAGTTTAAAAATAGATTTATTAAACAATTAATTATCAGACTTGTAAGGCCTGAGAGAGAGAGAAGCAACTTTATTTAAAAAAATCAAGCGGGCTGCCTAAAACATAGGTTGCCATATAAGACACAGCATACTAGATCAATACAATAGTACATAACACAATTTTTCTTTTAACATTGATGGTAATAATAGTAACACAGGTAAACATAGATTCTTTAAGACAAAAATTAATAAATGAGTAATAAGACTAATAATCCAATAAATGGACGATTGAATAAAAAATACAACAATTACGTAGAATATAGGTGGAAATTGATAATATACAATGTGTCCTTCAGGACTAAAAGACACATCTTACGCAGTTCGTCGACTGCTAGACCGTTCGCTTTGAAGAATGAGACTAGCAGCGATAGGTTTTTTAAAAACTAAACAAATTAAATTTAAATTTAGAACTTATTCATGTAATGTTTAGAGAAATAACGATATTCTGAAGACCTTATACATTATATTATAATATTTATATGACATCAGTGGCGTATTTATGGGGGGTGTATAGAGGACCTTCCTTGCCTTTTTTTTTTTAAAGACAAGTATGCACAGAACAGATCCCGTATTCTCTTATCTGTGAGTGACATTACAATAATAACAAATAAATTAAAAATACGACCATCCTGGCGAAACTGGGTAAAACCTTATGAATAAAATAAAGTATAAATACGAATAATAAATATAATATAATAAATACGTATTATTATGTTCATTGTTATTAAATGCCTTACTTGGGAGTAGCTGAAGTGAAAAGTTTACATGAGCTGGAGGACAATTATTATTTTTGGGGTACCTTGCCCCTAAAAAAACTAAAAAAGTCTATGATACTTTAGGAAAATTAATATTTAAGCTCCAAAAGAAATATTTCATATCCCCCTCCTCGAGAAAATCCTATATATGCCTCTGTATGACATACCTAATAAATATTAAATGTTATTTTTCTAGTTAATTTACCTATATAGTTATCATTTTAATAAAAGATTTTTTTTTTTTAATAGTCGATCAACCGAGCTGGGTTATTTGGCAATTTTTGCACATTTTAATTTCCCCATATCTGATGTCAACGTGGACAGCGGTCAACGGGTGACAATAGTCAATAATATTCGGGGTGTACATTTTTAAGAAGTATAAAACGGTTTTTGCACTTTAGTCGCTCATTTTTGGCTAAAAAAAAATACCTACATCTGTGTATTATATATTATTATAATATATTAAGTATTTACATATTATAATATAATTGTACCGTGCCTAGTAGCGCGAATGGAGACGAAATTTTATGCGCAGTTAAATTATTGTACCAAATATATTATTATATACATTGTACACGCACGGGTCCCCGGTCAAGGAGGATGGGTAACGTCGAAGTCGTCGGTTTTTGTTTTTTCAAGATCACAACCCATATTATTAATGTGTGTAATACTTATGTATATAGAAATTCAAATATAATATATAACGCTGGATGTCGCGCTTAACGAAACCGTGGACACATATTAATTCAGTTCGATTAAATAATGAACAAAAAAAAAAATGTTTTATTATCGGCTAAAAAATTATACCACGGAAATACATTTATTATATTAAATTGTATTTTAGTATTAGCTTATAGGCGTCACGCCGCAATGGCGTAGGTAATCAGACGAATCAGAATGCCAATGCAACACATTTTATCAATGAACGACGTTATAACTGTTATGACTGTACAACTATTATTATTATTATTATTATTGCTGCTGTACGATTATACGACCCGACGCGATAATAATACATATTATGTAATACCGAAGAATTTTTCAAACAAAATATGTATTATTCAACGGTAATATAAATAAAAAACGAACCATTGATATAATATTAACGAAAGCGAATTTTTTAATATACATACGGCTGTGACTTTTTACAGTAAATCGTCAGGAAGTCAGCGAAATTTTTTTTGTGTCCAGAAAAGTCCTCTTCTGTAATATCATAATAATTGATTTATCAATATTAATAGCCGCAGTATGTACTAACGGCGTTAACAGTGGAATTTATAACGGGAGGAGGAAAATTATAGAACCCGACCGATGATTACACTCTAAAGCGATGGTTGTAAAACAAATCGATGACATTAATATTAATACTACCTTACACATATAAAGGAAACTTAACCCGAAATAGTGTTACCCGGATATTGGTTATCAGCAACGTTGGTAATGATTTATTGTTTGATAACAATATGTATTTTTTTAATTATTACTTGTATACGGGTGAACATCAATAAATAAATACATAATAATTGAAATCCGGCGATAAAAAAATATATATGGCGAGACCTAACCCAGTTTCATCATTATGATGATTCGACTTAACGGTCGGCGACCAAACGGCAAACCTGGAATTTTTTTTATTTAAATAACAAATAATAAGTAATTATTGTTGGAAAACAACGAGTTCTTTGAAAAAGGTAGGCGTAGGCATAATAATAATGTTGTATTTCTGCATTATTATTAAGCTCATCAAATAATTTTGTTCTTGAAATAAATTTGTATTTACTGTTTCAAATAATGTTTTATTTATTATCGATTTTTATTTTACCATTTCGACAACCGCAGCCATTTAATGGGATTTCAAATTATATAAACTTTTTTTTGAATTATTATTTTCATTCTTATTAATTTAAATACAGAACTTATTTAGATAAAAATTAATTTAAATCATTTTTTTATCTGTTGTTTGATTTTGTTCGAATAAAAATAAAACTTTTAATTTAAAAAAAAATGAATATAATTTGAAAACCTTAACTGGTAAATTAATAAATCGTTTACCATAACACAATAAACTGAAACTCTATTATTGACAACTATTTCCTTATTGTTGAATCAGAACTATAGGTATGCAGGACCAGCTGCATTTGTCTTGTTTAAAATAATAGTTTTTTCATAGAAATTATTTGATAATCATATATTTTAAGATCAGGATGGGTTTTAAAAAAAGTCTGAAAACGTTGCCAATATGCTCCAAGATTAATTTCTATTATTAATTCGCATATCTAAAATGTTGTTTATGCGAGAACGACCAACACAACTTTTTATTCGAAAATCAATCCATATCTAAATCCATGACGAAAAAAAAACAAAATTATATACATATTTATGAAAAAAGTCCAAACACCATCAGATTTCACTTAAAAAAATTCCCAAAGACCCGTGGCCTCCCCAACCCAACTACAGCTGATAGTTTTTCTCCAACCAAAAGTTACCACGAGAATATTATTGGCTCGGCGTGGTAAAAAAGATTCTCGTTTGAAATATTAATTAATTTTTTTTCTTCTATATTATCATCACCATAATACGAGTTTGCAGGCGAAACGAAAGAAACGGGTCAAGAATGTTTAAAGGTTAAAAAAACATCTGTTTCCAATGCTAGACGGGTGTATAATGTACAATATATACACATACATATTATGGGTATCAAAATGATTAAGTGATTATACTTAAGAAGGAAATCGATAATGGGTAGGAAACATTGTTTACGATTTACATCATCTCATTAAACAATTTCTATTTATTTATTTTTCAAATTGACATTCGTAATTATTTTAATTATATACTTTGTCTATATATATATATCCTATTATCGTCAATATCAACATTATAATAATATTTACACGATTTTTTTCACTTTAAATTGTACACATTTTTCATTTCGGTTTTTATAAATATATACATTTTTTTTTCTAAATACAAAACATATTTACATAGAAAATTTACAATTAAATACAAAAAATAAAAACAAAACAAACAAGTCGACTTTGATAGCTAAAAAGTAAAGTTCTGAAATTCTTAGATCTATAATTTTATATATATATGTATATATATACATATTTTTTTTAAATAATACAACAGATTGTTATGTATTCAATCGTTTTAACATTTTGAAATTTTAACGAAAAACTACATTATTTTTTTTCAACCTTAGCGTTAAGTGTTTTTTTTTCAATTAATAATTTGTGCTACTTATATTTTGTTTTTATTTATCGGCAAATAAGAAAGAAACAATACTCGTTTTTTTTTCAAATTTAAAATTACACACAACATTTTTCTCAAGTACAAACAAAACAAATACATAATAGTTATAATAATAATAATGATTTTTTTTAAATAAATACAATTCTGTAGCTCGGATACTTTGATGCAATAGGAACAAACCGTGTAAATCGGAGTACAAACATTGTTTAGAACAACAGGCTCTTCGCCAGTGCCTACAAACTTAAGAAATACAAAACAATATTACAAAAGGTCTTTTGTATTTCAATACTATAAGTGTGTACTTGCCAGTTATTATTTTTTTTTAACAATAATTGATGAAAATTGTGAAAAATTATCTATTCATGAAATAAAATGCCCAAAAAAAAAATTACTTTTTAAATATCATACTAAAATTTATCATAATATTATCAGCCTTACATTTATATTATTTGTAATTTTATTAAAATAAGAATAAACAAATTCTTCATTGCAAATAGATTTAAAATATTTTGTGTTTTAAAAACTAAAAAAAAAGGCAATATTATGTTTCAAGCACGATGACTTAAGCCTCAATTACACTAAGTGAATTTACAACACGTAAGTCTAGTTAAACGCATCGGCAACAAGTTACATTTTTAACGCTACTCGCAAGATATGTAGACGGTGTGTAATTTACACTCACAACAACAGTTGCTTACTGAAGACTTTACTTGCTGTCGATTAGCTGGGGAATTCTCCCGGTGTAATTAAGGCTCATCAGTAAAAAAGTTGTTGGGTATTGACTTGTGTTTAAAATGTATATTAATTCTAACTAGACACATTATCTTAAATACAAATTACAGTAGTCATTACTTAAATATAATTATTAAAAGTCAAGTGTAAATGTAAAAAAATATATTATCGTAACAATTGAGTGTGTTTAGCAATCATTTCATTTTTCTTCTTACTTTAAAATATACTTTCAATTCGTAGAAAAAACAACCAGAAACTCTAGAAGTGCTCAGTTTAACGGTTCTCATGGCATTATTTAAAACATTAATGTCCCAACATAAAAAAAAAATATACGTATAAATTATAATAATTTAATATTTAGTCTGTAGGCCAATCATTGCAGTTCTCAAAAAAAAAAATTAATAAGTTTTGAAAACTGAAATAAATACATAATATACAATTACATACATAATAATGGGGAATAACGAAAGAATTGTTCTACAACAACTTATTAATAGCGATTCTATACTGCCAATAGAGTGTTAATGAATTATTATGAAAGACATATTAAGAAAGAAAAAAATGCAATTATATATATATAGGGAGGGGGAAGTTTGAATTCTGAATTAGACCAATAATGATACGCGGGTAAATTTAGTTAAAAATTAAAAAAAAAAACAGAATCTCTAGCCAAAATGTTTTTTAAAATATGTATCATGTATAAGAATTATACAACATTAAACCTGACATGAAGTCTACTTAATAATAACAGACTTCCTATTTTTTTTTGTCTTATTTTTTTCATAACATTACATTTATCAAAATTAATATATTTACAGTACAAGTTTTTTGTTGTTTATATTTTTAGTACAAAATTTATATTAAAAATGAAATAAAAAAAAACTATTTTTTTTTATATGTATCTAACGTTGCTTTGACCAGTGTCGTCTATTATTGTTGTTATACCTGGGTTTTTTAAAACCGCCGTTGTGACGATAACTGTTGTGATTGGAGTGGTTGAACGATCTATAGTTATTATTGTTCTTCGATCGGTTCATCCAAGTGATTTTACTACGTCCCATTTTACCATTGAATTGATTCAGCTGATTGTGTAACAACTGCAAAGTATTTGTTGATCCGTTTTCTTTGGTATAGTGATTTTTATCAAATTTCTTTTTCTTTACCTGCAACACATTTAATTTGTTATTATACAAAATCAAAAGAAACTTTTATCAAATAATATTTTCCTTATGATTTTTTTTAAAAATATATATTAACATTATTAAAAAAACAAATATTGTGAAGCTATTTATTTAATAGCATTATCAACAAGACAATAGTTAACAATTGTTCAGATCTTTTTTTATTAGATGATTTCATGGCGCTAAATGGAGTATCCGTGACCGAGTGTCGAATTTAACTGGTGACAGTGAGCACCAAACACACTGACGTCAAACGCACTCAGCCACTACTCCTCCATTTAGTCTCATTTAAGAGGACATCATTTTCCAATTTTCCAACGTTAAAACATAGCTACACAAAACGCATTTTACTCACTCCATGATGTTTTTAGAGTAAAATATTTATAACAAAAACAAAAGATGACAAGATTTTGGTGACAATATTTTTGATAAACCTAATATTTAGCTGAATAATTAACATAAAAAATAAAATTTTAAAATAGCTATAATCTTTTTTCACAATGTTATTTTCAATATTGGATATAATATTGTCTCCAAAATTTTGTAATCTATCAATATTAAAATAGGTTTTTTTTGCTATAAAACAACCATGGAATTTCTGCGTTACTATGTTTAAGTGATAAAAATGTTTTAAATCGCTGACAAAGTTGCAGCAATAGTCCGAAAAATAGATTAACTATCCAAAGGAGTTCTAAATACTAAACTAATAATTACACATTACATTAAATTAAAATTTTAAATTAGGAATTTGGAAAAATTTGCCTATAGCCAACTCCTTGATAAAAAGGGGGGATCACATCCTCTTAATATTATTATCAAATAAAATTAATCAATCTAAGTATTTTTAATTCATGTTTTCTATAACATATTTCTACAAAAGACTTACAACTCCTCGGTCAAAATCTTCATTGTAATCGTCATCATAAGTACGTTTGAGTCCATTACTCCGTTCCTGTTCACAGTCTTTTTCCACGTAGCTCTTTTCCCCATTCCAAGTTTTAACTAAAAGTGACAAGCAAAAAAAATGTTTAAAAATTATGTAAATATCTTAATTAATCTAGAAAAAACTTAATCAACACTTGTGGTTGTAGATAATAAAATAATTATTTATTTAAATAAACCCCTAATCTCAAAAATAATACTCTATAGCGTAAAGTATTATTTTTGCGGTTAAGGGTTTATTTAAATATTTTATCTTTATCATTGACAAATATACAAGACAAACATTTATATAAAAAAGAAAAAAAAGGGAGGAAATGTTTTATTTTTTGATAAATGTTTAAAAAAGAATTTAATTATCAATTAAGTTAAATTTTACATACCATCTCCACCAAAACCTAAATGTGTTCGGTTTTTCATAGATTCTTTAAAGCTATTACCGTTTGATCTTATGTTACCATTAGTTTGAAAATCGTTTGAAAATTTAGGCCTACAGGGGGGAAAAAAGACAAATTAGAATAGTTATAAATATTAGTTCAAATAATATTATTAATATACTACTAACCAGTTTTTTGTACCATTTGAATGTTTGTGACTGTTGCCGTTAGATAACTTGCTCCTGAAAAAAAAATGTACTTATATATGTATATACATAAATTGTGCGTAGAAGATTAAAACTACCCGAAGTATTAAACTACTGTTTATTTTCAATGTAGTGACGTGGTGACAAAATAATACTAAACATTTATTAGGCAAAAACAACTATGTTTTTTTTTGGTTTGCATTTTTAGCCAATTTAAAAAAAGTGTTAACTAATTTTACAAAAAAAGTTGTTATTTAAATCTATGACTTACCAATTTTTTTCTTCGTTATGATTGCCATTAAGTTTTTCATTAGTCTTATTACAGTCTGAAGGTGATTTAAACCTAAATAAAATATCAAATTTTTTTTAAAAAAAAAATTACAATTATTTTGTAATAACAATTGATGTTTATAAAATATTAAAAAAAAAAACAATGTTTTTTTGTTTTGTTATCAAATTGTAAAATTGATAATTACTTAACAATGTTTACACTTACCCATTTACACCGTTGTGTTCTAGTCGGGTATTAGATTTATTCCCATCAAAATCGTGGAATCCGTTCGCCTCACGGCGACGGTTTTTTTTCTCAGTACAGTTTGTATCGAGTGAGTTCGATGTTTTGGCTACGCCGAAGCCGTTGTGTTCCTTTGGCATAAGCACCAAACATTTCTTTACAGAATCTGGTTCTGGTTTAATTTCTAATGGTTCTTCATCTTTAGGTTTCAGTACCAAACACCTTTTGACGGGTGTTAAGTCCTTTCTCTCGTTAGTCGGAGGAGAGTCTTCATGCGTCGGTTTCAACACAAGACACTTTTTTGTAGGTGTATCCTTCGTCACTTCACCGTTTGATTCTTCTTTGGGTCTAATCACTAAAGGTTTTTTATCTGGCACTTTTTGATCAGTAGAGGATTTACTTTTTGCCGCTACTTCGACAGTTTTAGGGCTTTCGTCACCAGATAAACTACTTTTAGTATCGCTATCGTCTTTGTCAGAGTCGATGTAAGGCACTAATCTGTTAAACAAGGAAGACGGTTTAACACAAGTAATCTGAGGTTCTGCAGTCAGTTTATTGTTGTTGGGGAATAAAGGAATTTTCAAATGAGACTTGTCCTTTGCCTGCCCTTGTTTGCACCTGAAATGATGGAAAAATAAATGATGTAATAATTGGATGTATCAAAAAAAAAAAAACTACCTAAACATGTATACTAACATGTTTTTTGGCATTGAATGTTCCAAACACTGATCTCAGCACAATTACGTATATTAATAGTTTACTAAAATGTAATGTAATCACGTTTGGTTTTTGAAAGCTTAACATACGACAAATATAACGACAATTTAATTACTACTTACGTTTTAATATGTGTATCCCATTTGTCATAAAACATGGGCTTCTTTTCTTTACCGTTCAGCGCTTTGATACCATTTACGCCGTTTAATGGTTTTGTAATGCCATTGGTGTTAGTTTTATCTAAATACATACATTTATTATTATATTTTCATAACATTCAAGGTTTAATTTTCTTGTGTGTAAAAATATGTACTCGAAAAAAATCCTGCTATTGGCGACTTGTAATTAGGACTGGCAGACGTGACAGTGGAATTTTTTATTTCGAATGTCGTATTTTTTGCACACGCAGAAGGTTCCAGCTCGTAGAATATAATGTACGAATCATGGCTGTTCGAGTAGTTTTTGAAATTTGCTTGACTAACCTATTAAAAAGTAGGTTGAAATGCAAATTAATAAATATAAAATAAACAAAATAATGATATATGTATATATCATGGCCAACTATACATACGCTTGAGTCGTTAAAGTAATAATATGATCCCGACGGCGTCAGACCAAGGGCAGTGTAATGTCCACTGTTTAAGCTCGAACCATAATGTATTACCATAGATACTAAACGATATCGTAGTGGTCTCGAATCGTTTCGATCTTTATGCTGATCGAACAGATACTTTGACAAGTCTATTCTTTCATTTATTTGCATAGCTTTACTATTTTTATTACCGCTACTAAAGCCGTGTAATCCGACACTATACCTACAAAAACAGTGATGAAAACACATTGTTATCAACATAAAATAATATTAAACAGATGCACTATATTATTAAATATATAATGTTTACCTTTTCAATTGAATACATAACACGTTCGGTGCTTTTTCTATTGAAAATTTTTTGTCAGCGGCGACTTGACGTCGACAACGTTCACAAACATATGATTCGTCTAAGGGTTCTTTTTCGAAATAATTGTTTAAAGCGTCATTGACGGTGTCCGACTGCCGAATGTCAAGAATGAGATCTTGGAAATGTTGAAACGTAGTAGACACATGTCTACATTTACCACAAGTAACTGAACAAAAAAAAAACCGTCAACATTAATTGGTTTTAAATGTTTAAATAAATTTGTGTTACCTTCTGTCCGAATGTAACCCCCAAATATTTGATTGATGGGTGTCGTTTCTTTAGAATAATTATCTAAGCTGTTAAAATGTTTGAAAAAATACTTTAATATTGTTTTCGTAATAAAGAAAATGATAATATCACTTACGACTTAGCCGCGAGCCCTAAAACGGACAAATAACATCTTTCCATACTTTCAATGAGGTAACGAAGAAACTCGTGAGCATCTTCTTGCCGATATGTAGATAAATGTTTACATATTACTGAAATAAAAATGAATAATAATAATTTATTGTTAAATCTTTCATAGTGATAATAAATAATCAGTAGTACATACGAGAAAGACGATTTGTAATGATGGAGGCCTTGAAACTAGAGCCAGTATGCTTCTGCGATAGTATAAATGTATCGCTCACCATGCAAACCGTGCAATCTTTTTGGAAGCCAGCTAAAAATCAATGTTGAAATGAGAAAACAGTAATCCGTTTACAATCAACAATATGTTTTTATTTGTAAAATAATTAAAAACCAAATAAAATGAAATTAAAACCAAAATAAATGTAACTGTTCTAAAAGCAAAAAAAACTTACATTTTTGCTGACACTTTTTTTGATGTTGCTCGTCGCTTGTTAACCAATTTGTAAATGCAGGAATGTGAAAAAGAGCCTGTAAGCAATTAAAAAAAAGAATCTTCAATATTACACAATAGATAAAGGAAAATGGGATCGTGTACCATATTTAAAGAACTAACTTTTTGGTGAAAAAAAAAAAAATAATAAAAAAGTTCTATAAAAAATATTTATACAACACCATTATTACATAAAAAATATCCTCTCAGCTTCGCATTGAAGCAAAAATATATTTATTTTAGACATAAATTACAATATTGCAATAATACATATTATATTTAGGTACATATAATATTAATTTGTCTAGGCAACTACCATAAAAAAAAACACAAAAATTAACAATTGGTAATTAAAGCAAACTACGTAAAATATTTGTAATCTAACCATTTTATATGTTTTAATATTTAAGCAATTTTATCATAGAAAATAAACTTTTTTTTTTATTGTATAATAAAATAAAATAGTTTTTATTTTATACTTTTGTATAATTAAGGTTGTTTCTCAACTCATTTATAATTTTTCTTAATTTTATAAAATAGTATATATACCAGACTGGTATGTGTGTAATGAATTATTTTAATATTGGTGAAAACTATTTAAAGACTTCTGATGTTTACATTTTACTACCAAAAAGTTTTCTGTGAAAACCATCCAAGTAGAGAAAGCTATAACAAATAATATCTTACCTGCAACGTAGAATTGATGTAACATATTACACCGGGATTTTCTAATCCGGAACCAACCGACATTTTTTTATCTTGCCAGCCGAGTTGAACACGCTCAGGAGGAAACAATATCACTTTGGGTTTGGGCAAATGAGACACTTTGCCATTACAATCGCCGTTCATCCGTTCAGGTTTTTTAACATCTTTTTTGTTACAACCATTTTGTAGTAACATAATACAACTATTTTTCATTTGGGTCAACATGGATGGCTTGTGGTCCAGCATTTCAAATTCAATATTTTTATCCAGAATTCGGCTAGAAGCTATATACAAATAGCTGGACCGGTCGTCAGCCACAGTAGTATGGTGAGTCCGCCTATCATTAACTTGATTGGACAGGGACTGGAACAAAGCAGAACCTATTTGTTTGCTTGCGGCAGGCATCATTCCAACACATCATACGAATAACACAGAATACTATAACAAACACATTAAAACTAAAATTATTAAATACAATTCTTAACATACCTAATATAATATATTCACACTTTCAATTGTAAGCACACAAAGAATAAACATTTATAAAAAAACAAACAGAAATATAATAATTAATTAGTTTTTAACAAAAATACAACAATAAATTCAGAAATGACCATAGGCAATTCAAATTTAAATCATGAAAAATGTTTTTTTTTATATTGATACAAAATACTAAGTTGTAATTGTTTATTCTATTACCTAGGTGATAAGCAAACAAAATTTAAGTATTGGTAATTGGTACCATAGGTTTTCAAACAATATATAATTTTATTGTTTTGCAAATAGTTACTGACTTTGTTGTATAATATGTTGACAAACAAAAAATAAAGAAGGCCACAATTAATTAAAGATTAAAATATGTTTTTTACATAACACATTTTTTAATGTAATTTATTTATTTTATTATGGATCTAAATATTGTATTATTAGTTAACCTATAATATATATTAATAGGTATATAAAAAAATGATTTTTCGATTAACTACAAAGCTATCGTATGGAATCGAACAAATCGAATGTGATAACTATTGTAGGAAATATCTAAGTAACATATGAACTATCTAAGGAAATGCTCATACGACCGAACACAAATTGTTACGCAACAACTGTGATGTTCAGTTCAATTGTGTTTCAATTTTGAAAACACATACCCAGTTGATATGTCTTTACTGCAGTGTGATTTTCTATTGAAATTTTATGGCTTTTATATTTTTAATTCTACCGTCCAAAATTACAGTGGTGAACCAATAGCCTACACTGTTTCGCTTGGGCCCAGATACTTTTGAATTTTGTTCGTAAGTGACCTTGTCTGGGCGGAATACTGCCGAAAATTGACCAACGGAAACATGCAATACGGTCCCGAGGCGTTTTTATCACATGGTCAACAATACTATGTACAAGGTTGGCAAACGTATCGGCCGCGTCTGATCACACGACATCCAAACCTGTCCCCCGCGTTCGATAACCGCGAAAAGGCGTTTTTCAAAATTGTTCAAAAGAGCAAACCGCCTAGATCCGAAATTGTACACACCGCTGCATAAGATAAGCACCGCCGCCGTATCGGACGACGTTGGAGGCAAAGGTATCGTGTTGTGTGTTAGAATATAATATTAACATGTACTTACTGCGGACGGCGGTATTGCAGTCGGTTGAAGACGGCTCGTGTGCACACGTATAAAAAAGTAAAAAAAAAATTTGTTTTTTATATAATTAGAACAAACAAAACAATACAATCACGAAATAGTTAAACATACAGAACAGAGAAAAAAAAACAATTAATTTTATTCAATAACTAAACGGTCGTCAAGAACGTTTGGATTTCACTTGATAATTTGTGTGTTACAATATTATTATGTGTTATACTACTGTAATAATTCGGCCGTGTGTAAAATAAATAACCTGTAAACTTAACCAGTTACCACAGGAGCCGCCTGTGCGCGCTACGATACTCGCGATTGTGTTGTGACCAATCGCCGTCCGTCGGAGCTCCCGTTGCTATGTCATGGAAGAAAAAAACAACGGTCGAAAATCGAGTTTGTTCGGTCGCAGAACTCGCCGGTCCGTAGCGGTTGTCGCTTGTGTCGAAAATGTCTCCCGTCGGAAGACTAGTGTTGCCGATGGGGAAAACGTCAGTTTCTATAGGCAAAACGGTAAACGACCGTTGGCCACTGGATCTTCCATGAAATGACGTCAGGCCGGTAGTAGCACGCCGGTGACGTACGCCGCCGCGCTCGTGGGTGGAAGTTGGAACGTACTGAACTCGAAATCGTGGCGGGGGCGTTCAGTCACAGTCAAACGTCAATTCACGGTAGCTCAGCTCGGTGCCACCGTTGTCGAATGGCGCGACGAAAATATACGTTGAGACTTTGCCGCTCTTGCCTACCGGCTATCTATTGTGCTGCAAGACATGCGACTCGAACAAAGCCCGCAAAGACAAAAGATTTTATGTTTTGAAAAAACGATCGGTCAACATGGCACGTGCTTATAACGTTGCATATGTTTGTGTTTGTGTGTGTGTGTGTGTCTTGGAAAGCGCTAAGTATTATTAATAAATAATGTTGTGTGTTCATAAAATTACTTGTACCTATAGTTAGGGCTGAAATTATAAAAAGTATTAATAACAACTTGGGGGAATGCCGAATGAGCGAAGTATAAAAAGTATACACTTAATTTGGTCCATGATGTTTTATTTGAACTTAAAAGCATAGAATAGATTAAAAACGCGTTAATTTGTTTATATTATAACAAAATATATCGGTTATGAACAAAATCAAAGACGTCGCTGTCACCAGCAAAAATCCGAATTTATATTGAATAATATTTATATAATTAACAATTTATTAACTAATCACGTTTTAGGTACCTTTTAGTATTTATTAATAAATTCGAGTTTAGAAAATAATAATAAAAAAAACGGTGATGATTTCATGAGATTATATTGTTATTCTATGTACTACTTGGCGTACAAATTTAATTTGAAAGTAAATAAGTATACTTATTTTTTTAATGCGCCAAATCATTTGGAGCATTCTCAAATCCCAATAGTGCCGTAAAATCCGGAAATATATATTGTCAAGTGTGATTATTCATTGTTAAATGCCGGCCTGCGTGTCCGACAGTTCTATTAAATAAATCGTAAATACCATAACTATTTAAACGTTTTAATGGTTATATTTTGCATTTTTTAAATAGCTTTGATAATAATATCTGATACCTTCGAAATAAATTATTATCTATAATATTCCGTTTATCAAATATTAATTACTACAATAGTTATGAAATGGGGAATTATAAATTACTTATAAATTCATATGTATGACTTACAATTTGTCCGGAACTATTAGAGCAAAATAGGGAGAGGGCTAGGGTCTTTTTAAAATTGGCGTTTTCCGCCAAGTAAGAAGTTAAAACTTTAAATATCTGGTTACAATTACTTACAATTTGTTAGGACTGATTTGAATAAACAATTTTTCGAGGGGGCTAACTTCACACACGTATAGATGCCAATATAAACGTGTATATTGCTTTTGACGTTTTTACAAAATGTATTTATTTTAAATGAATCGCTTTTTGTTAAAAGGGCACATGTTTCAACAGGTGAACTTTTGGGAAATTATAAAATACTGCATAAATTTCAAAATGTGGTAACTTTGTAAATAATTGTTTTTATGTGTATTATGACGTGCATAGTACTCGACATTTATACCAAATTTCGATACTGTAAAAATATTTAATTCAAGTTTATACTAGTTGAAAAATGCAAAAAAAAAAAATCTAACATATGCCCTTTTAACAAAAAGCGATTCAAATAGAAACAAAAACAGAACCTAATTTGTGATTGAATTACAATTCTCAATCAATGTACATATTATAATGTATGGTCAATCGTCAACAATATACGTACAAACATTGTTTGTGTGCGCATTTAAATTAATCTCTTAGTTGGTTGCGCGTATTATGTGGCGTACAAATTGCATCGAAAAAAAAAATATTATATTCCAATGTTTAAGCAATATTGAAATGATTAAATACCGTAGCTAAGATAGTAAAATGTTTCTGGGAAATTGCGGGCCACAATTTTGCGCTCACTGATCACACAGACGGTCGGTTGTAGCCTGTAGGACCAGGGGCAGTTCTTCCAAAAAATTATAAGAGATAACAGTGTTTCCAAAAGATAACAAAATTTTTATTTTATCAGCGTGACCAACCCCGAAACACCAAAATATAAAATCACAATCTGTCAGTCTGCCCATTCTATCAGAATAAAAGTAACTAAAATATAACTAACGTTTATCAGAGTTAACTGTTATCTCTAGAACCAAATGGCAATAATTCAAATGATAAAAAAAAACAATATATTTTAGGCTGACGCACATTTCCTGTTCGTGCGCCGTCATAACCGGGTGGTAACACTGTCACCAGTCACCCGTGTTGTTCTGTCCAGCCGGACGCGACCGGTTCGTACTTCGTTCGCGTCGCCGGAAGTCTTTTCTTCTCCGTAAACCACGTGCGACCGGCACGAGGCAAGGCGAGTCCGTCGCCTATGGACGAAAGCGGAACGCCTGCGACTGTGCTGTTTTCTGCTCCGTATCAAATCACCAGTTTTTTGGTTGTGACCAGCTTTCCCGTCGTCTTGCCGGACGGGTTGTAATTGTTGTTGACTGTTGCTGTGCCGGCTGAATTATTGTTGCCGTGGGCCGCTGTTCTTGTGCCGAATTTCTCGCTGTTACGCCGGTTTGGATCTCGGTTGTATGGGAGCGTGGATACAGTCCAGATCCGAAGAGTTTCGCCCGCTGTTGATTGTTGTTCATTGTTAATACCATAAATATTTTGTGAGTTTAAGTCTAATAAATAATTACTGTATTTGCAATTAGTACACTGTGTACATATGTTACTCTAGGACCTAGCTGGCATCTGCTGTGCAGTTTGGATAAGACAACAGGGGCCAACTGCCCGTTAGAAGCCCTTGTGTCAACATTTCCTGTTTACCGATTACAGGAACTACCCGTGATAAATTGTCAATAATTCTAGATCTAGGTATAACATAATGTTTTTGAACTATACCGTTTTAAATAACACTTTTTTCTAATAATTATTGCTTTATTCCACGTTTAATTCCGATTAAAATATTGGATAAAAAAACGTGCGGTATGCGCGGCAAGCAAGTGGAAAAATAATACAACAAACCTAACCTCACAACTAAGTTTTTTTGCTGTGTAAATTAAATTTAAAAAAACAGATAAGCTATTGTCACTACTAACATTAAAAATTCTTGAGACTGTTCTGTATGCTGGGTGGTCAATAAGTTCTATGAGACTATGGTTTGGATTTTGACTAATCGTCTGAAAATACAATATTGGTCATAAGTTTACTTTTCCGGGTACCCTTTTTATGTTGTTGTCATATGATGTATATTACGCTGAATATGAAACTGATATCAGAAATTGGCAGGCTCCTCTAGTTCAAAAGTTATAGCTACTTGAACTATAACCTAACAAACGTATTGAACGTAGGTACCTAAATAATTATTGCTCTGCCCTTCGTGGTCGTGTTTTTCAATTTCGATACGCGTCGCCGACTGCTTATCGCTGTTGCATCCGCCAGCAGCTGTGGAAAAGTTCAAATTTTTTTATCTCATGGCTTCTTTGTGCTTTCACAATATTTTGACGGCTTCCAGATTATACAGCTCCCACTACGGTAAACGTGTAAATTCATAACTTTCTATGGCTCCCTTGACCTACTCACGCGAACGGCCTAGCAGCTGTGTCGCTTTAGAAGTACAGCTATTACATATTTAGTATTACATTGAATCTAGTTTAGTTCTCGTTTATTTAGCAATAAACATGAATAATAACTTGTTAAAAAATTGTTTTTTGTCTATAACTCCAAAAACTAAGTATGACCAGAAATATCTGAAAACACCATTGTGGTGTTTATTGTAATACATTATTTTTTTTATAGATAACTAATAAATCTTTTTTTTTGTTATTAGTAGAAATACATGATATTTTTAGTGCATTATGCAAATGTACAATAATTGAAAAAAAGGCCAACTACTTGTGACAAAATGGCAGTCTACAATGATAAACAAAATAGAACACAGATGCTAGAAAAAATCCTAAAAATAAAATTAGGCACTTCAAGGGTATTTTATTATTATGATAAAGTATAGTAATGTGAGTTTAAATATAGTAGGTATAAAAAATTATATTTTTATATTTTGTGGTGTGTCGGGATTTGTTTAATCAGTCAACTTGCCAAATGTCGTTTTGTAGAAAACTACCTTAAACACACCGTACATTTGGTAATACTGTATTGAGTTAATCATACCAGTGTGCGGTGTGCTTAAAATAGTTTTCTTAAAAAATCTACAATGAATTACTCGAACTTCAGTACATGAGTCAACAAGCGTGTAACACTTACTTAAAATTTTTTTTTTAATTTTTGTATTATTGTTTGAATATTTTTTCACTTTGAGTGTCAATACAAGTATCTTATAATATACTAGACTTAAAACTGTATTCATTTAAGATACTAACAGTATATTACTATACAAATTTTGACAAACATAATTATTAGCTTACCTAACAAATTATAAATGTAGTTTTTATATTTACTTATCTATTAATATTTACTTGCCTTAATACCATTGAAATATTAATTTATTGTATAAATATCTTGACTTAACTGTAAGAGTGAAAATTTTGTAAACTGTTTTGAAATTATGTTGATGATGGTCGGGAAAAAATGTGTAATCAAATTTTGAATACCTAGATTAAAAAAAACTGTAAAATTTTTTTTTGCTAAAACAATCAAAATTGTACAAGTTGATCAGTCATTATATATTTGTAAATTTTGATGTTTAGTTTATAAAATATACTTTTTTTAACTAAAAATTATCTTTATTTAAGTATCATAAAAAATTGTTTTATTTTAATCAGTGTCAATTCACTGAATAATATATCATGTATTAAATAATTGTATATTTCTATATATTTTATACTATTTACCAGATTATTTCATGTGTCTTTAACTATTAAATATATTATTTCTATTATTAAAATGTATTATTTATTTAAAATGACTTATCAAACTTTATGAATTGTACTTAATAAACTATAAAATTAGTCTGAAATGTATACTGTGTTACTATAAGCACCTGTTAGACAGAAAGTCTACATTGTTTTTTAGAAATAAAAGTTGTTTTTTCTTGGTTAGCTAAATTATATAATATGATTCACTTATTTTCTCATAATAATTTCAATTGGGTAAAATTATTTTTCAAAACATATTTGTTTGTGTTATTTTACAACTGAAAACATGTTTTAATAACCACTTACTTTTTTGATGATTTTATATTAAATAATATTTAATTATGATAAAGATTCAAAGCTTATTAAGTATTTACCAAATGTGTTTTTTCTAAATCTGTTCTCATAGACACATTTACTCTCGAAAGCGAGTGATTTGTATCTGTATATTGTATAAGTGATATTATATAATGATGGATGTTAAACATATTGAATACTATCTTTGTTAGAGTATACAATGATATGTTCGATATAAATTTTATTTTAAAGTCCAGACATTGTTATCTTTACTTATACGTAGAGTCATAAGCAGAGTATAATGCAGTAAATAATTACAGATTCTACAAATAAATAATAAATTAGCCTTAGTAGATTTAACCCTTAACAATACCTGCTATTGCCTAAAAACTATAAAAAAAAATATATATAAAAAATGTCTTAATAACAATTGAATAGTTTTATAAATTATTCTATATTTTTGAGTTCATTGTAGAGACTTGATTATCGCTAAGTAAATAGCCATATTTAATGAATAAGTACATTGATTAATAAAATATGGGCTATGCAATCTTCTATCAAATATGGACATTTTCAAATCAAGAGATAATTGTAAATTGGCAAATTTATATTAACCAAAAATTAAATCATATTTTTTAATCGTTAGAATAACTATGACTAAACAAATTCATATTGTTTAGTTTAGTTTATTTAATAAAATTATATACCCAGAGCTTAATATAAACTTATTTTTGTAAAATATTTAGTGAATAATAATTATTTTAAAAACCTACTAATAGCTTATAAATAACATTCAGTCTTGCAAGGTATTTTAATACTGACATTTAAATACATTATTTGGTATTGAATACTATTTTTGATAATTCGTTATTAATATTTAATTGTTATATAATTAATAACGAATTTGTATGGTACGGGATTTTGTGTGGAAACTTATAAACTAAATATGTGTTTTATTCTAGTTATTTATGTTAGGCATTTAAACTACAAGTTCCGTTTTCCTTGCTCTAATATATACTTTAGGTACCAAATTTTGTTAATAATATATCTTCTAAAAGACAAGGTTGAAAACAAAGCTCATAAGCTCTTACCTGTATTCTTTAACTACAGAATACATATGTAAGATGTGGTAAAACTAATTTATACTTGACAGCCAAATTCTGAAATCGTCAACTAATTTGGGTAAAAAGTAAAAATAATGTTTTATTTAAATAGTAATATAAACAACTTGTGGGAAATTTCAATAAAATTGTTATTATTTTATACCAAATAGTATTAAATTATAACATATACTTTTACGTTATGTATATACTATACTAAAATGTAATTAATTTTGAATTTTACATGTGTAGCGTATATGATTTTAATTAGAGAATAGATAAAGATCTAACTACAATTTTTAATAAAGATAAAAACCTAACTAAAGGTCAAATGTTTTTGATATTAAAATACGAAATTTCTTTTGGCGGGTTTTTGACAAAATCGATGTTGGTACTGTCTGTACTCTGTAATTTACAGAATTTATAGGTTATGTAACATTTATTTCTTATCAATCGTGATCATTTTTTGGAAGAACTATCCCCAACTCATAATTGTCGGGTATTTTTTAATTTTTTTTTTATTGATAACCCGGAACTAGTCGGCAAAATATTATTACAGTATACAGATGTTTTGGACGAGCGTGGGAAAGTTTTTGGGAGTCATATCACTGTTACAAAACGACGGACGGGCCACTTTGACGAAGACTTTGAAAGCCAACTACAAGACAGGTCCGGTTCATTTATCAAAGTTGACAAGTGCTGCTTTTCAAAAAATGTCCGACGAAGTGGACAAAGCCAAATCTGCCGCACCCAGCGGCGGAGACACGATTTTCGGCAAAATACTCAGAAAGGAAATCCCGTGCAATTTCATCTACGAAGACGAACAAGTAAGTGTGATATCGATTAGCGCTCAAGCCTCAAAATATTGTGTAAATACTGTTGAGCCAAAAATGCCATAGGTAATCCGTGAAAATACTACACCGTCACATATGCGGGTTTTCAATGCTACAAAAATCGTTCACACGTACATACACGAATTCCAACAATACCAATTAATTATTATATATTAATTTTATAACTTTTTTTGATTCAACACATCTTGTGTTACAAAAGTTCTTCTTTCCATATGGGAAATTGTTATCAAGGTCAAAGTGTGTATAATTAAAAAAAAGTAAACCAGTAGATTGAGGTTTTGAGCCGGTCACTTGTCTACAGAAATTAATGTAACCGAGTGGATAAAATGTTGTTCTAACAAACTCTCTGACGTGAATCTGTAAATGATATAAATATTAATATTGATAAAAACATTTCTATGATAATAAATAATAATGTATTTAAAATTGTATTTATAGTGAAAGGGAATATTTGATTTGGGTCGATTCTCTGTCTATAATAATTTTGTTGCCATTGTTTCCAAAATTTATCGTAATTAGCCACATGAAACTTTTTTTGTGATACCCATTCACTGTTGATTCACACTCACATTGTAAGAAAAATGTATTAAAATCTAAATGTGATTACTAAATTAACAGTAACAAAAATGCTCTGAAGAAAAAAACTAAAGTATTGGTGGAAAATCCGATAGGAATTAATTAAGCTAATGTTATTTTGTGTGTTTAATAATCATGTAACTGTGAAATTTAAAATCTAGATTACAAATATTTTTTCTTTTGATATTTTAGTGTGTTGCATTCAACGACATAAACGCTCAAGCACCTGTTCATTTTTTGGTGATACCGAGGAAACCTATTGAAATGTTATCCACTGCAGATAGCTCCGATCAGTCTGTGAGTTAAAGAATTTTGATTTAATACATTTAAACAGTACTACTAATATTTCTGTTCTTATTAAGCTATAATTTTATTCTATACAGAAATAGGATTAAATTATAAGTATTGTACTCTTGTGTCTTTTCTTTAGTCATCATTACGATTAACATATAGCATAAATATTTAAAAATTGTGTGAAATTAAAAAATTAGCGTTATCTACTGTTAAAAATGCAAGAATAAATGAAAAGGAATTATTATTTTACAAAATAATATATATATTTCTTATTATTTACATAAAATGTATTAATAATTTTTACTTTTAATTTCAGTTGCTTGGACATTTAATGTTAGTTGCCAGCAAATTGGCCAAGGAACAGGGTTTAGAAAGTGGTTACCGTTTAGTTATAAACAATGGCAAAGATGGTGCTCAATCTGTATACCACTTACACTTACATGTTCTGGGCGGTCGACAAATGCAGTGGCCTCCTGGTTAGCCGTTAACTTGAATAAATTGTAAAAATTAAATTTAAATAATAAATATTAAAATATAAATCATGTTACAAAAATTGTAAACAATTTTTCTACAAATGGTCAAACACATTTAAGTATAAAAACTGTACTTGATACTTTTATGATAATCAATATAAGCTGATCAATATAAATAATTTACATTTTTTTGTTTTAGAAAATTGCTGTATTAATAAAAAAAATTTAAGTTGTGGCAAATAAATATAATAAAGCCTTAACAAACTGAATGATTTCTGATCCACCTAGTTTTGATTCTCCGTAGACACGGTCGACAAAAGTGATAGGGACTTCTCCAATTGTATAATTTAATTGCCTCGCACGTACCATCATTTCCATTTGGAAAACATATCCTTTCGATACACACGATTCTATTAATTTCTCTAAAACTGGTTTTTTGTACAATCTGAAAAATAAAATTACCCTCAAGCAGATTTACAAGTATATAGATTTAATTCAGTATCAATTTAATGGAAACATGAATTGAACAACTAAATCTGCTTCAAACAACAAAATATTGCCACTTTTTTCATTCTGCCATACAAATTTTTATCCATCTTTGTACAACAGTAATTTTTAAAGTAAATACGAGAAGCTTTAGTAGGCATCACAAATTTTTGTTATATAAAAAAAATGACATCATTTTTTTTCAATGCTCTTGAAATGCTTATATTTATTAAGCTGTTTACATACTGATTTTTGGTTTTTTTTTTATGAAAAATGTTTATAAAAATTTGTGTGCAATTTTTTCCAATTCTTTAGATTATATGTTGTATTAGATGAAATTGTAAAGAAATGAAAAACAAATTTACCTGAAACTTCCAGTAAGATCAGATACTCTTGGTCTTAACAACAACTGAGTTAAAAAATTGGCACCACGACTGACCAATTTTCTTTTGAAGTCCCAGCCATATACACCGCCATCACCAATGTATCTAGATCCCGTCACTACGTCATAATCATTTTCGGATTGTTTCTTAATGAAGTCAAGAATAAACTTAGGCTGCAAACATTACAATTTTTTTTCCTTATTATTTAATAAGAATTTTTTTTTTATTAAATCAGTATTACATGGTGAGATAAATCTGCGTCCATAATAACAATGAAATTTCCCGTTGCGTGTTTTATTCCATGAATATATGCAGTGCCTAGTCCTAATTTTTTTTCACGAGGTCTCAATAACTACGAAACAACAAATTGCAAAACAATAATTTAATATAATAAATATTATATACAAACATTTAGTCGTTACATACAATTTTATCTTTTCCATAAATTGATTCCAGTTGTTTAGCAACATCTAAAGTTCCATCTGGGCTGCCATCATCTATTATGATAATTTCATAATCTATTTCACTATAATCAATCAAATCATTATATTAAGCTGAATATGATGAGACATGCAATGCAAATTCAAATTGTTTAATTACACAGAATTCATTAAAACTATAATTCTTGCGATGATCATTTAAATATATTGCATTATTTATTTATTCAAATGTGTTAACTTAAAAATACAACATTAACTTGTTTCTTAACAATAAAAGGAAATATAATTTACATTTTAAAAAAATTACATTTTTTTCTTCAAATTAAACTAATTATTTAATTATTTAGTAATTAAAATTACAAATTTTTAGACATTTTTTTTTTGACAACTTTTATTAATTATACTAACTTGTTTAAAAAACATATGCAATTAAAATTTAATACTTGAGTTTGACAAAGTAAGAGAAAAAAAGAAACATTAAGTACAAAATAACAAAAAATTAAAAAAAAATTACAATTTTCATGAATAGTCAAAACTCAGTAAACCAATATGGAATTATTAGAAAAATAATTGTTGATGAATTCTATCCCAGTAGATCCATGATGAGCAAACGCAATGCTGTCGTTTGACAGTTTTTCATCATCCTGGAACCGTTGCAATAGTTTAGTGGCTATTCCAAGCCTTCTATAACTGACCATCACCCACAATTTTGAAACTCCAAATTTTACAACTACTAAATTATCAGTCAGTTTACCCTTATCCAGCGTACAAGCGTTTTTTAATGTCTCTACTTTTAAATACCCAACAACAGTAGAGTTGGGATGTATGGCCAGATACACGTAAAAATCTCTGTTACCACCGACTGTGCTTTTTACAAAGTTAAGTTCCAAATTTATAAACTCCTCGTAAATCTCTAATACCTTAAGGACATTTTTGTTACTTGAACTGCTAATGTTTGTAGTTTTTATTATATCATAACTGAATTCTTTTTGACTGACTCTTTCGACGACTTTTAATGACTCGTGAGGTTTGAAGTTAAGTTTATACAAGTTTTCGTGTATCAAGTTGTGTAGTTTTCCGGTCCAACAAGATGGAATTTGAGATTTAAATATACCACAGGCACATGGCTTACAATTGTTTATTAACGGTCTGAATAATTCAGTGTTACTCGTGTTTGACTGTTTACGTTTGGGGATTTTGCTTTTAAATAATAACTCTTTTGGAAAAGATTTTGTTTCGGGATTTACTACTGAATGAGCTTTATATCGAACAAATGATTTACTGTTTCCTCTTCCTTTTAAAACAAATATATCATTTGTATTTTTTAAGCGATTATTTCTTTTTTTAACTGCAGCGACTTTGATAGGCGCAACAAAACGTCTAGTTTGTTTAGGAGTACTTCTCAGCCAATAACAATTGTTTATTCCATTGTTACAGTCCACTAAAAAATCATTACTTTCAGGGACTTCTTGTAAATTACTAATTCCACTGATGGAAGAAGTATTTTTTTGATTATTGTAAGACCAATTTGTATCCATCACTACAACTGGCGATAAAGAGTGTTTTTTAATTGGCGATTCAGAGACATGCTTTAAGGAACTATTATTCAATTCTGGTTTAGACGACAAAATACTATAATTCACAATATCATTACTTATTGGTGAAACAGAACATTCTTTATGGATGTCTCGGTTTTGATTTAACGAATCATTTGTTTCAGTACTACTAACTTGCGAAGGTGCTCTAATTGAGCTTTCGGTAAGTGTACTTGAAAGTAATAAACTAGATGAGCTTAATGATGATGTTCCAGAGTTATTTTGGTTATTGTCATTATGTTTCAATTGATTATTTTCAAACAAAAAATTAAATTGTTTTTTAAGGTTGTCAATTGTTTTAAGTTTAGTACTTAATAAATTCAACTTGTCCATTTCTAATTTGGCATATTTTGGACAACCAGTGTCTTCAATTGGATCCAACTGGTTCTTACAATTCATAGCATTTAAGTTAATATTTTTCAGTGATATACAACGTTTGTTACTTCTTAGAACATCATAAATGTTAGACGAACCTCTAGTTACGCATTTTGTAGGTCTGTGCTTATGGTTCATCATCAGGCCCAACATATCACTTTTCAAACTGTTTAAATAAGGAACAATTTTTTCTTCGAACATTTTTAAATCTAAATTAAGCTGTAATAGTTCGGTTGAGTCTTTTTCGTCCAAAATTATATTTACATTGTTTGAAATGTTTCCGTCTTTATTATTAATGTAAAAGTTATTTGGTTCGTTGTACTTGGTTGAAAAAAAACCAATATTGGTGTCTGGAGCATTGTTGACATCATTAATGGTGTCCATTGTCATATCAGATGAACAATAATTAAAACTATGGTTGTTATTTGATGTATCTGAATTTAATACTCCATGTACATTGACAGTACTATTCAGTTTGTTACATTCTTCGTCTTTTTGTGAATAATTAAATTCATTAATTTTCCTTTTGTTAGCATTCAAAATTAAGCTCTTATGATCTTCTTTAGGCGGTACAGAAATACTTGTTGTGTTATGTGTGTAGCTTTTTGGTTTTAAGTTGATAAAATCATGAGAATTTTTGTGAAGCAGTTTACCTGAAAATGTATTGACTGAAGTTCCCTCTTTTTTATTTATATCTATATTGATAGAGTTATTTATAAGAATACTGTGTACAGCATTATAAGCTGTAATGTTAATAGAATCCTCTTCGGTAGTTTTTTCTGGTATTTCAAATATTTTTATTAAAGCTTCTTCGAAATCATTATCATAACTCAAAATTTTTTTCCGAGAGTCTAAAGGTTCTAAACAGCAAGGTGGTTTTGAATTTTCAACAGACAAATTATTAATATAGTCATTATTTTCTTTTTCAGCTTTTTCTAATCTATTTAATTGTGTATAGTTCATGATTTTGTTTTTGTTCGCACTGTTGTAAGTATTGTTATTGTTCGATAAACAAAGGGGTTTCAACAGAGGGGTAGGGTTTTTTGTAATTTTGTGGTCCTTAAATTGCTGTAATTTATCATATTGTAGAGAATATTTCTTTTTATTGTTTATGTTGTTAATAATAGAGTTATTTTTTAACAATTGTAAAGAATTTGATTTAATAAAACGGTTTTGCTTTTTAAATGTTTTTATCGTTTTATTTGATAAAGTATTCAAAATATTTTTATGTTTTAAATTATATGATCTATAGTTTTTTTTAATAACAGCAGCTTTATTGTTCAATGGGCTACTAGTTGCCAAAGTTTTGCGTTGAAAATCATTAAAATTTTCAAGATTTGAATCATTAAGGAATGTTTTGCTTTGTGGCAAAATTAAACATTTTGACCCTTCAGAGTCTGAATAATATACTTCATTTATGTCCGATAATGTTGAATTGTGATGATTAGGAGGGGTAAAATACGGTAAACTCATTGTTTTACGAGTTTTTATATGTATAGAGTCTATTTTTGTAGAAAACAAATACTAAATAAAATGTATATTTTACTTGATTCTTGACTCAATATTTGTCTAGTGTATTCATCATAATACTTGTCTGTAAAAACAAATTGAAACTTAGGAAAAAATAGACAACATTTACAATTAAAAAATGAAGAAAATACAGTGTAATATTTATATATAATCGCTAATATCTCTTTCTCTTATCTACTAAATTTAAATGCTATATAATTATTACTACTAAATTTACTTGTACATAAATAAAAAGATTTTTCAATATTAAAATAATTTAACACTATTGTAGGTACATACAATTTGTATTTCTATTTATTATTATACAAGTTACGATATTAGTAATAAGTAATACAATGTCTACTCGCATTTGGTAAATACATTTGTACTTCAGAATTTAAACTTAATTATTAGACTAAAATATAAGTTGGTAAGTATGAGAATTGTTTTTATGATAGTACAATTGGCTATAATAAATTGTTTATAACACAATAAATATAAATTATTTATAAACTTGAGAACAAGTATCGAATAATAGCTTCAACTAGAAAACTGGTTTCTAGATACTACTTCATAAGTTATTGGAGTAAGTACAAGCATAATATAAAACATTTGAATACTTACCAATATTCTAAGTATTTGTGAATGAGATAAATTATAATTGGCAAGTTTTCTTTTTCATTATACGTAGGCAATAGAATTGAGTACTTTTTAGAAGACATTTTAACCGTTTATGGTGAATTACATGGATTTACTTTAAGAGAAGTTTAATTATCCATTAACGATTTTATTAACTCGATGATATTAACGACTGTTGATCAACGATTAACGTAAGTTAAAATGTCAAACAAAAGCATTAAAAGGAGTCACGGAGATTATATTGTTATCAACATAGATAACGAACTGTTATCTTTGGCTTTGAAGATAAGGTCAATTTAGTGACTCTAACTTCAGTTATATAAATAACAAAATATGTAATCGTAATTCATATGTAATGCACATTTACTGATTTACCAGGGTTTTCAGTTCTTAGATTATTGTCCGTTGTAAATTAAAATAGGTTCTAATGTATACAATATTATACGAAATACATTTTTAAAATGTAATATTTATTTATGTAAAGTACTCTCTTAACTTCTACTTTTGTATTATTGTTCCTAATCTTATTTTATAAATTCTGTTGAAGAAGTGAATATTTCGGCATTTTTTTTTCTACTTGAAACTATTGTTTGTATTAGACTTTTAATTTATAATAATTATGTCTGTTAAATCTATTTTGAAAAATAAAATAAAAAAATTAAAATCTAATAATCCATTTGGAACGATTAAATCTAAAAAACATAAAAGCAACAACCATATTTCCGAAAAACCGCTAGAGAGTTATGTGAAAATTAATACTGAAGAATGCAATAACGATGTAACTTGTAACAATCCGCCAAAAAAAAATGCTGTAATGTCTAAAAAAGCTTTGAAGTTAAAAGTGAAAAAGGAAACAAAAAATGATGATCAAGTCATAGAAAAGGAGAAACCTGTAGGAAAACGCAAAAGTGTAGAAATTCACGATGATGAATGTACCCCATCAAAAAAGTTAAAACATGTTACATTTGCTGATGATGTGAAAAGCGAAGCAGATGATAAATGCTCAGCTGGTAAGTTGAAGCCTTTAAGTTTAAATAAGCGTAAAAAACGTAATTATATAAAAAAATTGAAGTCGAAAAAAAATAAATTGAAAAATGCAAAGAAACAAGAAGAAAATGCTAATGCTACAATTACACCTAGACAAGAACGAGCAATTGAATACTTGTTGCAATGGAAAAATGACCGATCAAATTGGAAATTCAAGAAAATTTTTCAACTTTGGTTGATTAAAAATATTTACAACCCTATCAAGGTAAATTTTTTTCTAAATAATTTATAATTAATAAATGAAGTTATCACTTAAAGCAGTAATACAAAATTGTGGTATTTCTTCTCAAAAACAAAATCATATTATTACAGGGTATTCTTAATATGTTCGGTCTAATTTGCAATTTCATAATTAAAAAATAAATACTTTCAAGAGGTAAAAAATCTTTTAACGTTCCAACAGTTTATTGAAAAATTATTGGAGTTTGAATGGTTTTAAATTATGTGTTTAATTATTATCCGAAAGAAAAATGTAAGAACCCCAAAATACATTCTAATACAAGACAATCTAAAATTTGCTACACTAAAGTAATTTTTAAGTTTATTTTCTATTTTTTTTTTTTTTTTGTACGACCTATGTCTGCATTGTCTTATTTTCATCAAAATTGATTTTAATAAAACATCAGTATTTGCAGCCTTATATCATATGAAGAAGTGGTTTTAGTTTGGATATAAGTTTGGCGTCATTGTTATGCTAATTTTATATAAACATACAAGTTGTATCAATTAAGCAACAGAGTTATGAAAAAAAAATGAATTAATTTGTTTTACAGATAAACAAAGAAGATTTTGACATTTTAGTGGAATACCTACAAACCATAAAAGGTAAAAGCCATGAAATGATTCTTGAAAACGCAAACGCAACTATTGCAGAATATTCGCAATTGGACGATTCGCAAGAAGATCAGGACTCTGCACAACACATAAGATATCAAAGGGCAAGAAATATAATTCAATCGTGTGATTGAATTGTTTATGACTGACACAACACAATAAATTTCTATTTATTTAATAATTTTATATTTTTAACAAATAATTGTTTTTGTTTCCAAAATATAAAAATAAGTAAAAAATTTTGAAATATAATAGATATTATATTGTATATAAATTTGTCTATGAACCTATTATTGTGTTAAGTGTACATAGTTATATCTAAAGGTATTTGAATTTACCTTTGACTTGCCAAATTGTAAAATTTAAACTAGGTATTCTAGAAACAATTGTGTTTACATGTTGTTTATTACCTAAATAAATAAATAAATAAATATAGGAACAAAACGTATTAAATTTTATAGACTTACTTGGCAAGTTTTTTAATTTATTAAACTTTTAACAAATAAGGAACACCATTATATTAAAATCTAACCTACGTTTGTGGGTATACCCAACACTACATTATAATGTAACTTTGGCGTGGATTAATGCACTCTATACATTTTTGCTAAGTAGTCATTACTGCTTTCAAATTTGTTGGGCAATAGGCATATTCTTTAAATATAAATAATGCATCCGATGTAATGTTGAAACCACCAAAAAACGGTAATTAACCTCCTCCCCCCACCCACCTGAGTTCAAACACCAAGTATACTAGAAATTTGGGTTTAAATTCATGCTGGTATATTATATGAAATAGTATATTGGGTAAAAGCTAAAAGTAATAGGACATTTATTATACTATTTTTAATAAGTTGTCTAATACTTTTCTCACGACACACCCTCTTAGTCAAAGGATGTGCTAAACATTATATTGATCTATCAAAATATCGATAACTGTAACTTAATATATCGATATATTTTGATTGTATATGCAACTGGATGATAGTATTGATAGTGGTATTATCGATATATTCGTACAGTAGTTCATCCCTACTACAGTCCACTGAACTTCAGTTCAGTGCTACGGTCTAAACTATATATATATATATAGTATATTATACGCCTTGAGTTATCACTTCTTCACGGTATTGTTATCACACGAGACGTTTTTGATATGGATATCTCTTACAACTTCAGACATGTAAACGCATATTCAATGATAACGTGTTCGACAATCGTTGAAATCTGTTCTCTTCTAAATTTAATATTTAATTTGCAATACTTAACAATTTTTATTATAAATAGAATAGAGATTAGTATAATATACCTGAGATAAATGTACAGTCCGTTTTTTAATTAAGCGTTGAAACCGGTAACGTTTTTAAATATGTTATACCTTGAAGATTACTTGGAAAGTAAGTGAAATTACACTACATTTATAATGTTTACTTAATATATATACTTGCAACACTTTTATTTTATTAATTAGATATCGAACATCTACCTCAAGAAATGAGAAATCGTTTTACCGAAATGAGAGAAATGGACTTACAAGTAGAAAGTAATATTATTTTTTTGTTATTATTTTACCATTTACACATTTACCTTATCAATTATAGTATTGGTTGGCAGTGTAATAATTTCATAAAATAAAGCTATAGAACAAATTACCTTATTCAAAATAGTAAAAACGCTTTTTTTTTAAAAAATCCAAAAAATTGTTTTTTTTATATATTACGATTATATGTCTTACAATACATATGTACATAACATAGAAATGGTTAATTAAAACAAAAAGCTGCGAGAATAAATAGTAAAAAATATTATTCTCGTTTTTTCGTTTTATGACCACATGTTTCTTTGACTTGTAAGCACAGAATAACCAGAAAGGAAACTTTAAAAATTACATGGGTTCTTGTGAGCCACAAAAAAAGGCCGACTGCCATATTGTTTCTATCAGCTGGGAGCCTGACGACTATAATAGATAGCCTAAAGATAATTCTAGGAAAAAGCATGATCATTTCATAGATAATAAAAGAATGGGTGGGCCATGCCTATATTAGCAAAATAAGGGAACGCACGCCAGAATGGGGAAGAGAGAACGACGGTTTTTTTCCCATAGAAGTAGTTCATAACATAGAAATAGTTCTTAGTAAACTTGTATGTTTTAATAAATGAAAATTTAATTTAATTAACAGTGAATAAAAAAAAAAAAAAAGCATAAATAATTTTACCCAAATTGAGAATTAAATTTTAAATGTACGTTATAAAAATTCAATGTAATAATAAACCATGTACAGTGACTTATAGTGACATAATTAGCTTAAAATTAATTATCTCATTTACACTTGGTTAATCCTAGTAGGTAATACTTCCCAACAGATCAAAAATTAATTTTTAATACTACAATTAAAAAATTTAATTGTTTTAATTGAACACTGGAAGTTAAAAAATCTATTACTGTAAGCGGCACTTTTCTCTACTTTTCATAAGAACTGAAAAATATATCTCATTTTTACTTGACTGTAAAATTGTATGGTACAAACTTAAAACATTAGTAAAACTAAGTGAAGTAATCATATTAATAAATTTAATCTATGAATTGATGCCAGAGACAAACATTTATAGCTTGATACAACTCGTGTTATTTTCTGCAAAAGCATTTTTTATTACACTATTTACACGCCTTGCAGTTACTCCCATTATATCCAATCTTGACTGGTTCGCATTTTTTATTAGTCGATATAAACTGTTATTATGACATCATCTATTATTTTATATTTTTTTAATAACGTAAATATTATGAAATTTTCAGACTCGATGGACTGCATAAAAAAGAATGTAGATACTTTATTTTCAAAGGCAGATAATATGAGTTCGGATGAATTGGATGCGAATTTCAAAGCGATAATAAAAGAAGGCGAAAAATCTGTTGAACAGTCTGGTTAGTTCTACTTGTTATCTTTTCTCTAAAGTTACAGAGTCAAAACCATTAAGTACGTTAACTTGTTTTTTAGAGGAAAAAGTTCAGTTGGCCAACCATATGCATGAACTCATGACAAAATACATGAGACGTCTAGACCACGAATTACATAAGTTTAAAATGGAATTGGAAGCTGATAATAGTGGTATCACTGGTCTCATTGAAAAAAGTAAGTTGCCTACGTTTGTGTATTTGTTTATTCTATTAAAGGTTTATAACAATAAAAAACTTAATAAATTCTGCCAAATTTAAAATTAAAGATTTTGATTTCCACAAATTCAGAAAATAACTTTTGTTGTAAAAAAAAAAATTTCCGATGTGCTGTCTTTTTTATATTGTTCTTGAAGTTTGTTTTAAAAATAGCTCTAATGTGATCTACCTTAACTTTAAAAGGGTTTGACACGCAAAAACATGTATAAAGACACAGTTAAATTACTTAGTTACTTGTGTTTTTTTATCAAACTAGAAAATTAGAATGTAAATTTGTTCTTACGTGAGCAACAAAATGTTACTACATTACATGCAGTGAAAAAATTGTATGTTATAATAATCATAATAACAATTTTAAAATATACAGTTGAAAAGTTTCATACAATAATTATAATGAACCTAAAAGTTAGTAACCGTTTTATTTTTCTAAAATTGTTTACAGGAAGTTTAGATTCAGAACAAACCAGTACCGTCAATCAAAAAGAAAATAAGTTTCAGCTAAATAGATGTCTTTTTGGAGGTAGGTAGTTTATGCCATTATAAGCTAGACAAACTACGTTCCTTCCTTTCGTGTTCCTGCTGGTACCTGTGCTTAATAATATTTGAAAATGTATGAATAATTATTATTTTATTGTTTTTTTTTTTTATGTTTTAAGTTTACAAGTTTTTTTATTGACTTTGTTTTAAATATTATACGGTTAATACATTTTTATTTACATAACATAATATGCTTTATTTTTTACGTACGTCTGCATACTACTTATAGATTAAAATTATTGTCGAAATTGTATGAAAATCTGCAGAATATCTTCAGATCAGCTATTAGTTTTGTTGGCTCTGTAATATTTGTACAACCGATGAATGTCAACTTTAAATTAAGAGCTGCATGTTGTGAGAACCTATTACCATTATAATATAAATATTATAAACTATTCATAGTTTTTAGGAATCAATATCGTAAAAATAATATTAAAGTAAGGATTTCCAACAGTCAACCAATATAATTACCTAAATAGATCACTTGTTAGCAAGTTGTCTGTTGGTAGACTGACAATACCTTATAGTATAGGATTTGGACTCTGTACAAACTTCATTTTAGTTAACTTAAGCCTAGTATGTTTTATAAATATATAAATTGCCGTTTACAACAACTACGCATTAATTTAATGTAGTTTGTGCAAACGACCATTTTTATTTGTGCAAATCTGTATTCCTTTGTTTCTATAAATATATAAATATTATAAATTATAATAAGAATTCAAAATTTTCCATTAAAATGGTGAAATGTGCTTGGCTTTAAATTGATATTAGAAATCAAAAAAGAAACATAGATCATTTTAATAAATTGTGAATAATAAAAACCAAAAACCGGTTCTTTTAATTTTCACATATAAACATTTTTTGTTTTTTAATCTTAATGACTGATGTAATATAAATAACTTTTAGCATGTAACATTGTGCAAGTTGACGAGGTAGATTATCATGCAGACGAAATTGAGAAATTAAAAACCAACATAATTTATGTATACATTTTGTTGTAGAAAAACAAGAATCCATAAATCAAGGCAATAATTCCAAACAAAAATCAGCATCAGTGGCATCAAACTCCGCTAGTAGTGGAGATGTTGCTTCGCCTTCGAACCGTGATACGAGTCCAGCTAGTTCGAGAATTGTTTCTTCTTCATTAGCTTACACGTTGGGACACATGGGTGCGGGTAGTCCCGCCATTGCAGCTGCAGCGTCCCAAGCAATTGTCGCAACTCAACAAGTAATTTAAAACACACATTTGTTAATTTAAGTTTTTTTATTTTGTTCCTGGCTTTTAATCAAGTTATAAATGTAAAAATTTCAGCTATCCCAAGGGCGTAGAACTGCCAGTTTAAAAGCATCTCTGGAAGCGATAAGTTCCGGTACACCTTTAACCGGGCAAATGACGTCCACTCCTGGTATCTTGCCTTCAGAACTACCAATTAGCAAAGAACTTGCTGGAGTCGCACATTTAGTCAACCCTAATATTGACGGGGCAAGAAAACATAGAAGGTAGCTTTAATATTATAGAAATGATCAACTGTGTTGTAGTATAAATAAAACTTACAATTATTCGAATATCACGTTTAGACGAGGTGCTCAGCATTTATCGAATGAAGAAGATGTTGATGAACCAATTGATCCCAATGAACCTCGTTATTGTATATGTAATCAAGTGGCTTATGGCACTATGGTGGCTTGTGATAATAAAGGGGTATTTATTTTTAGGCATTTATGAATTCGTTCATTTATTAATTGTTTTATTTATTTTTATTTTTCAGTGCCCATACGAATGGTATCATTGCGAGTGTGTTGGTATTACAGATCCACCAAAAGGCAAATGGTATTGTCCGCAGTGTATTACCACAATGAAAAGTCGAAGATCGCGTAAAACCACATAATCTATCTAGACTATATTTTAGTTTTAAATCGTTATAGGATCCTATTTGTGTTACTCCTTACATTAATTTAATTTGTATCCAATATTTTTTAATGTATATAAAAAAAAATCACACTGAACAAAATATAATACTAAGCTAAAGTGTTGTGCGTTTTATTTTTCAATTACATTTTATCTTTGACAGTGCTGGTAATGTCTTTGTCATATTTACAATATCATAGCACTATTTAAAATCACTACATTAATTATATAACACACTAATTAGTAATACAGTATTCAATTTTTTTACAAATGCATTTATTACATACATTTCTTTCGACCTTCTGGAAATTATAGATTTAAAAGCGCAGCAATGGCCAAAGATGCAGAGGAAATTTTTTTTTTTAATTAGTAAAACAAATAATAAGGTACAGGTACAATTACATTTTTATTAATCTAGAAAAAATGTATTTGTGATTTTTATAATAATAATGATTCCGAGACTTTTTGAACTCGGCAAAAACAAATATTTTACAATTTATGTTTAAACAACTTTTAAACTTATTTTGAAAAATACATAACAGTTAAAAGAAAACATCAATTAATACAACAAAACTTGATGTGGTGTTGTATAAAATCTGAGATCGGTTTCGATTCGGCGAGAAAAATCCTAAAAAAATTCACATATTTTTGTTGTTATTGCAAAATTCAATTTACTGGGTGGAGTGTACAATTTTGTTTGTTGTATTTATATTATATTATGAATACTAGCTTCGGTACTTTTGTACGAAAGGTAATAATAATTAATATAAATATGCTAAATAATATTTTAAGGTCCATAACGTTGAAAAGTTTCTTTTTCAAGTTTCTTTGTAATTTTTTTACACCTTAAAACTTACTTTGGCAAACATAGCTGCGAGAATAAATAGTAAAACATATTATTCTCGTTTTTTCGTTTTATGACCACATGTTTCTTTGGCTTGTAAGCACAGAATAACCAGAAAGGAAACTTTAAAAATGACATGGATTCTTGTGAGCCACCAAAAAAAGGCCGACTGTCATATTGTTTCTATCAGCTGGGAGCCTGACGACTATAATAGATAGCCTAAAGATAATTCTAGGAAAAAGCATGATAATTTCATAGATAATAAAAGAATGGATGGGCCATGCCTATATTAGCAAAATAAGGGAGGGGACGCACGCTAGGATGGGCAAGAGAGAAAGACAGTTTTTTTTCCCATAGAAGTATTTATGTCTCTTTTTGGCAAGGGGTTATTTATAGGTATAGTTGTATTACGTTGTGACCCCTTTTTGTTATCACTATATTCTCAGGCGATAAACTTGATGGCCCATCCATCTCTTATTATCTATGGATAATAGTAAGCACGGCCGCTGTAGATAGACGAATCATATTATTGTTACCATAATACATACTCAGTGAAATATTTAAGACAAAGGGGAGGGGGGCGGGCTCTAAGAACCTCCACAAAACAAATTCACTATGTAAGTTTCATCGTAATTTTTTTAAATACATTTTTGAAGAAGTTATTCCATCTATCACAGAACAAAAGATATAACTTATTCAGTTGTATTTTATTACTGGTTTTCAAACAAATATGTTGTATGTAATTTAATCATATTTTACGCTATTATTACAACTTACATGGCCGTTCAACTAAAAACAATATTAAGTGACATTTTTTTAAGTTTTACAAAAGACAAAATAAAATAAAAATTTAAATGCATCTTTGTGGACACACATGTTTTTCATAATATTTTGTAATTTACAAAAAAGAAATGGTTGTAGAAATGATAGCTGTTTTTTTAATAATATGGTGGTCCCGTATGACCGTATCCTCCCACAGTTCGACCACTGATTAATGATTATAAGTGTTATTAAAATTAAACTTACACTAATATTGTGCGTAAAAATGCAAAAATCATATCGATGCTCACGAGCTCATGTGGTAAATGTAATTTAAATTTGCAATAAAATTAAATTAAGAGGACGCCACACCGCGCATTTTTAAGGAGTAAATTATACAAAATTGTTTACAAAATCTTAACTCAAAGGTTAAACTGTGATGTGTAATTATTATTAGTCAGGACTTCTTTGGTAGTTAAATTATTTTTCTGACTATCACAGCATCCTTGACAGTGATTTAAAACAAAAATTTTGTTGAGTTGAGTTTTACGCGTAATTCATTTTTCTCAAGCTTCATATAAAGTCAAGGAAAGAAATTCATACATATAATATATGAGAAAATTATCTGTGCTCCATCATCCGTATTTTTTCGATATACCTAATACAACCGACGCTATATCACTTTTTAAAAAGTCAAAAAAGTTCTTTTATAATTAAATAATTATTCATTAACTGGTGGAAATATTTGAAAAAGAGGCCATGGTAGAGCACAGACAATGTTATAGTCACCTATCCACCAACTAGCAACTTTGGAAGAAGACAATATTTGTATGGGATACTTAAAGTATAAACATTCAGGTCAGTTTCTAAATATTATTAGCTAACTTGGCTTTTGTCTACTACAGTATATAAGTATCGCAGTAACCAGATTTAAAAATCTATATTAATCTAAGAAAAATTAAAAAAAAAAATTATTTCTCGTGGAACCTAATTATTAAATCTCTCTACATATTTTTAGGCAATTTTTTTTTTAAAATGTGTTTTAAAAATGACAATACCTTTATTTATTTTTCTCGATCTTTTTAGGACTGTTCTGGACTACTATTGTACGAATTTTCATAGTGGTCCGGCATCATATCATTTGAAAAGTCTGTAGTACTATTAAACGGACTATATTCTTCCTTTATTTCTATCAATGAACTATAGTAACAATCATCCGTTTCATCTACTTCTACTTTAATTGACTCGACTTCGATCATTTCATTATTACTAAAAATTAATTTTAATTAGAACAACTAAAAGTAAGTAGATACACTTTATTTATAGCTACTGGCTTTTGTAGTTTATAAACTTAAAACTTACTTTGGCAAACACAGCTGTGAGAGTTGGTCAAATTTATTTTTGTTTTCTTGCTTTATGACCACGTGATCTTTCGGATTGACAGCCTGCTCTGGATCGATAAAAAATTAATTAACAATAAATATATTGGATACATGTATAATATGATTGTGGAGGAAAATTCTTATAATCTGTTCAAGGAGAGAACGCACGGCGCGTCGACCAACAAATGGGTCGACCCTGCGTGTTAGTTCCTATTTTACATGACATTTTTTAAGAGTATTGTTAGACGACAAACCACAACAGCGAATATTTTTTATAATCATCATCATCATGTAGCTTAACGGGCCATGAAGGCCCAACGCTGCCATCATGAGATGGTTTCTTGACGAATTCGCTTCCGGGACGGGTCGTCAATCCGTCGCCGGAGAGGGGGATGGCGGTTCCTTTTTACCGGACGATTGCTCGCCCAGCAAACGGAGCGCCTGTGACCGAGTGTCGAACCGACGACAGTGAGCGCTAACACACTGCCGCCTTACCCACTCGGCCACTCCTCCTCTTAAATATTTTTTATAAAGCAATATTTTTATATGAAATTAGCAATGACACGAATTACGTACGCTTAATGATTTTTGCTTACCTCCATCGATTTCGTTTAGCTTGACTACGATTTTTGCCTCATCGTTCGTTTTAATACCACTAAAAAAAGGCAAGTTCAATCAAAGCGATTAGAAAAAAAACTACAAGACATTAAACAAACTATACAGCTTTTGGTTTAAGACTACTGTATTAATTAGCAGTTAATAAACCATTAAATTACATGATTGTATTTCAACACATTTTTTTTTTGTATTATGAAAAGAGAATAATTATTAGTAAACATCGTTATACTTAGTATTACATAACATTCAATTGGCACATAGTATTTGTTAGGAGCATTGAATTTTTGCTGATATTCTTAGGTGATCACCCGTTCAGGAACTAGCGATGCCGAACGCAGCCAGATTTTTAGATAAGTAGAAGCAGCCTGTTTCTAAATATTACCAGCTAACTTATTTAAGATTAATATTATTAGAGACGTTTTATCATTATATTGTAGCACAATTAACTCAAACTAACTTGATTTAAAAATCTGTATTTATCTAAGAAAATAATTGAAAATAGAATATATCTTAACTTCAAATGAAGGTAGCATAAAATTAATAAAATTAACGGAAGTAAAAGAAGAAAAGATTTTAGTAATTTTTTTTAAAACATATACTTACGAACAGAATTGTGAAGTATCATCTTTTTTATCTTTATTTTCTTGCAGTTTGATCACGTCTTCTACCGATTTATTGTAATAATCTGTACATAAAATATGAAAATCATTCATCCAAGTGATAATAATTTATTTATTTATTTATTCTAATAAGCCAAAGGCATACAACAATATCAACAAAGGCCAAATAGAAAGAAATTAGACTTGATATAATGTAAGAGTGACATAAGAGAACATTGATCTATCTAATGAAAACGGTAAAAAATGTTTAAAGATTTAAACAACCATTCCCAAAAATTTAAAAACAATTATGTACGTCATCTGTTTGTGTTTGTCTGAGCCATACAGTATAAACATTAAAACTATTTAAACCTTGTCAGCATTGACATTAGCTTTTTTAAATGATAAGTAAACATCGTGGAGTAGTTGAAATACATATTGAAAGTAAAAGTTCAAATGTTGTAAGCTAGGACGTAAACAGGATTTATTTAGTAAAAGCATATGAACAAGCTTAAATGAAATTTATAATATATTACTAAAATTAAGTTTGGCAGAGAAGAGGCTATTGCATTTGTAGCTGATCAAATTGTTGAAAAAAGATTACCTTTAAAACGGTTCCCACATAGATAACTCGGATTTTACTCTCCTGCAAAATTGTCATAAATGGACTACTACCCTTCTTACTTTTACCCTTCGTGTGTTTATGACATAAGTAAACTATTTTAAACGTTTTTACCTGAATAAGAAACATCCAAGGACTTATGTTCTGCTAACATGTCATCAATAATGAAATCCATGTCCCATAACCTTTTTTCTTCATCGACAACATGGCTGATCAATTTTTTCCACATATCGCCATTTACCTTCTTTACACCTTCCTCTAACAATCGTCGGACATCAGGGAGTTTGTTGGCGGTGTTGTGCATTTGGACATGGTTTTTCACAACTGACCAAGCCATTTGTATCGGATTGAGCTCGCAATGATAAGGAGGAATACGTAGAACATCCTTGTTGTGCTGTTTGACAAATTCGTCTACAGAATATTTTTCATACAATGGTTTAACTCTGCGAACTATGGTCATAAGTTGAGCTATGACCATTGGCTTGTCAATAATTTCTCCTTTTTCTTGGAGCCACTTGATAATATCCGCCTTTTTTGTTGTACTAGTCGGGGCTTTGTCAAGTTTTACCGAATGGTGTTGAGCGCTGTCCATAACAAGAACGGCATTGTCTTTTAAACGTGGCAAAACACTTTCCAAGCACTCCAAGAAAACGTCACCACTCATTTCGTCATGGTAATAATTTTTTTTGTGCTTAGATTCAAAACACAAAAGACTATCCTGCACAAAACCGTCTTCATTTCCGACGAGAACAACAATCATGTGTTTACCTTTAACACTGGGACCAACTGGACTGGTTGAAAGGCCTGCATCAAAAGCATCTCGGCGTGACGTACGAATAGTACATTCTCCAGAATTTATCCACATCTCGTCCATAAAATATATTGGACGACCTTCATTTCGATATTTCTTTATTGTTTCCAGGTAGTTTCTACGCCATACAACTATCCCATCATTTTCAACCATAGCGTTATTTCGACTGCGTTTCACATATTCGAAACCCATGTAATTTCGTAGCAGCAAGTATAAAGAGCTTCTGGTAAATTTAGGCAGTCCTTCAGTTGAGTTTATACGTGACAAAATTTTATCCAATGTAGGAAATTGTTTTTCAAACCAAAAACCGTGAATTATTCTCCTAATTGCATATTTGTCGAACTCGTCAATTTTGGCGTTGATGCTGTCTCTATTTTTTTTCCTATTGGGAGAAGAAACTGTTTTATACTTTTCGTACTCGAGAATAGTCGAAGATATTGTCCTTTGTCCGATTCCTAGCTCTTTGGATAACATTTTTCGCAGTTCTACTTTTTTAAGACCTGGATGTTGGGCAATTTTTTTCTTGTAAGCAATAATTATTAATTCTTTTTGAGATGACGAAATAAACTGAAAATATCGAAACATTCAATTTTAAATATTAAATTATTGTGGAAATAATATTAGTTGAAATTGTTTGTAACAACATATAATCTGTGGTAATGTGCTTAACAATTCTTATAATTTATACTGTGCCTATATTTTCTTAAATTATTATGGTGCTATTTTTCTATAATATAAACAATAATATACTAGCATAAACTGTTTAAATTACTGATAGCATGATGTTTGATATATTTGCTTTGGCGTTTTAATGGTGATCGTTTTCGATGTCATAATCGGTAATGCGGCACAGCTGGAGATAGATTGGACAGTTATGGTTCAGCCGGTTATGAACGTTAGTGACATCTTCAATGTAAGACAGGGAGGACGCTCAAAGGTGCTGTTGTCGACGACTAACTGTATGTTTATGTATTTAAAAAAAAAAAATGTTATTTCTCCTTCTTTATCTATTTATTTTTCCTTCTTCTTGTGTATAAATTATTATGTATATTATTGTATGTGTCAATTATCATTATTGAAATTAAGGAGGTATTTAAGTCCTCTGTCCTTTCACACGTATCCAATTCGATGTTAATGCTTGATGCATTTTCTTAATATTATTTATTTATATTGTCTCACTTAAAATATGCCAAGTTTAAATTGTATTACACTTATTATAACTTTACAAATCTTAGCATAAAAAAAAAATATTTTTCTTAGTATTAGATATCTTACTTATATAGTTTAACATATTTTCTATATTGGCTAAAAAGTCGATTTTTAAATTTTAATTTTCAAAAAAATGTTATAAGCATTTATATTTTTACTTTTTTTATAGTTTTTTCTAATAAATCTTACTAATTTTCTAAATACTAAATCAAAAATCGGCCTTTTTAGCCCACATAGAAATAATAGTAAGCTTCATAAAAAAAAAAAAAAAAATTGAAATCTGTCCAATAAATACGCCAGAAAATGACTTCTACGAAAGTCATTTTTCATCAAATTTTCGCCATAACTCGGAGAAAATTAACTTAAAAAGTATTATAATTAGAAAAACTTAATATAATTTCATTTTAAAATTAGTCGGCATATTTAAAATGGCTATTAGAACATTTTTTTCAAATATTGCCTATCCTTTGCCCCTTAATAAATAGCGCTTTCCGTCCCCCTTAAATAAATTAAATCTCGTTTCGATTCTCAACATTTTCCGTCTACCCGCCAAACATAAACACAAGTATGGCATTCCCACTACTCGCGTAAAAGGGCAAATATTTGGCATTCCTTTGACTCGTGTCACATTTGTCGACAATTCGCGAGAAGAGGACGAATACTGAATACCATATTATATAAAATATTCATCGAATAGACGAGTCGTGCGAAACCCGGCTTTAGGTCCATTACTATCATTATATCATAATGAAATACTGATGACGCGTTACAAACGTTGCCCTCACTGCAGATAGCGCCCAAGCTTCAATGCATACATTGACAAGTTGGCTGTCTCTTTAGTCTTTATACATTACAAATCGTACTCCGTTCGCCGAGAGAATATGGCTGCACAGAAACAAAAACGCATAACTCCTGTCTGCGCAGGCGCAAAAGATGGTAATGCGTTTTTGTTGCTGCGCAATCATAGTGCGTTATTCTCTCGGCGAACGGAGTACATTATATACCTGTGGACCGGCCTATCTGCCTACATTGGCTTTTTACAAAAAACCGTATCCATTTTACGCTGGCGAAAAATCTACTTGTAAAAGCAATCAAAATCGAAGCGTAAGTAGGTACATACATCATGAATACTAACCTTTCCTCTTGGGTTCATTTTTACAGGCATAGTTTCCATTTCAAAACAATAATATGAATAAACGAAATAAATCGCCAAATGTAAAACTCGAAATTGTCGTTGAGCTTAATAAAACAATGTCGTAACAAAGCGTAAACTAACTCGTGCGTACTACGGCTACACAGCCGCCAGACCACTTTCGGTTTTTATCGATTATCACAACAGCACAGCAGCTGTTTGCTGTAGTATAGTATACCTGAATACACTACACACTGATCACGGCGGCCGTGGGGCGCCGGGCCGACCGATAATGTCATATCCCCTCTCCGGGTGATAATAACCGGCGGCCAGCGCTGACCCGTTTTTGGCCGACGCGCCGTGCGTTCATCTGTGGAACTGTGTATAGACTAGTATACTTGTCTATAGTCACAAATAGTGATGGGAATCCGAAAAACGCTACTTTAAGCAACTTAAAAATCTTTTTAAGCATTAAATATTTTTTACAATATTTTTACCGCTCATCAATTCTTAATTATGTCTTCCTAGAATAATTTCAAAGATCATAAATTCAAAATTATCTACTCTTGTTTCAAAAATATATTAAGCACACAGCAACACGGTTTTCGCCGTAATAAATCCACTTTATCTAATTTAATATTTTTTAAACAAGACATTTTAGATTCGTTCATAGTTTATTAATTATCAAACTTAAAAAAAAATTGGCTTTTCAGACCCTATAGTCTTTATTGCCGTGGTTTAATGAAAAAACCTCGAATCTCTTTATAAAATTTAAATATAAACATCCTAAGTAGTATGCAGACATAATGTGTTACGCCTTTAGGTCTAAAATAAACCAAATTGCATACGCATAGAAAAAATTATATAAATTAAAAATAACACCTATAGGCTTATACAAATTTACCGTAAAATTAGTTGACATGGTCGAAATTGATTAAATACAATTTTTTCTTAAATATTGACTACATTAAACTGCTTAAAAACCGCTCGCCTCCAACCTCAATTTAGCGTAAAAGTATATCTATACAAAATTAAAGTTCAAGACTTTATCTAAGTTTTGACGTAGGCGATTTTCGATAAGGTTTTAGAAACTTTTATCATATGTTGAATTTACAGTTTTTCGAAAGCTTACAACTTTGCTAAACCTTTTTTTTTTATCAAAAATCGCCCATTTCAAAATCTAGATTAAGTCCTGATCTTTAATTTTGTATAGTTGCACTTTTACGCTAAACTGCCCAGTTCTTTAAAAAAGAGGTCTTGACTTAGACATGTTTTACGCGCTGAAAAAAAGTAATGTAACGCCCACTTAAGAAGTCTCCTTTTAGAGATTTTATTTTTTTTTTTTATACAAAATGGTCTATATTTAAAAAAATGTCAAGTAGGACGGGTAAGATTGATATCTGTAATCATTTACAGATATTTTTGTCAAGTTGATAAATCCTCATTTTCTTAATTTCAATGCTGTAGATACTGATACTTATTAGCTTCTGCTTTAAATTGGGGTTTACCAGATTCAAACAAATGTCATCATTTATAGCTATACCTAGGATTTAAAAAACTAACATAGGTATAGGCATTGACAAAAATCAATTTCTGGTAGGGTTTTGACCCCCAACTCAATATTAAACGTTTTTAATGAGACCATTATAATATGAGTCATATAACTTCTAAATTTTGACGAAACCACTTCACTGTCTAGGTAAGATGAAAATTACCTACTAAGAAAAATATGTTTAAAAATATTATTAGACCCCGGGGCATCTCAAAAAAACCTACATTTTACATCCATTATATTATTTTAAATACCAAAACAACGTTAGATTACTATTCCATTAATGAAAAAAAATAATTAGAATTTCAGCTAATGGTTATTGTTACAATATCATAAATTGATAAATTATAATAATTAATAATCAAACAGCCTATAACTTTGATGATTTAATAATATTCGCGCCTGTTTGCCCATTGCATACATATTATGACGGAACCACGATTAAAGATAATCATTTTAACATGTATTATCTTTAATCGTGGACGGGACTGATGTTATATACGGGTTTTCATTTCTTCCATGACTTTTACTCTTGCTTATAATCTCACCGCGATGTCATCGTTTCCTTACCCCTCTACTTCGCGCTCTCTTCGCAGTCCTTCTTACCGAATTGTGATAAACAGTATTCGGGATACGTGATTCATTGGGATTTTCAACAAGCAAGTAAGTAATTTTTATCCGTTTCCATCTCGTTAATAAATGCACAATATTCGTCCTTTTAGAGAACGATCAATTTAATTAATCGGTTGTTTTTGTATTTTCCACAGAAATGGGGCGACGACCTGCTAGGTGGTAAGTAACACAATTTTTGTTTATATACGGTCTTGTATTGTTATGTCGCAATTTACACATCACACTATACTAACACTAAATACTATTAATTACAATGCAACACTTCACGTATAGAATAATAACGTTCGATTACATACTTTGCACCAAACGTTTTTGAAAACTAATGTTTGAACTTTTGTCACGTTCGATTTCAGTTATCGTTACTGCAAAAACAAACCGTACCCCAAGTCACGGTTTTGTCGTGGTGTGCCAGATCCGAAAATTAGGATTTTCGATTTGGGAAAGAAGAAAGCTAGGGTCGATGATTTTCCCTTGTGTGTACATCTTGTAAGTTGAAATATTGTAGCACTGTTTCAGGTATTCTTCAGCAGTAGGCAAAAGTTATGTTAATATTTTCCCATTTTCATTAGGTTTCAGATGAATATGAACAGTTGTCGTCTGAAGCTCTGGAAGCTGGACGTATTTGCGCCAATAAATATATGGTTAAACACTGTGGTAAAGATCAATTCCATATTCGAATGAGACTTCATCCCTTCCACGTCATTCGCATCAATAAGATGTTGTCGTGCGCTGGAGCTGATAGGTACTGTTTTAAATTTATATAAATCCTAATAAGTTGGTAGAAATCGTAGATTACTTCAAGTGGTTTTTTGGTTACTAATAGTTGAAATTGGGGGTTGGATGGAATGATTATAAAAGGGCTTTTTTATTAAATCTTATAATCAAGTAATTGTAGCTATTGAGTGCCTTGCCTTCGGAATTTGTCTAGAGTTAATACTCAACTAATTCTTGGTATCTCGAGTTATTATTAGTATTAAAAAATAAATAGTATGAGTGATAATATTATTTTAAAGGCTTCAAACTGGAATGAGAGGTGCATTCGGTAAACCTCAAGGTACTGTTGCTCGAGTGCACATTGGACAACCAATCATGAGTGTTAGGTCTTCGGACAGATACAAGGCGGCTGTTATTGAAGCATTGCGTCGTGCTAAATTCAAGTTCCCTGGACGTCAAAAGGTAAATACTCTATTATCAAAGTATTCCTGATCAATCTATATTAATACCTTCTTACAAATTGTTACCACAAAGAAATTAAAATATATTAACCTGTCACTGCACAATGTTCCATATTTAGAACAATTAAAAATTGGCGTTTTCCTCGAAACTAAATCTCAAAAAAAAAAAAAAAAAACGATGTTTAAGTAGTGTTAAGTAAGCATACTCAAAGCACATATTTTTTTTCCAAACGAAAAAAATCATCTATAGCCATATACAAATAATGAAAGATAATAATGAATAATCCAGTGAAGAGTTAATCTTTGTTAATTTGTTAATATTTAAAGTTCTCATTCATTTATATTGGATTAAAATTAATCATACCTCGGATCTTTAATAACTTAAGTTATAACTCCGTTATAACTGTGCCTCCATTATTTATTTTATTTTTAATCAATACTGCTGTAAGCCTATCAAAGCCAAGAACTTTCATATTATTACTTTTGAATAAAAAGCAATAGTTTTATAGTAGTCCTCCATTTAATTTGATTTATTTATTAATTATAAATAATTGTTTTTAAAAGTGAAACACATTAACCTTTTATTGTTGTTTTAGATCTATGTTAGCAAGAAATGGGGTTTTACAAAGTATGATCGTGAAGAATACGAAACATTGAAGGAAGATGGACGATTGGCGCCCGATGGTGCTAATGTTAAGTTCCGCCCTGATCATGGACCCTTGGACAACTGGAGGAAGGTCCAAAGAGAACTACTTGCTGTTTAATGCTATTGTATTTCTTGCAATGGATTTAATTAAAAATATTTTTTTTGTGAAACTTGTTTTTTAAATTTTATTTCTACCTTGTCATTCATTATTATGATTAATTATTCATCAGTTATAAAATTGATGGTCAACAGTTTATCTGCTAAAAATTGTATTGGAAATTTTAATTAAACAATTTTATTTTCCAAACATTTCAATAGAACACTGTACGAGTTGCGTCACTCAGAGTAACATTGGTAGTCGCCTAGTATCTGTGGGATTGACTATGATAGTTGTGTGGTACCTGTGAGATACAATCACAATGATGACGACTGAGATTATAAGTTAAAACTTATAATAAATAAAAATAGAGAATAAGAAAAATCAAAATATGTTAGTTACACAAAAGGGTCTAAGCAACAGTTTTCATAGTTTTTAGGAAAGTAAAAAAATGTTAGTTATTTTATTAATCTTTTTCTTTCTAATATCAACTTTTTTAGTAGGTAATTTGGCATATTGTCTTAAAATGGTTGTATATATATTATTTTTATTTTCCTTTGTATTCTCGTTCAGACATTTTTTTATTGAGCAAAAAACGGTGTTGGTTTTTCTGCAAAGTTCAAATTTAAATTGATTGTTAAATAATAATGATTACATCTATTTTTGTGCTTGTGCATCAGATAAAGCACATTTTTCTCCACCCAACAGTATTTACCGATGAAAATGTCTGCTTAAACTCTTATTTTTACACAATTTAATACAAATCTTGAATTTTTATATTTTGCTAAGCCCAAGAAATAACACAATTTCAAATAGTACACATTTTTTCATTCATATTATAATATATTTGAGCATTAGTATATTTTTGTTGTACATAATATTCTTATTCGAATGAAACATTCAAATAATTTTTTTATTTTACAACTTAATCAGGTAAGGAGTACTAAAAATGCATACAATTTTTGCATAAATTAATATTAAAAAAAAAATATGTGCACATATATTAATGAATTTTTAAATACCTAATGTGTAATCTAAAATATTCCTCTGGGTTACATCTTATAATAGTATATAAGTGTATGTGATCATAGAATAAATATACTATGCATGTGAAGGCGACACTAATGTAACAACTGGAAATGAAATACTATTTCACCGTGTTAACTGTTAAATATATTATGTAATAAAAATATCGGCGTTGTCTATCTATTATATGATAAATATTTATATTAAACAATTTTATTTGTTTTGCTCAAACATTACAACCAGATTTACATATTTTTTAGCTGAAAATAAAACAAAATAGCCATACCCTGATGTTATATTATTAGCTTAGCAGAAGTTGAGGATTAAAATAATGTGTAAATAATAAATATCATAGTTGCCAATCTGTCATATCTAAGGAACCACTAAAACTTAGTAGCCATAAAATAAAGGAATAATTTTTTATATATCATTAAAATATTTCACTATTGGTTTTGTTATTAGTATATATTGAATTAGGACTTGGTACACATAACTTATATATTATTTAAACAATATGTTCATAAGTGTTTGAATAATTGAATTTAAAATAGTTGTTTGGAATGATTTAAATAATTTTCATTTGAAAAATGTGTTATCCTAATGATTATTAAGATAACATTATATTCAAATTATACACAACTCTTGACTACATTTAACAAAGAGAGTAACAATATTTAAAACTGTACCAACTTTAAATATAGTTTTATTTTGTCAAATTCTGTTTATAAATCAAAAAAACAACACGAGTTTACTTATTTAGGTAATTTACATTTATTTAGATCTTGACTTCAACTTTTAGAATTGTTTACAAACGTATTGTTAAAATAATTTAACAATAAAAAAACATAAACAGGTTATAATAAAATTAATTTAAGTACTCAATAAATAATAAATATATGTTAAAAATATATAATTTAAGTATAAATCTTATAGACTATAAAAAAAAAAATGTAAACAAATTTATTTTCATCAAAAATATAAAGTTTTAGGTAACATAATATATTAGCTGCAATATTGTACTTTTGATTATAATCCAGTGCTCTGTTAATAGTATAAACACTACAGTTAGTTTACAATTAAAAAAAAAAAAAAAAAAACAATTAGCAAATAGCGTTTATGGTAATACTTCAATATTTTGAATTGGTCGTTTAAGTTGATTTTTTTTATTATTAGCAACTAACATAGTTTAAGAGGAGTTTTTAATTAACATAGAAAAAGATGTATAAAGTAAAACAACATAATTTGTTTGATAAGATCAATATTTATAACAGAAATAAATTGTATATACTACCCAAAAATGAATGTTTTATACATTACAACCACTGGTAGTGTTTTAGAAGGAATTTACAATTATTGGTATAAACAATTATATTAATCGAAATTCATAACAACCCAATCGGTGACTCACCAAAACTGTATTTAGTTGACTCGTCAAATGCATTTTTAGTAATAATTTTGTTAGTCTTAAAAAAAAAATGGCTAATGTTAACTATGTGCTATAAGTTGTGTCAATAATATTGTACAAACTTCGTACGACTAGATTTAAAAAATTTAAATACTGTATAAGAAAAAAATGTGTAGAGTTGAAAATGACAATAGTTGGGAACACAATTTAGGTTCTTTGTTTAGGTGATCAGCTCGTATACAACATTTTGAGTCGGTCTGCTAGAGTATGTTGCATTTTTTTGTACTTTTATGTGGCACAGATTTGATCGGAGGCCTCTCGGAAATCTGAAACCTCCTGACGATGCGTACGAGTTCATGGAAAGATTGGTCTATGTTCATTCCTGCTTTTGCACTGCATTCAATGTAGGGTATCTTAAGTTGCATAGCCATGTTTTGTGCCTCTTGTACAGAAACCTTAGAATGAAAAATACAAAATATAATAATAATTAACAGCTAGTTGTTATTTTACAAAACGAACAACGACCAACGGAAACACCCATGTGCGGTGGAGTATATAGGATATAATTTCGGGGGGGGGGGGGGGGGTGACCTCATAATAAATGAACTCATACCATTCGCTGGTTGCCCAGGTCTGCTTTATTTCCAACCATCAGCATGGGGAATTCGTCTCTGTCTTTCACTCTGAGAATCTGTCTGTGGAATTTTTCCATTTCGTTGAAACTCGTTCTGTCTGCCACAGAAAAAACTAACAGAAATCCTTCACCCGACCTCATGTACTGTTCTCTCATTGCGCTGAATTCTTCTTGACCGGCAGTGTCCAAAACTAAATATAAAAAAAAAAGATGTCATAAATATAATTTACGTATTATTACGTTGAGCAGTGTATAAGAGCTGAAAAACATTACTGTCTAATTTTGCAGGAACATCGTCGACTACGCATTGCTTTGTGTACGAGTCTTCTATTGTGGGATCATAGTCTGTCACAAAATATTTCTGCAACAAATAACAATAGTAAATACATATTTATGCTAAGTGTACTTAATAGTTAATATTTTATAATATTTCATTCATTGGATTTACATTATTGTAACGACAGCCTGAGGCCATGTAAATCAAATTAATTCTTTATTATACAGATTGTCTTATCTGCTAACATTTTTATGGAAACTGTTTATTAATAACCTTTAAGACTGCAGTTTCGATACAAAATCTTGCTTGTACCACTTGGCCAGCAAGTTCCAGATTTACAATCCTAGAAAAGTTGCAATGGTTTAAAGTCCTTAACCTTGGTGAAAAATACGCCTTCCCAGTTTTTCTAGTTGTCCAAATAGTAAATCAAATTTGTACACAGTTTATAATCCCAAGTTTGAAAACAATGAATGCATTGGTACAGGGAAGGTTCTCCGGGACTTATAGAGTTTATTTAGTTTCAGAGAAAATAACTCGACTAGAAAACAGTTTTTTTTATGTATGTAGAATGATATATTCCAATTCGGAGCAACAATTATTTTTAGAAAAAATACTTTTATTTTATTTGAGAGAGTAAAATGTGAATTTAGCCAAGAACATTACTGGGCTATATTTAATTTATGATAAAAACAAATGTTTCATTTAAAAATTTCATATGAATATCTATACCGGTGAAAATATATTAATTAGCATTGATAACATTTTGAAAAAAATTGTTTTGATAGAAATTACAAACTGTAACTAGTCTTTACCACAATAGTAAAATGGTTTTATTTTTCTTAACCAAATAAATGTTGAAACATTATAATAAAAAAATGTAATTGTTGTCCAATTATTATAACTAATTATTTAATTATTATAACCTACTAAATAAGAATATTTCTCAATAAAAACCTAAAATTATAATTTTTTAATTAAATTGTAAAACCAAATTTACTGGAAGTTGGTATCTTACTAAGAAATTAAACTAACACACTTACACATCAAACTTAGGAATGGACTTAATGTTATCATCAATCATAGATTTTATTATTATGTTATGACCTAATTATAAGATAAAATACTAAACATTTTTTTTAAAATTATAACATGTTTTTGTCACATAAATAAAATTATGTAGTTTTTTCCTATAGCAAATCCATATATGGAGCTGTATGTGATCTGTGTAGGTACAATGAGTGTACCTTGGATTGGACCTACTGGCAAGGAAACGTCCACACCTACACACATTATGCAATTAGTTTGTGAAATTTATTTTAGAATATATTTCAATAAAAAAAAAAACAATTTTTTTTTCTACAAACTTCATTCATCTGTCCTTATTATGTTTTTAGAAATAATTTTTAATCTTCCACATATAGGCAGGTAACGTTAACTATATTTGTGCAACATTTCAGTATAAAATTAAATGTAAATACAATGAACTTGAGAAATTGTTTTTCGTTTTATAATAATTAAAGTAATCATTAGTTTACTAGAAAATGAGCAAAGCAGTTGCTCAAAAAGATAAAAAATAGACTGGACCACCGAACGACCCACAGCATAAAATGCCTTTGTGATATTTTTATAACAAGGCCTATTTTGAGGGATTTGCATTATCAGTGCCGGAAATATCAGAAATAAATGGGGAATAATGCACATTAGTGTTTCTAGTTTCAAAACTAAACCTTGAAATTTTATTGATGTTAACGGTTAAAAAATTTGGTACACCTAAGGGACAGCTTGGTACTCAAAGGGTGATCCTCTCGGCGCCCTGAAATACGCCTCTTGTATTTGAACTGCTTTAGTGTTACAATTTCCGGGACAAATTAAACTAGTATTTTTTCAATCTACACTTTTGAATGAATATTAAACGTTTCAATAGGTACTCGTCCAAATTAAAATAATTGTACGATTGGTCATCGTATAAATAGGTAAGTACTATTATGGAAATTTGAAATATGGCATTTGATTTTAACAGTTCTGACCCAATGACTCTTTTTAAAACAAAACATTTTTAAGGAAAATAGAGTTAATATAATGTACGTTGATCGACTGTATAATATTAAACAGTATAATAATCCTCGATGATTTAAAAAAAAAAACTAAGAAAAATTTGTTCATAATCGTCGAATTTATGATTGAAATCGAATATGTTGTCGTTTGAACTCAATATATTATTACTGTAAATACCAAATAAGTAGTTTACCTGGATAAATTGTATAGTTATAGCAGATTTCCCAACACCACCGCCGCCGACGACAACCAGCTTGTAGTTTTGATTGTAATTCGGGTGATTCATTATACTCGAATGATTTTGATCACTAACTTTAAAATAAAATAATAAAATATGAACTAATAAAAATGTAATTTAATTTAAGATCACTATTTGGTATATAGTTATACTACAGCTGCTATGACGGACAGTCCTACAGACCAACCACCATGACCAATAACCGCACAGAACCGAACCCAACTGACTAAAAAGGAGACGCACTGACACCAGAGCTGCTGCAGCTGCTGCTGTCAAAATCGTGAACACTTGTGAGTTGTGACACATATGATGGTCCGACACAGCAGCTTGATAATACGGCCCAGATGTTGTTAACATTAAAAAAAGACCTTTCATAAATGGTCACACTGTGTGCGGTTTTTTTTTTTTATAATCGATATTCGACAAATTAATAATAATTATAGTATTGCCGTAATCGGATTCTGAATTCTCATGTTTTTCCGTCCATTTTTAAGGAGTAAAGTATAGGCAATTTTTAACAAAATCTTAATTTAAAGGTTAAACTGTGATGTGTAATTATTAGTTCAATAACTAAAACTCTATTTTGGTAGTTAATTTATTTTTTGGACTATCACAGCATACTTGAAAGCGATTTAAAAATGTTTTTTCATCTCTACATGTTCAAGCAGACTGAAAATACCTCGCTTAATTTTGGATTTAGAGTAAAAGCATATATTATAAAATTAAAAAAGAACAATATTTCGGAGGGCAAGGCGGTGCGTTTTTTTCATTATTCTTAGTATAGCGCTCAATACATAGTTTAGAAATTACGACTATTTTAACATTTTTAAATGACTGTAACTTTTCAAAAAAAACGCACCGTCTTGCCCTCCGGAATATTGTTCTCTTTTATTTTTATAATGGGTGCTTTTACTCTAAAACCAAAATTAAGCGAGTTATTTTCAGTCTGCTTAAACATGTTTTTACCACTGAAAAACACCGGTGCGACGCCCTCTTAACGGGCTAAAAATCGAGACTATAAGGTTACAACTTACACTTCACTCGAAATCAAACTGCACACCTCATATTATATACACTGATACACTAACTACAAAAACCAGTCTATATCTTAATAGTTATTCGACTTTTATTTAATTATATCACACACAGTTATTAGTAAGCCAAAATTTGATATATTTCATATTTGTCGACTAAATATAACCACATGCCTTGTATGTTAAAATCCTATGAACTTGAGATTTTGAAATGGTCACGTATTTTTATTAACTCAACTTAAAAAAGTCTAATATCTTCCGAGATTCACAGGTTCATCGTAGCTTAGGTAATAATATTATTGTCGAGTGTCGACCATTGTAGTTATTACGAATTATGTTGGTAATTTAAGATTTTAGTTTTTATTTTTACATGGAAATAGTCTATCCAATCGAGGCTAGAGAAAGATTAGTATAACTATAAGGATGCGAGTCGCAGTGGCCAGTGTTTATGGTTGCCAAACGACATGTACTCGTATACAATTATGGTACATAAAACAACACATTTTAAAGTTATAACAAACATTTTAATTGAAAAATACTTTATATAAGAACAACTGTAATTAGTTAAACTATTAAATACGCCACAGAGTGACTACAATAGGTAGTCATTTTTATCAAATTTCCTCCGTAACTACAATAAAAATAACTTTAAAAGTTATATACCAAAAAAAAAGGATGTTTTTGGCACCGCCTCAATACACTTTATATACATATCTATTATCTATAGTATACACTATACTTGTCAGTTGTCCACTTTTGTTGGTCGCGCGAGGCGTGTTAAGTTAACACCAAATGACGGCTAAATGTGTATATTTTGTTGTGTCCGTCCAAAGTTGACTCGAGAACTTCAAAACTATAAAACAACATTACCCTGCGGTTGCCTAGACACAAGAATAACGAAGACGAATAATACATTCCAAGTATAAACTTGGAATTTTCATGAGAAAATTGTATAACTTTTCTTGTGCTAAAGTTCAGTGTTCAGTAGAACGCTACTGCTAAAACACGTAATGACGATTCCACATATTCAAATTCTACGGTTAAATAACAACAATTAGTAAAGATTTCTTGTAATTTATATTTAAAAAAAAACCTATGTTATTAAAACACTTTAACAGTAGCTCTAATTGCTTAGAATTATCTATTACGAAAACCTTTTATATTATAACAATTTTACTTGTTTTAGCTAAGCCAAGTGCTTAGTATATTTTGTTATCTGGTAAATTACCAGTGGTTTAAGTGAATAATAACGGCCAACTCTGAATTAAAAACTACAAATTTTAATTCACAAAACGATATTTACTCTATACATTAAGGTGATCCCTTCTTCTTATCAAACCAATATTATCGTTTTAATGATCACAGAAATCCGTATTCACGTAAACATTTGTGGTTGTAGCTTTTTTTTTTTTGTTTGAATAATTGAATTTGTAACTTATTTTGTTTTAATTTTTCGGCGCGTTGTGGCAAAAAGAATAAGTATGCTAGTAACTCATGTTATCAATTTTAACAACATGGCTACCACTGGTCTCCGGTAAGAAATACACAGTTGCTCAAAAACATTAGCTGCCATTTTAGCGTCATCACAAGTTGCTAGCATACCTACTCATGATTTCATGTTTTTTTACTGCTATCAATTTTATTATTTTGTCTGTTATCTTTATAATTTAAATTAGAATTTAGAACATACAAATTACAAATACGGGCTCAGGGCATACGAGTAACGAGTTTGTATACTTGTCTATGGTTTGTATTTCGTTGCACATATTACGGCATTGTTTAAAATATATAATATGATTTATAGTTGTTTTTATCAAGTATAAACATTAAACGTACATATTACCTATTGTAACGCTCTTCTATTTTTGGTTAAATAATAATTTGTAATTGTCGAGCCATCATATTTCCCAATAAAGGCTAATAAGTAAAAAAAAAAAAATATTAAACATTGTAAATCTAAAAAATAAAGGTCAAGGTTTTTGAATTGATTTGTGAAATTCAAATAGCAAATTACTATTTCCTATTATTATTATTGTCTAATGACTAGCGACTACTGATAAGTGATCAGTTATTAGTCAGATACCGATTACTGATTAGTAATTATTGCTTGTTAAAAAAAAAAAAATTGTTAATTGTAATTGAGATATGAGACGAAATTAAATAAAGAATTAGAAACAAGCTTCTTGTGCAATGTGTTTTTTTTCCTAAATAATAATTCCAGTTAAAATTTGTACGTTTTACTTAAAACATTTTTCTCCGTTCCCATTGTTAAAAAAATGAGTTCAATTGAAAGCGTTATTCAGAGTGGCTATTTTAACGATACACTGAGAGAATGGCAATGTCAAAATACGTATATTACATCGTCAAATTTGATGTATCCGATTTTTATTTTGTGAGTTTTAAGATTTAAATTGTAAATAGTTCAAAATATTTCACAAAAGTATAAAAACTTAAAATTTTATACTGACATCATAACTAATGTAGAAAATAAACGTGTGAGTAGACTAGAGTAGGAGTGAATTAGTTGTAAATAAAGTTGTTACAAAACTGAGAAGTACTCGACAGTAATATTATGACTATATTACAACTATATTATTACATAATACAATATAACATTATACATTAAAAATCCTTCTAGAATTTTTTTTAGATACTGTCCGGTTACTTTAGGCTATATAGTGTAGGTTATAATGTGATCAATATTATAATTTTATTTCTGTTTAGAGACGATGAGGATATTAAAGAAGAAATAAAGTCTATGCCTGGAATTTTTCGCCAAGGGTTAAAACACTTAAAAGCGTCATTAGACCCGGTGGTGGAATCTGGACTTAAATCTCTATTGATCTTTGGAGTAATTAATAGATTACCTAAAGTAAAGCACACTTTTTTAATTTTTAATTATTGTACTACAGAATATTATTATTATTTATTTTTATTCTCTAGGACGAGCACGGAACACACGCAGATTCCCCTGAAAATCCGGTCATACAAGCTTTGCCTTTATTAAAACAATGGTATCCAAACTTAACAATAGCATGCGATGTAATTCATTTGTTATTATATAATACTATAGTTATAAAAATGTTTAAAAAGATAAAATTTTTAGTTTGAAAATTATACTTGGCACAAGCAATGTATTTTTTGCATAAGTTGATCTTATTCAATTATCAATATTCTTATGTTTTTACGATTGTAAATAATCTTATTTGAAAATAATTTTCTCACGGGAAAAATCATTTGGTTTGCTTGTTAATTAAAAAAAAAAAAACTTGTTATGAATATGATGTTGATAGTTCACACCTTAAATTTTTACTGTAATTTTCTAATATATTTTTAACATTTGTAGGTATGTCTCTGTTCTTATACTACCTACGGACACTGTGGAATTATTGAAAACAAATATATTGACAATGAGAAAAGCATTAAGCGTTTAGGAGAAATAGCCTTGTCTTATGCCATAGCTGGTACGTTCTCAAGTGTTATAACTTATAAAGTATAACAAATACTCTTTACCTTTGATAACTCTAATTGATATATTTATGCATGTCAGCACTATGGAACGTAAAATAATTGGAATTTGTTTAATTTTAAAGGGCACGAAAATAATTTTGTATGTAAAATAAGTATTTCACTATATTTGGCTATGCCATAAATTATTAAATAAATAAAATGATATATATATATATATATCTAATATATATATATAATCATGTTTAAACGGTTTTTTAATTTATAGGGGCTGATATTGTTGCTCCGTCTTGTATGATGGACGGAACTGTGAAATCAATAAAACAAAAATTACTAGAAGGAGGTCTGTTAAGTAGAGTTGCAGTTTTGTCGTACGCTGCCAAATATTGTTCATCGTTTTATGGACCTTTCAGAGATGCCGCTAATTGTGCTCCCAGTTTTAGCAACCGAGCTTCTTATCAGCTTCCGGTTGGAAGTTCGAGTCTCGCAGAAAGAATAGTGGTCAGTAATTGTTTTTCCGCGTATCGACTTAAGTTGCATGTAACGTGTCATTAAAATTAAATAGTATTAACATTGTAAAAAATTATACTCTTTATTCGATATTTTGTTATTATTGTTCGTTATTACAGTTCTAACTTTAAACGGTTATGCTGTCAACATTTAATATGTTGCAGTTTTCTGATGGAATTGTTTTTTGTACAAAATAATTAATCTATATTTTACTATAAATGTTCATCTAATGCATATTTTAGACAATCTTTTAGAAATTAACAAAATCAAATGTTTTTTTTTAATATCCTTCCTGCATTTAAAAAACAAAATGTTCTGAGTAATGTGTGTTTAAAGTTTTAAGTTTTGGTGCTTCGTACCTATTGTGTGTGTAAATACAGCCAATTTCAATTTTAAACAGAATAAAAAAAAGTCAATAAAATAAAAAATGTTCGATTTTGTAAACCTGGTTTTCCTCTTTACCATTTAATCTTAAGAATTCTCAAAAAAATCATTACATTTTTTTATAATTTTTTTTTTAATATCTGTTTGTTAATGCACATATTATGAAATGTTACAGGATAGAGATGTTACAGAATGCTGTGATATGTTAATGGTTAAGCCGGCAATGATGTATTTAGATATTGTTTCAAAAATCAAAAACAAATATCCCAACAGACCTTTGTTTGTGTATCAGGTATAACTACATCTGTATAAGAAAAAAAAAAGGTTCTACCCCTTCTAGAAAAGAGGTTCTGAGGTTTTCAAAAAAGTTATACGAGTTTACTAATCATAAGATGAAAATTGTGTACAATTATTAGGATGTTTTTCTCAAACTGAGGGGTAAATTTTTTTTTTTCGGCCTTATAAAGTACCATTTGGGTACACTTTCTGATTTATAGATTATTGTTACACGTCATTGTAAATACCCTCTTAGTTCTACATCAAAACTAAAATAAAATTACAATCTTATGTAAGACTTCTTGTTTTACTTATTACTTGTTTATTTAGGTATCAGGAGAGTATGCGATGATCCATCATGCTGTTCAAGCAGGTGTTTACACTCTGAAAAACGGGTTGTTAGAAATATTAAAGAGTATGAGACGAGCAGGTATGTATGGTTTTACAAGTTGTTCTCGTAATAAATTAAATTATATTTTAATTGTATTTGTTTTAGGAGCCGATGTAGTTGTATCTTACTACACTCCGGAAATATTGGCATGGTTAAAACACAGTTCTCCTTTGTAGTTATCATGCGATACCAAATACAAAGTATTGAGTTTTTGTTTATTATATACTTGTAATAGAAATATTATAAAGATTAAAACATTATTTTCTTAAAATTTTTATATTGTGGTCTTTATGGTCTAAATAATAAAAAAAAACTTGTACTTGTTACAATTTAATTTTTATAATCTAAATGTTAATATATATTATAAATAAAATTGTGCTTGTCAAGGTAAAATGCGTCCTAAGTTGAAGTTAATAAATTTTCAAATTTCTGGTACCTCTAATAAAACAATAACAGACTTTTAAAAATTTAACTTAAATTTTTTAAAAATTAAATACATACAACTATTACAAAAAAAAAAAATAGTTTTGGAATGATTAGTAGTTAAAAATAAGTATTTAAAAAATACTTCAATTGGAAATAAAAATGTGTTTCACATTGAATCCAGTTTATTAAAAATTAAAATATAATTAACAGAATAAAAACAACTATCATATAAATAAATTAAAAAAATTAGATCATTATTTTTGTTCAGATACGGGTTAACAATAATTATTATAATAAATGGTTTTTAAATGTATATCAAAATAATAACATTAAACTATAAATAAACATAAATAAAATATAAAACAAATAATCGAATACACAAGTTAATATATTTTTATTTTGGGAAATAAAGATCTTTAGTTTAATACTTTATTCGTTTAGTGTTCGTAATAAAACATACACTTGAGTTAATGTTTTGTCAAAAAAAAATAACAACAAAAGAACAAAATGGCTGTTGATAGAAATAACATTATAAAAAAAAATTAGAGATTAACTTCAAATATTATTAAAATAAAAATCTGACTAGAAAACGGTCTTAATGAAAAACAAAAGAACAATTTGTTCAACGTTAGAAAAATAATTTTACAAATTGACAATAAATCAATTTAATATTTTTAATATAATGCTATTCATAGTTTTATACTAAAAAATAATTACTATATAATGTAATCTTTTAATTATTAAGAATAATTTGTAATATTGTTTATGTTATACAAAAATAGTAAAGATTAGTCTTCCGTAGATATAGTAGATAGTTTGACACTTTTTCCAATGGACCCAGAATTTGATAAATAATAACATATACATACAAACATTTTTAAATAAATATGTACATTTTTAAACTAGTATTATAATATTGCTAAAGCTCCGACCAAAACCAAAAATAACATTACATAACAAAACAAATTTGCGTTAGTTTCTACAATTGTTTGAATAGTCGTTGGCAAGACATTTAAAGAAAATTGCCCAATCGTAATAGATATAATTAATCCATTTGAAATATATATATATATATATATTAAGTTAATCGTTAACACTAACTTGAAGATAACAGTTAAATATTATGTAATAAATTATAAGAAGACAATAACGTGGTTTTAATAGATTTGCAAGAAGAGAATCAATATCGTGTAAATATAATGTTGGCAGTTGTGGTAATATTATATAAAAGTACACGTCTCTTCAGCGTACGTTTTTCAGCTACAGTCGATCATAATTGTGCTAGTATTCTGAGATGCTATACGTCTGAGTCTCGGCCAATAACGTCGAGCAGCTTTCCGAGCTTTACTTAATGTCCATCTTACAACGCTTAGTTCGCAAACAGTCGTGTAGATGTACTTTAAGACGTCAGTAAACATATCAGTTAAGGCAACGTTATTCAAACCATATACAAATATTAATGTTTTATAATTAATTTACTGATATAAAAACTAAAAAAAAGGAAATTGTTGTAAAAAGCAATAATTATTGTTTTAAAAGGATATAATATCATCCACTGTTGGTGGCCTCCGTTTATGTACAGCACATATGCAAACCCATCTTTGTTTATTCCGTTTATCATGTAATAATATGGATGAAACGAATGTAACCTTTAACAAAATAAAAAAAATAAAACAATTTTGTAAATTTTATATCATAGTTTTAATGTTAGAGCTTAATCTAAAAAAAAATGGTTTTTTAAGATTTTAATTTCAATTTTGGATTTTTTTTTTATCTGTTATTAACCAATTTAGAGGCTGTTGCTACTGTAATGCCGTCGCTGCCAAACTACGTAATGTACACACCACCACCACTTTGTTTTTTTAGCAGTTTTCCAATAAAGGTAAAGCAAAAACTAACATTAAAAAAAAAATGTTACAAATGCGTTAGTAGTCACTTGTTGTACAAAAACTGCTGGTGGCATTAAATAGAGTTTATTAATTTGTATTGTGTTTTGTGATACAATACCTAAAATGTTTTCTCTCGTAGAAGGAAATCGCGGACGAATTACTAGAGAGCACGTGCAGGAAAATTGCTTTACAATTTTGAGATTCTGGCGACATAAGGTGCGACACCAAACTGTCCAACAACAATGAAGCGATTCCATTGCGCCTATACGATTTATTTACTCCTAGACTTAAAATATATCCAACTTGAGTGAATTTTCCAGCTGAAGGCGATACTACTTCTCTTTCCTGACAAAAAAAAAAATTTAAATAAATAAGTCAAACATTAATTATTAAATGATTACATACTTTTGGTGATAATTTTATGTACAGCTTGATTTCTGCTACTATAATACCGATTATAGCCGATTTGTGAATAGCAGCCAATGAATAAAACTTTGGATTAGAAGTAATGTCTTCGTACCAAGATCTCGGATACTCTACGGGAAAACAATCCACACATAATGCATTTACCTGTAGAAAAAAAACAAGGAATTAATTAAAATCGATTATAGTCGCTTAATTAACTTTGACCATTTACAACTTTGTCAACATATTTTCTAATTTGAGTAGATATAAATCATTATTAGTTTGCATTACAATAATGTGTTACTGTTATAAGGTTAACTATTTTTTTTGTCATTTTGGTTCTATTATACTCATACTTATTATATCAGTGTAAACCCCATTTATGCTTTGTTAATGTTACAAGCACCAATAGAAATTAATTATGAACTACAACATCAAAGCCAATTGATGAGAGAGAGAAAAACTTGCTCAACAAGAGCCGGCATGCGTTAGTTTTTTTTTTTTCACTTTTGAGATCAAATTAGGCAGTAACATTGTTGAATTCCCCCCCAGTTTTTTTAATTCTATATTAAGCTATCTATCTGTATGTACACATAAATACTAAAACATTATTTTATTTATAAAGTCTATTGATGCAATTCATTCAAACAAATAAAAATGTTTGTCGACAAGTAATTACCTCATTTATATCTTGTGGACACAGGAACCTTAGTTGTACATTTGACAAATCGCATAAACCCAAGGATTTTACTTGATGTAATGACGATGAACTCTCTACATACCTAAATATACAAGTTTGTTCTCAACAAAGTACATACTTATGAGTATAATTTAACAGAGGATTTTTTTTACATAATTCATTTGAACAGCTGTGTTGTCATAGATTCGACGATACTTACCAGTTAAAAGTATCCATTCAGAAATCGAAATCCCATAACGTAAAAAGGAAAAAAACATATGAATCAATTTGTTCTTCGACCGACTCCAACATTGACTGCTGCTACATAAATATAACAATATTATTTTATATTAGAACCGTATCATCATGATGATACCTTACAAAAACACAATAGCGAATACTTTTTAACAAAATTATTCCTTTTTTTATTTAAACTGTTTACACTTTTATTATTATTTTGTTGTATTTATCAATAATCGATAGCAGCAGCCAGCAGCTGTTATCATGTTGTTTTTGAGTCCAGCCGTCATTCTGTGAAAGGACTAAGGAGACAGGAGTGGAGTTGGAGCGTTTTGTAGTAACTCAACAAAAAAAAAAAAACGATTACTCGCGGGTTTGTGCTTATCATTTAAGTAGAGTTTAGTATGAATACATCCATTTATGATAATATAGGATTATTACCATTGTTTGTTAATACTATTCTATAGATATGTTTTTGCTATTTATTATTATATTAGATATACATTATGTATCTATTATACACTAATATGTAGAATACCATTGTACCTTTATAGTAATACCACATTAGTACCTCAAAGTAATATCTCAACGTTCCCGAAAGAATAAATAAAATAAGAATGCCTCCTTATTGTGTACATGCAAAGTCAATAGTAAAAAAACATTAGTTATGCTCACAAATTTATAAAAGTGTGACCCTTGATCAGTGGAAATCATTTCAATGGTCTGGCGAATCAATGTTTGAACTAATTGGTTCAGAACCTCTATTTTTTATATTCTTATCGCTCAAATATGTGTTAATTAGATACTTAAGATAGTTATGTTATTAATAAACTCATTTATATACACGGAAAAAGCCTGTCAAGTTGAAAATTGGTTTTTGCAACATGTTGAGCCACATGTAACAAGGTGCATATCCAAAGAAGAGGCCTAGAATAAGCCAAGAAAAACAAATTGAGACGTGTAAAATTTGTGCGTGTAATATAGGTGTATACTGTATTGACTGTAAACAATTAAATAAAATACCTATTGTAAAATAAATAATTACAGATTTTATGATTTAATTAAAATAAAAATTTAATTTTAAAAAGTCAGAAAAAAAATTGTCTTTATTATAAATATAAAATCGCTTCCGTGTATAACTATTTCGATGTACTAACATTTTCGTTATCAATAAAATAATTTGTTTGAAATTCGAAAAATGAATGAGGAACGTCAAAGTTAGTATCACCGTATAGTTTAGTTATGAAGACTTTAAGTACAAAAAGATCAAGCATGCCTTCGTATTCATTCCCGTCCGAATCTCTTGCTTCCACTTTAAGCCGTTTTGCCAAGTTAAGCACTTCCGCCTTTCTCTGACTTTTGTAAGATGGATCAAAATCAGCACGTGCAATTTTTAATGATGAGAAAAGGCGTAACGCTTTCGAAAATTTGGCCAGCATGTTCTTAATTCGGATTTCGTTTTCGGTATTCTTCTTTGAATCACTAAACGTAGCATGCGGTTCCGAGCTCAACATTTCGGCAACAAATTTTAATTCATCGTCTTCGTCTATTTTTAAAAAACTGATAATATCTTTATAGTTTTTCAACATAATTTCGTTAGTCGTCTCTAATTTACTCTGCAAAATCCACCGTGTCAATTCCTCTGGTGACTGTGTTCCGTTTTTACACAAAGGCAACGTCGTATGCACATCAAGTACATATTTCATCGCTTTACGAGCGATTATGTACTTCATTAGATTAACAAACATAACCAGGCACCCGCCAAACTCTGCGACGAATGATCGAACAGAGACCACTGGAGGCGGTTTGCTGTCTAAACCGTATTTTTGTATTGTCTTGTACGCATCCGGCTTGTTCTTGGCCTCTGCGAAATCATCTAACAATATTTTCATAATATCTGCGTCGAGCATAATGTGTCTTAAGCGCAAATCGTCATTGGTAAAATATGCATGGACATTGTCGATGCTTAAGCTTCGTCTTATTTTTGTCTGTCTATTGTTTGTCGTTTGAAAAATATCAGTAAGCAATATACTTATCAGGGTATCTGTGTTTGTATCAGTAAAACTGAGCTTGTTCAATTCTTTGAAGAAGTCGGACTCATTATATTGGTGGTTATACATATTATCCGGTTGGCAATTGTTGTCAGTAAATTTAGTAAGTGACCTATAGATGATATCGTGATCGTGCCTAATAAGGATGGTCTTCTTGATATTTTGTTTTGAGACTAATTCGCTAGAGGCAATAATTTTTAAACAATCCAAGTAAGCATACATCAGCCATAACGGGTCTAAAGAATTTACCTTACCGAGATGTTTCAAAACGAAAAACATTATACCAATTTGATTTTTGAAATATGTCGCATTGATCATATCGTACTTTAATGCAACCTTAAAAAAATCTTCACTTACTAAGTCTATCAGATTTTTAATCAAATTCATGTAATACCGACAAGTAAACACATAACTACACAACAAATTTCTGTAGACTTTTTCTTTTGTTACCGTTACTGCATTTTCGGTGATTTCTTCTAGCTGATTATGTGTTTCTTTCATACCATCGTTTGAATATCCCGTATCGACGTTCAGTAAATTGTAGTACTGAACAGCTATCATATCATTTGACTGTTTTGAACTGCCATTGACCGTTTCTCCGTTTTGAAAAAGAGTAAAAATCATCAAAACCACCATTGATGTTCGGAAGAAAAACATAGTTTAGTCTTTTTGAAAAAAATTTATAGAAGGTGACGAAATGTACTATTAGTTATTAAACTTTTACCAGTACGACTAAGTTATACAGTGTCAATATCAAACGTAATTATTCGTTTTACAATAATATATAATTTGACAGCAAACAGCACGGCGTGGCGTATAGTTGTGTACCTACTAAAATTAATTATTACACCTGTGTTTAAACTATATGTTTTCCTTACTAAATAATAATGTTTTGTAAAATACTATAAATTATATGCACTGTACATTAAAAAGAACAAAAATTGCATACAAATTAAATAAAAGTGTATAAAATCTCACATTCAGTCCTAAGTGTACATAATATGATTTACATTTAACTATACAGTTGTATATGAATAGGATTTTACAAAAAAATTAACATTTAAAGACCTTCTTCTGACTTCGTCCGCCTTTTCCGTTAAACTGTAGTCAAAGCGTGGCAAGACGTTCTATTTCCCCTTCCATTACCTTTCGTCCTTGGTTCCATAATTTAAATATTCCCAGAAATGTAATATCCTATTTTGACGCCTTAGACTTGGGCATAATCTTCTACCGTCACACGCATTCCATCTATTGCTTAATTCTGTTCCATATTGTCCTCTTCATGATGATGAAGCTATTTGCGATTCTCTCACCTCCTTACCATCTGTCCGGCTTTAACCAACAAAAGGCTCTCCCTATTTAATTTCTTCTCCTCTCTTAACATTCAGCCTCTCTTTACCGTTAACTTATTAAACTTCCGTTCCGTTCCTGTCATTCTTGCAATCCTTTCCTTTCTAAAGAGCTCTGGCTTTTCAGTTTAATTTAAGTTTATATTAATTTCATTTAGTTTTACGCACTCTCTGGTTGTTTTTTGTTATTTTCTATCATTTTATATTTATCGTTTAAAATCATGTCATTACTAATAATGTAACCTTACATTTACTCTTGAGTACTGTTTAATTGTCGAGCCAAGTATGTTTTATTAATAAAGGCATAAAAAAAAAAAAAACCCATACTCCACTCGCGACCACTGTCACCCCCCCGCCCGAAGCCCGACACCTAAAGTTAGACAATATTATAACGATGGTTTAACGTACAGGTGTAATAAGTGTATTGATTAAAATTTTACAGATGCTTGCAAAAAGTAAGTCCATAATGCTATACCATTTATTGCGTTTAAGAACATATTATACGGCCTATACCTATATTATATGAAACCTATATAAGCTTAACGGTCGGTCCGAATAACAAGATGTGTAACTATGTTTACTGATTGTTATTATTGTAAGGTTTGTTTATATTGTATTACGTACTTTTGTTTTTGTAATTATTATTTTGTACAAGAAATAGAGAGTAGCTGGTATTTTTATTTCCAAAAGTCACATTCGTGACAGTTTAACAGGCTAGCATTGGTATCCACAAGAACGTCAGCCATTCTGGGAGGAAGTATACTCTGATATTACTTGGATAAAAAAGGAACGTCAACCACCATTAAAAACGCATTGCCATATCGACGTGTCTTTTACAGGAGCCGAGAAGGTATTGTGTTTTTATTTTTCCGAACCCACGATGTGTGCCTGGGCCCGCGATACTTCCTAAATCCCTAAGCCAATTTATTCGTGTAGCATCAGAAATCGTTCCTGAAAGACACTTTATTTGGGCAAAAATTGTAAAAGTTCACTCCTACCCTTTCAAAAAGGATAGAACACCTAACAAATTTACATAGTTTACGGTAAAACCGGTCCATCGATCGACAAAACAGTTAACAATATGTTAATATGTTGCCAAAACCTTAACAATAAGTAAAGGTTATTATTATTCACATAAATATGTATTTTTTTTTTTAGGTTTACTTGTGAGCATGAGCCATGACAGTTGCTGTGTAAATAAATATACAATACAAATGGACAAGTAACCAATATTATAGTACAGTGAAATATTAATAATTTAAAACAACCTATATAAGGGTCCGGAATTAACTCCTGTCAAACTGTGGAATAACTTATAAACGTGCTTGATTGGTGGCGGAGATTTCCATCGAAAAGTTAACTCTGGACCCTACATAATACATTGCTTGATTTGGTAAAAAACTGTTTTCTGAAAACTTATAAAATTGGCCCTTATTAAAAACACATTTTTTTTAAATTCATTTAAACTAGTATTAATTATTGTCCATTGATAATTATCGCCTCCCCCTGTCCCGACCAAGTCAAGTACTGCGTGGATTAGGTCTGTGTACGATGATGTCCTCGCCTCATGAACAAAAATTGAAACTGTAACTGTACTTCAATTACACTCATAGCTAATTCAGTTTACAAATGCATACATATATCTCAAAAAATACCTACACGCGCCTAAACTATACTTACTAACTAACTATAACTTTCTCGAAGATTAATAGGCACAACACGACCGCGGTGTACTATTGCCAAAAACAAGTCAATACACGTTTTAAATTTAAATTTTAATATTAATTAAAGTATTTTACTATAATTTCGTACAGAAAAAATATTTCCACATTTCATGCCAGCGTATAAGGGTTATAGCTCGCAGGAGTCCCGGCTAAGTTTGGGCGTGATATGAGCCGAAAGGTTCTCACGTTAACGGAGAGGGTAGCGGTAGGTAACTGCATTAAACCTTCGACGTGACCATGTATACTTTGCTCGGCTGGCTTCCGGGTTATAGAACCAAACTATGCTGGAACGCAGGCTCGGGACTGAGGGATTGAAGTTCCAGGCCACGATTGTAGAAATCTTTCGAAGGTAGGAAACGAGCCTGGAATGGAATTTGGAGTATTCCGTACAAACACGTTGTCTATGTTGACAAACGAAGCGTTTATCATTTTTTTTAGTTTTTTTTTTTGGAATAGTACACATTCGCGGAACTAAAAAGATTTAAAACCACCTAAATCCAAGACCTCATTTCCACCACAGAAGACACCTCCAACACATACATATTTCCAAATCCGCTTTTTACTGGTAAATACAATTCGAAACATCATCGTAGATGGAGATACCACGTCGAAAAAAAAACGAGCCAAGTACTCTACCTCATAGGTGGTTTGGAAACGAGTATGAATACCCTGATTATACGCATATTATATTATTATATTATATTATTATGTTGTGCTCAAGCTGACTACATATTTTCAAAATAAACGCATAATGATTTTCAAGAAGACCGCGTTTTGATAGATAATTATTGAAAAATATAATTCGGAGTTTCCAACAGCAAATACTGCAAAGAACGGGGAAAACAACATTTAAGGACGTGAAAAACACATAAATAAGAGCTTCAGTAAAAAATGTACACTTTTACTTGTACCCAAGTCTTCAATGCAAAGCAACTTTTTGAAAGCTCACGTTTGAAAAAATGCACGGCGTTTTGATGGTACGATTTAATTTTTCTCTTGTACTTAAGTTTTTTTTTAAATAAAAATTATAATGTTGAATTTAAATTAAATGAAAATGTTCTGTACTGTGAAACATTATTTTCACTCGTGTTAATCCAATTGTATTAAACATCTGAAAAGGCGCATAAAACGGGTCTTGCTAAACCAAATAAATTTACTCTAATTTTGTTCAAACGCCATTTAGGTTATCGTTCATTGTTTTGTTGAGAGAAGAATAAGTTATTATTTTTATATCAAACATTACAGTTTTGTTTTTATTTTTGTTTTAATTTAATAAACACATTTGAAGCTTCACATATCGTTCATAACTATATTTTTTTTATCTTTTAAAACTCTTGTTATAATTTTCCTTTTACATTAGCAAGTTACAATTATCAGGTGATTTTTTTTCACTTCTTACACTTTCAATCAACTTCCTTCGTGTAATGTAATTAATTACAAGTATCACCCTGTAAAAAATATACAGTGTCCTCTTAAAACCCCGAGTTAAAGCAACTCGAGTAAACCACTGAGATTAAACTATACCTAATTGTTTCATGTAAAAAAGAATTACACCCACCTTTACCCGTTGAAATAAAACAACTGCAGTTTGCGATATGCAGGTCATCCGGTTTTGTGGCCAAAAGTAGTCGAGCGCCGGACAGATCTCTTTGCATTACCATGCATACGGCTCTCCTAGATGTTTTCCACGACGGCTCGTCATCAGTTAGCAAAGACATGGGCCAAAGACAAAGTGTTTCCAAAATAAACCAAAACCTGTATAATACGAACGGTACCTGAATATACACTCAGGGCGGGGAAGGAAAGGAGAGGGAAATGGAAAGCGAGGAGAGGAGAAAGGGAACGTGAGGGTAGGAAAATGACCATGAACACATATTTGAAGTAATTTGGTGCAGTTTATCTGTTGAATTGAAATTCCTTCCTATTATATAGGTATAGGAGGTACCAATAGACATATTCATGGTCCAATATTTTTCTTTCGAGGGAAAAACTAACGAGGTTTTTTATGTTTGTTAGTAATCAGTTTTAAATTTTAATATGTGTACATTATACATATTTTTTATGCTTTTAGGAATTAGGATTGTACGTTTTGGAATATGTTGAAATAAGAAACATACTTCTATTTCTATGAATTATGATTTTAAAAAACGATTGTGTCTGTGTTAGACAAATTCCAGATTATCCTCTTCAGCAAACAGTTTCGGCGTGTGATTTCGAATGCGGACAATCGTCATAAAAAACAGACCGCATGCAATCCCCTTAAAACATCCTTAATAATATGGTCGGTCGTCCGCTATCTAGCAGGAACCTATGACAGCTGTTTACCGTATGTTTATAAATTATAATATATCGGTGGGAACTGGGAAGTACCGAAAGCAAACGGTGGGTGCCGATTGTGTTTGAAATAAAAAGACAAAACTGTTTAATAATATGTTTGCTCCTAACGGTAAACAGCTTTTCCAGCAGTTTGGAATATTTACTTTGGTATTGTTATGAAAGATAATGTAGGCAAAATGTTGTCACTTGCCCGGCCGCCGGCCGGTGTTTAATGGACGGTAGTTGCGACTGTCTTTATCATAGTTAGATATGCAACCAGTTTATCTATATAACCATGCGGTTATTGCTGCTTCCATCGGAATTCAGGAACTCATAATTCTCATTACGCATCATGGCAACGCTAAATTTATAAAAAAAAAAAAGAGTAGATGTTAAGTCTCGTAGAATTATATTTTACATAGTATTTATTTTACTATAATAATAAATGTTTATGAAAAACGTAATTCCAACTTATGTTGTAAGATTTGAACAACAAAATAAAGCCATTCGTTTGCCTATCATATTATAAAATATAATATATGATGATCAACCAAGAAAAGTCCTAGATGCCAAAAAAAAGACTGGGGTAAGGAAAAATCATACATAATTACATTATTTGAACAGTCATCTCGTAATTTATGTGTGACGTTTTCATCATTTTATATAGACTGGACCAACATCTGATCATGATAACAATTTATTTTTTTAAGTTTAAAAATAAAAACCGAGTTCTATCATTTTGTCTTAGTAGTGTAATAATTGTAATAGTAATTATAAAGGGTAAACCCTATAAGATATTGTTTGAGCGTACAATTTTTAAAGTACCTATAATTATTAATCAACTAATTAAAAACCTATACTTTTTAATAACCTTTGCTTCTTTTTACTCGTAGAGATACCGATATTATCAACAAGAATAATATTGAACGAGAAAATAACCAAATGGATAAATATTCTTTGTATACACAAGTAACAAACAACTTGGTGGACGAAGTATGTGACTTGTGTCTGGAGCCGTTTACATCTAAAAGGCAACTGAAATATCATATTACAACAACGCACAGTGGTATTTCTACGATCGACGATCTTTCAATTAAAAAAAAATCAGATAATAGATTCGAGTAAGGCATTTTTAAATCTCAAAACATATTTTGTAAAAGAGTCATCACATACTTAGTTAATATCTAATTTTATTAACACTCCCTTAGTTATTGGCTTTAGCATATTAATGCTAAGTATTACTCCTTTCCTGATTAGAGCACTTTTTTTACGTCCTTGATTTAAATTTGTGAGTTTTCTTGTTTGTATAGGTAGAAAATAACTGATTAATCCATTCAATATAAATTATTGAAAACATTTTTGATGACCACTTACGCAACATGAGTGCTTCCGTTGAGATTTAACCATATTTCTAGTAATATTCTTAAGGCAAACTAAGATTTTCTTGATCTATAACCATATTGGCTGTCCTTAATGTTATTTTCCCCTTTTAGTTTTATTCTGTTTTAAATTATGTTTAGCAGTATCTATAATGTTTAAAGTATATGCAATTAAATCTAGTTGCTTATATTAAGTACACTTTGTAGCATTCCTTTCTTGGAGATGGTGAATAGCTTACTTATTGTGAAAGCATTAGGGATATTCCCTGTGTTCTACATATCTAATATCTTATTATAAATAATTCTCTTCACATTGTCATCAACTTTTGTTAACAATTCACTAATTAATTATTAATAATTTAATTTAAATTGGGTCCTACTGCCGTCTTTTTTTTTTTTAATATTTGAGAGCATTATCAAGCTCATTCCTAACAGTCAATGATTAAAATCCACTTCTACTGTCTACATCCTTTCCAATGTATACATTTTACGCTATTATGCGTTATCCATTGTAGATTTCTTCCAGGTATTGTTGAGGTTGTTACACCACTGTTTAATGATATTTTATGTATCCCTTAGTAATTTATCCCATCTATCTATCATTTATCTATAACATAGTTTTCTGTTTTTTTCTCGTAGAGGTAATAAAATGATAAATGGGACAAATATTAAACATAAGAATTATGAAATGGCAGAAAATTGCTCTAAATTGTTGATGAAAGTTGAAAAAACTAGGCCTTTGCAAGTATCAAACAGTTTGGCGGAAGAAATATGTGATTTGTGCCTGGAGCCGTTTACATCTAAAAGGCAATTGAAAAATCATATTACAACATCGCACAATGATAATTCTACAATCGATGAATTTTCAATCAGAGCCAAAAACGGATATAAGTAAGGATATTTTTAACCTCATTAATCAGTAAACACAAGCACCTAAAAATACAAATTTTTGAACTAAAAAAATATTATTTGTAGATTTTTTAAGGTGAAAATATTTATAAATTGGGTTTAAGATGGTATAGTGTGTATTATTAAAACTAATTACAACATTTTCGGTTACATCTATATTATATACATATTGGTTTTGTAAAAATATTTATTCTTTTTAAAAACGAGCTAGAAGTCAATTCTTACCATTAACTTATACTTAAATGGAGGATTATTTATCAACATGTTACTGTTATTTATCATATTTAGTAATTTCCTTGAAGTTTGCTTAAATTAAAAAACTACTGCTTCAAAGCATATTGATTTAAGTGCCAGGTAGGAAGATAGGTTTCAGTTAAGCAAAGAAAACTTGTATGTAGATACTAGATAATTAATTTTTTTAATATCGTTGAAAATCGAAAAAGTTGGATAACTCAATACTAACAATGTTATTAAGTTAGTTAAAAAATAATTAAATGTATTCAAAAATGTATTGTGCATTTAATTATGAATTTAATTTGCATATGATATTTTTTATTTTTTCTGTAACAAATAACTTTTTTAATGTAGGCAATTAATTATGTTCTAGAGTTAAAACTATAAGAAACGCTATCAATACAAGAAGTAAAATAGATGACTTCAATTGCTATAACAATGAGCCTCAGATAGATACGTACAATAATTTGCAAGTTTTTAGGGAAACATCAAAGGAAGTCTTACCCAAAATATGTATGTTCATCTGCAATTTGTGTCAAAAATCGTTTGCTACCAAAAAACTAATCATTTATCATTTTTCAAAATCACACTCCACTATTTCAAACATAAAGCAGAAGTCTCAAAAAGGTATCCAAATTCTAGACTGTTGGGGTAAAAAATTTTCTGGAAACGATGGCAGTCACACTTATAAATCTAAACTCAAATTACATGAAGGCATGTATACTGTCAAACATTTTTATAAATGTGGTGTTAGCGAAAAACTATTTGCCCAAAACTCTCATCTCAAAATACATTTGAGTATGCATACTGGTAACAAACCATATAAATGCACTGTGTGCAATAAAACGTTTAGTAGTAAGGGTATTCTCAAAACACATAATCACTTGCATATCGGTATGAAACCGTTTGAATGCACTACGTGCAATAAAACGTTTAGCAGTAATGGCAACCTTAAAACACATTATCGCATGCATATTGGTGAGAAACCATACGAATGCGCTATTTGTGAAAAATCGTTTGTCCAAAACTCTCATCTCAAAATACATTTGAGTATGCATACTGGTAACAAACCATATAAATGCACTGTGTGCAATAAAACGTTTAGCAGCAAGGGTATTCTCAAAACACATAATCGCTTGCATATTGGTGAGAAACCATACGAATGCGCTATATGCAAAAAATCATTTGCCCAAAAGTCTCATCTCAAAATACATTTGAGTATGCATACTGGTAACAAACCATATAAATGCACTGTGTGCAATAAAACGTTTAGTAGTAAGGGTATTCTCAAAACACATAATCGCTTACATACCGGTATGAAACCATTTGAATGCATAATGTGCAATAAAACGTTTAGCAGTAATGGCAACCTTAAAACACATTATCGCATGCATATTGGTGAGAAACCATACGAATGCGCTATTTGTGAAAAATCATTTGCCCAAAAGTCTCATCTCAAAATACATTTGAGTATGCATACTGTAACAAACCATATAAATGCACTGTGTGCAATAAATCGTTTAGTAGTAAGGTTATTCTCAAAACACATAACCGCTTGCATACCGGTATGAAACCATTTGAATGCACTACGTGCAATAAAACGTTTAGCAGTAATGGCAACCTTAAAACACATTATCGCATGCATATTGGTGAGAAACCATACAAATGCGCTATTTGTGAAAAATCGTTTGTCCAAAACTCTCATCTCGAAATACATTTGAGTATGCATACTGGTAACAAACCTTATGAATGCACTGTGTGCAATAAAACGTTTAGCAGTAAGGGTATTCTCAAAACACATAATCGCTTGCATACTGGTATGAAACTGTTTAAATGCATAATGTGCAATAAAACGTTTAGCAGTAATGGTAATCTTAAAACACATTACCGTGTGCATATTGGTGAGAAACCATACGAATGTGCTATTTGTGAAAAATCGTTTGTCCAAAAGTGTCATCTCAAAAAGCATATCAAGAGTAGGCATACTTACGAAAAAGCATATGATTGAGATGTGTGCAAGATATTATTTAGCCAAAGCTTTCAAATTGTAATACATAAGCGTGTGTATATCAGTAAAAAAATAGATGAGATGTCTGCAATATAACGTTATCTTGTTAGCAATTAAAAAAAAAAAAAATTTGATACCCGAATCATTTTTATACAATATTTTCACACCATTTGTTGTTCTCGGTACTCATTACAAAGTTCTCAATAGGTGAAATCAGTAAGCTTTTATGCATGGGCTGAATATATTATAGTTACAAAAATTTAGAACATAATTATATTGTGATTATTCTGAGAAATTCAGCAAACACATCATCCTTTTTATTATTAATATTTATATCAAATTTGCAACCTTTTATTTGAACTGTAGAAAATACTGTTAAAACAACATTGTGACATTACTTTTTATAATTTATGGTAGTGCATAACATGATAATATGTGCATAACAAGATACGAGACTGCAATAGTTACACTTCATTTTTGTGTAAAAATAATTGGAGTTTTATTGATAAGTAAATAGTGTTTCAATAAAAGTTTGTGAAAACAAATTAACTTTTTAATTTAATTTAAACATTTTACATAACAGAAACTAATAAACAGTTTTGTAGTTTCATACAAATTGGTGTTGTAAAAATATAACCATCGACACAAAAAATAACAAGAAAATAGTAATATAGAAAAACTAAACAAAAGTTACTTTAACAGCATAATATCTGTACAATATTCTTAAATTGTCTATTAATTTAAGGCATTGTAACCTTTTTTTTTACATCTGATTTATGTATACATAACTTAATTGTATCTTTTTTTTAACGTTAAGGACTTTATGTACAAATTGTTATTATGTGTATTTATGTTACTACTGTTTTTAATGAAATTTTAGTTATGTTTATACTTATGTTACTGAAGACTGAATTATATTATATAAATATTAAATAATAAACAACAACATTACCAATCTGCAATTTCTTAAAATAAGGTTATTGAAAAATTTAATTTAGATTCTCAATGCCAATATATAATTATTTTACATTTTATTATTAATTATTTTATTTATTTATTAAGTATTTTATTTGATAGTGACATACTACATACATGTCAACAACAATTAAGCCATTTTTGTAATAAATTAAGTTGAAATGTTATACTATGCTGATTTTCCATTGGTGTTAATATTTTTAATATGCCAGTATTATACTGTCCTGATTTTGATTATGTATAAGTCTTTTTCTTGGTATTGACTGCACAGTGTTTATGTTATAAATTATAATTTATTTGTTTAAATAGGAAGCCACATATTCAGCTTCCCTTTATTATTATTTTCAGCATTACATATTTTTATGAATTAATGTATTTTTTTAAAAGCCACTCACTTTTTAAAATGTAATTGTGCTCTGCATACATAACTGATTGATTTTGATATCATTTTTGTTTATCATAACTTCCTTGATTTTGTTATTAAAACGAAAAAATACAAGCAACAAATATTTCTTACTATATTGTGCTGTAATTTTTTAAGAATAATTATTTATTCTATTATATTATTTAAAAGACTCATACATATACTGATAATTATTACATTATCTTAGTAAATTTTTTAAAAGTTTTAACTAAAAACAAAAATATGAGATAGGGGTAGAATGTTACACTTTTTTTGTAAAATAAGTAATATTTTAAGCAAGTAAATTAGTACAAAAAAAATTATGTTTGTTTATTCGCATTTACTGCTGCATTTATTTGCTGAACTAAAAAACTAAAATCTTAAATACAATAAATTTAGTATTACTTAATTAAAAAAAAATATACTGCAAATTGTGAAAAATAAAATTTCAAATTTTTACAATTTATTATTTTTTTTCTTTTTTTTCTCTTGGCTTTACGGGCCATTTAGGTCCATTGCCGCAACAACCACTTGCCTCCAGCCATCTCTATCTTGAGCTAGTTCTTTTGCGTCGTTTACTCCCAACCTCGATGCATCTTTTGTAATCCTGTCTTTCCACCGCTGTCTGGGCCGTCCTCTCGGCCTTCTTGTGTCTGGCATCCAACTCGTTGCCAATCCTATAGGGCCTTCGGACCTCCACACATGTCCAGCCCATCCCAGTCTACTACTCTTAAGCACTCCAATTATATTTGTTTCGCCGTACAGTTCTTCTACTTTTCGGTTTGTTCTTAATTCAAAGTCCCCTAGGGCGTTTCTTTTTGGCCCAAATATCCTTCTAAGGACTTTTCGTTCAAACGTAGCTAGTCTATTCTCATCCGTCTTTGTTGTTGCCCATGCGCCACAGGCATATAGTGCTACCGGTCTTATCAGAACTTTGTACAGCGTTATTTTCGTTTTCCATGATAACATCTTTGACTTGAGTAGGGGTACTAGTCCAAAGTAGCATTTATTTGCGGCTACAATTTATTATTATTTATTTTATTCTGTGGTGTTATCCATTATCACGGTTATCAATGTCTCTTATAGATTAATGATACTAGCTCGTTATGGCTTATCAGATAACATTGCTGATTGCGCCAGTTGATGAAAGCCGAGTGCCGACAGACATAAAGCTTACTACTTAAATTATAATTAAAAAAAAAAAAAACGCTTAAATTTTTCAACCAACATCTAACGTTTCCTTATAAAATAACTAGAAAACTACAAAATTAAAACTCGTTCTTAATCTCAATATTAATAATACAAATTATTGATTAAAAGAAAATTATTATGTTCAGTATGAATAGATGTTTGTGTGGCCTGAGTACAAAAATTAATATCCGTTATGTACTCAATAAGGTAATTAATTTAAACAAAATTGAATAAATTATTTATTTAATTATTGTCTATTAAAATGGATCTTTGATTTAGAGTTCACAATTCAAAACTGCTAGGCTCCATACGATTAACAGCCTTTATCGGCCGTCGATCGAGAAGACTTTAGTTCCTAAAAATTCAATTGTAAGTATGCTCATAGATTTAATCTTGATAAAACTTAATTTGATGATTTACCACAGATACTATGTAGTTATCTACAACTTTAAATCCAAAAATAAGGACCAGTTTTTGCCTAGTTCATAGTTGATTTAATACTAGCATAATTTTCACATTTTTAAACATTTGGTGTTGTTATATTTTAGACACAATTGTTTAAAAGGAATTTAAACAATATTAAAACCGTAGAGACTGACCCAAAATACGTTGGATACTGGTTTCTGGGATGTAGTGGAATGGTTTTTGTTGCCGTTTCTCTAGGGGGAATAACAAGGCTCACAGAATCAGGTCTATCGATGGTTAATTGGAAATTATTAGGTGAAAAATTACCTACTACTCAGAGCCAATGGGAAGAAGAATTTAGTAAATATCAACAGTATCCAGAATTCAAAATGTTATTGTCTACCTATATTATTATATTTCTTCCATTAAAATACTAAAAAGTGTAATTAAAATTTAGGAAAAATTCAACTATGACTATTGAAGAATTCAAGTGGATTTGGTGGATGGAATACGCGCATAGAACTTGGGGCCGATGTATTGGAGCAGCATTTTTGATACCAATGGCTGGCCTGTGGTTTACTCGTAAACTCAGTCGTACTTCTAAAATACATTCCATGATATGTTCTGTGCTATTAGCCGGTCAAGTGAGTTTTGTAATTAATTAATTAATTAATTATTAACAAATAGATTTAACAATCTTATTCATATCAGCTAACAACATAAAAAAATATTTTGGTATGGTGATTTTTAGGGTCTAATGGGTTGGTACATGGTGAAATCTGGTTTAGAAGACAGATTTGATAAACCTACAGACGTTCCAAGAGTATCGCAGTATAGGTTAGCTTCACATCTCGGCTTGGCGTTTGTATTGTATTCCTTTTTACTAACAAATTCCTTACGAATTCTTCTACCGGTTAAAGTTATTGGTGCCGTCAGTAAGAAGTTTGTTGGTCTAGCTATGGCTGCCAAAGGAATGGTGTTTATAACAGCCTTATCTGGTTTGTATATTAGTTTTTTTTTTGGCTGAGGTTTACGATACGTCTTCTTTAACAAAAAAATTAATTTCAAGTACATTTTATGTTTCTAGGAGCGTTTGTGGCTGGCTTAGATGCAGGTCTTGTGTATAATTCTTTCCCAAAAATGGGCGATAACTGGATACCCGATGACATATTGAACATGGAGCCTGTCATTAGTAATGTTACAGAAAACCCAACAACTGTTCAATTTAATCATAGAATATTGGTAATAGTTAAATTATAATTTTAAAGTTATATTAGTTTAGATATGTTCTTAAAAAGGCTTTTCACCAATTTTGATAACTTTGGTATTTCAATCAACTGCAAATCAATTTTTAAATCCTCCAAAAATTTTAACCGTAATCTACATATCAAAATACCTACTTTTTCCAATTTTAATAACACAGCCAACACTAATTGGATTTTTTTCTGTTTAAGTAAAAAATTCTTTTAAAAATCTGAGTGTCACAGAAAGTTGTAAAAGTTGTGTTATTAGTGGGAAAAAAGTGCATTATTGACTGTGTTTTGAAACATGGGTAACAACGTTAAGATTTTGGGAAATTTTTTTTAAAATTGATTTGCAATTGTTTAAAATATACAAATAAATTTTTATTTATTTAGTTTTTCTTTCTGTAGGGCATCAGTACGGTGTCAATTTTATCTGCGTTGTATGTTATGTCTCGTAAAAGTAAGCTACCACCCAGAGCCAAAGCGGCAGCTACTGCATTAGCCGTTTTCTCATGGTGTCAAGTAAGAATTTTATAGTTATGCCGGCGGTTTATTTATTATTTATTACTATTATTTTTATTTATAATAGATGGGCCTAGGGATTTCCACACTTCTTACTTACGTTCCGGTTTCTCTAGCAGCAGCTCATCAATCAGGTTCACTTACCTTATTATCCTTAGCACTTTGGTTAGTTCACGAACTTAAAAAATTACCTAAAGTATAATAATATTTATTATTAGTTAAAATAATTTTAATGTAGATTAATAATATAAATAAAAAATAAAATATTTTTATAAAAAATATATATTAACTTGGCGAGAATTTGTTTATTATAAAGTATGAGATTTTGCTTGTTAAAATCTAAAAAGAAATTGTTTTATTTTTATAGAATATAATCTTGTAAGCGGTTTAATTTCACTATGCATTTCTTTAAATTTATATTAAAGCTATGAATTATCTTAATAAATATTAAAATTATAACGAGCAACATCTGATACTATTATTACATTATTAAACCCAGTACACCCTATACGTATAATATAAAAACAGATGTTTATTTAGTTGTTTATTTCATATTTATGTTTTATTTACTTAAGAAAATTTATACATTTGATAAATTATTTGACTAAATTGATTGATGCCTAAGGTAAGAAAACATATTTTTTTTTGTTTTTAAAAGTATAATGGTGGATAAGTAACCTTTTCAGAAAAAGCCTGCTAAAAAACCGACCTCTAAAGGTAAAAATTCAAAAAAAGGATCGAAAAAGAAAGTAATGGCCTCGCCAGCAATAGAAGTTGCTCCACCGCCACCTCCGCCGCCGCCACCTTCTCAAGGAGAATTTATATTCATACACATTGGGCAGGCCGGAGTTCAAATCGGGTCTGCGTGTTGGGAATTGTTTTGCTTAGAACACGGCATTAATCCAGATGGCACCGTCCATCAATTAACCACCAGTTCTACATCAATCTTTTCTATGTCCCAAACGGAGAAATACGTTCCTAGAGCTTTGTTAGTAGACACTGAACCTTCAGTTATTGGTTAGTATGATTCAGTACAATTGCATTATTACTATTGTAGATGTCATTATAGAAATTACAAACTTTCAGATGAAATCAGACATGGCGCTTATAGAAATCTGTTTTCTAGTCAAAATCTCTTAACCGGAACAGAAAATGCAGCGAGTAATTTTGCAGCTGGTTTTTATGGAGTCGGCAGAAAGCTATCCCAATCGGTGTTGGACAGACTAGCTACTTTAACGGAAGACTGTAGTTCGTTGCAAGGGATTGCCGTGTCCAGATCTGTTGGTGGTGGAACGGGATCGGGAATGGGTACAGGACTACTTGAATCTATCAAGAATAGGTACCCTTCTAAAACCGTTCTTGATTTCAATGTCTACCCAGCACCAAGGGTAAGAGATTTCTTGAAATAGAAACGATATCACTATTAAATAATGGTATATTTTTTTGTAGTTATCACCAGTGATTGTTGAGCCATACAACGCTGTCCTAGCAACGCATTTTGCTTTGGATTTAGTTAATTGTACTATGCTATACGACAACAACGCATTATACAATATATGTTCTAAATTGAATGTTCCGAAGCCGACCTATACGAATTTAAACCGAATAATAGCAATGGTATGTACAATATATACATACAAAACTGAATATTTAAAAATGTTTTAGCTTTAATGCCGAGCTGAGAAAGTAATGATTTTATACAATTTTTTTTTTTTAATTTAAAAAATCTCAAGATACTTTTTTTTTTATTGAGGAAACTTAAAATTCAAATAAAATAATTATAAACACATTTATTGTGTTAACAATTATTTGTATTTAGAATTTAGAATTTTTACCATTTACAGTTTCACATCAAAGAATTTATTTTAAAGTGACTTTATCACTTTCAACTTTAATAATTCCTGAAGACTAGTGACTTCCCTTTCTCCAGTATGCTTTGCCTCTACCATATCTCACCTTTACTGTACTGGCTTAATGTATTATTTGAACTGTATGTAATTGTGTACGTAGGTTTCATCAGGCATGACTTCATCCCTTCGTTTTGAAGGATCTCTGACCAGTAATTTATCCGAATTGATGACCAATTTGATACCGTGGCCAAGATTGCACTTTCCGTTGATAACCCATGCTCCAATGGTGCACGATGCGAGCAACCTATCTGCTAATACTCAGCTCGCCGGCATGTGCTTTGACCAAGGCAACCAAATGGTCATGGTTGATCCCAGAAGTGGCAAGTACTTGTCAGTGTGCATGATGTTCAGAGGCGATCTAACGCCAACCGATGTCAACACGACTATAGCTTTTATTCAACGCGAACGCACTATTCCAGTGACGAGCATGAACTCACCTTTGTTCAAAGTTTGCCATAAAACTGTTTTGACATATTTTATAAAAAAAAACATTATTCTTTATGTTAATTTTAAAATGTTTTCATTAACAGTTTGGTCTGTGTTATCGGCCTCCTACATTTGTGCCAAACGGAGATATCGCACAGACTCCTAAAGTTGTGACTACCTTGTGCAATAATACTGCTGTCAGACACTGCTGGACTAGTGTGTTGAAAAAATACGACACATTGTTGAAGAAACGGGCGTTTTTACACCATTATGTAGGTGAAGGCATAGAAGAAGGCGTATTTTCTGTAGCCAAAGAAAATGTTTCAAAATTAATTACGGAGTACGAAGAAGTAGAAAAATCTTAAATTCACTATTGACCACCCACATTGTAAATGGTCATTTTAATGATTCATTATTCAAGATAAAATATATTTTTATTTATATATTTTGTTTTGTTTGTGGTGTTGGTCTTATTATTAAAATGTAATCTTACATTGAGGAATATTATAAAAAAGTGTTTTTCCAAAGAATTGTTTTAGTATTGCAAAAAAAGTGTGGTGCAAATAAATATTTTATTCATAAAGTATGTCTGGTAGGGTAATATATGCACTTGGAATGTACCTACATACCTATTTGTAGTTTGTACACGTTTATTTGTCAAACAATTCATTAAATATTGATGGTTTACGGAAAGCGTATTGGAATTATATCTAGTAATATCATGTAACGCTTGCAAGATGTCATATTATGTCAGGCTCGCGTATGACCAAAGACAATAATTTAAGATAATAATCTAGACACATTCAGCCATTTCTATAGATAAATAAAACTGCCGACTATACCATATAACCATCAATAGAAAATAACTTGCACAAATTTACAACACATCACTACAATTAAGTACTTGAATTTATATAATTAAAAATTAAATATATTAATTTGAACTTTGACCTTGGTCATTATATCCATTAATAAACATTATTATTATAAAAATAATTTTAATTTAATAACCGGGATTAAGTTAAACGACAGAAAGTATATCGAGGTAGTGCGCTTCAAAAAAAAAAAAAAAAATTAAAACTAAGAATTTTTTGTTAACAATTATTTGGCAGAAAATCAAATAACACAAATTATTAAAAAAATATAATTTGTAATTTTAATATGATTTACAAACTATTATTAAACGTTGATAATCGTGCGTGCCATTATTACATTACATAGTATTACATTTTTTTTTCATTATTAAATTCATTTAATAGGTTTTTAAATACTTTTAACGTACGTATTTTAAGTAATATTGAAAATTCGTATCTTTATTTGTATTTGAATATTTTTAAAAATGATTATTTACAACACAGAAAATACCCTTAGGCTTTTGCTTAATATCCAGCAAATGTCCTTTGCCTAACTCCTGACCTATGGTCTATAGAATTAAAAAATAATTTTTTAGTGTACCTGATTAAAAAATGTTTAATAGGTATCATGTAAGTTTATCTAATTAAGGTATAGTGACGACAAACTATAATTTAACGATTTTTTTTTTAAAGTCGTACCCGCATACAAGGCCTGAACACATTTACTTCTTTAAAATAAAAACAAAATGCCCTAAAAATTAACACATATTTCAATTAAAAAATATATGTTATTATTGTATGAAAAATGGTTGAATGGCAGATTATTCTGTAGGTTTAGCACTACCGATCTGCAGTCAAAAACCAAACAATATTATCATTCCTGACAGTTTTCCTCACTCCTCTGGCCACCACTCGCCTACAGCCATTGTTCATAAATCATAATATACTATCAAAGATCATAATAGTCTTATAATGCATTTAGTTATCTATTACAACGGCTGTAGTTATTAAATTAGCTATAGCAAACAACCATAATGAGAATTATAGGGATAACGACTAGATCCTTTGGGATTTAATGGTAATGAAGGTATTAGTAAAGTTAATACGTGACTAAGCGAAGGAATCATTAGATTGGAAATATCGTGTATACAATATACGAATACCCTTATAAACGCATATTGTATATGTACAAGCTTAAACTTGTTAAATTAGTAGCGTGACGGTATAAATGATGTAATGTGTATAACGCAGTACAAATGATTATAATTGAAACCTTAAAGAAATCTTGTGCGCTAAATTAAGGCTATTTTATTGAAAAAAAAAAGTTATGTCATAAGACAATTTTGTTTTGGCTTTAATTTTTAAATTATCGCAAAAATAATATTATATTCCGCTAGATACGTGTGAGTTATTTGATCTCATAAAGCTAAGAAATTATTTCCGACTGAATTTTTGACATTAAAAAAAATTGCACTTTCTTAAGAAAGTTGAAAGTTTGAGTTATAAATGTAATTTTCGAGAATGGGGAAAAGTTGTTCAAGTCAAGTACGTCGAAGGTCTTTTATAATATTGATATGTATAATCTATTAAACTGAAGTTTTTTTTTTTTTTCGAATGTAAAATGTCATGACGATTTTTTTATTCGAGTGCCGAATTCGATTCTTTTGCACGACCAAACCAATATGTATATATTTGAGACTTATTTTTAAGACGCAACAACAACAGCCATAGGATCATTGGCCACACAACTCGGTTTACATACATATACTACACAAAGCCAATAAGTATAAAAGAATAAAGAAGTTATAGTGCTTGAAAATAAGTTTGTACAACTACAAGGCTTTTTGTTCGTGTGTGTGTATATATATTTTTTAAGAATATTATTAGTTTTGTTTGCTGGAAACCGTTTCACACCTTTATGCCTCTGTAAACAATACTAAAAAACGTGATCAGTGGCTATATGTGTTTGTTAGGTAATGAACGCACAGTGCAAAGGCCAACAAATAGAATAGCATGACGACAATCAGAGCAATATCGTTGCTGCAGTCTGTAAACAAAATATATAATGTTAATCATTGAAACGTTTTGTTATTTTTGACAGCACAATCGTAAAGACTGTTCGGACTGTACTTGTTTTTTTTTTTTTTGGAAGTGATTTTATCATCCAGCCATTTTTTTTTTGTGTTTAGTTTGCACTGATTTTTGTTTTAAATTTGAGAATGAGCTCGGTCAAACGCTTCAGTGACTGTAATAATGCTAAATTCTTAACTTCTTCCGTTTTTCTTTTCTCTAATCCTAATTATTTTTATCTCAATTAATGCCTTTTCAACACATTTATTTAAACCACTCTAAACTTACACTATGGTCATTATAAATTTAATAGTATTTGCTTCGCAAAGACTAAATGTCTATGATAAGGGCGTGTTACAATTAATTTCATATATTGTTCAATTTCGTGTGAAATTCGTTACTCAAACTAATCGATTATTACAAGTTATGTAACAAAAAAAAAAATGTACAAAAACAATATATATATTATTAGAAATTTCCGCATTATTCGGAAAATAGGTTTAGATGACGTTGGTATTATACCTAGTTCCGATAAGATCAATAATTGGTCGCACGGTCAGTTTTCCCTTGGGTTATTGCTTTTGACATTTCGATTAGTGTCTCGGGGAAATAATTCCACCCGTACAAATAATTCATCGCAGGGTAAAATATTTATAAATATATCTTAAAACCCCAATGGGGGCCGGCCGGGAACAATTTAAAAAAATAAAAATACCTTAGATAGTCTACCAAAAAGAGCGGCTTACAACGAAATACTTATTATATTTGAAAAGTTCAATACAGCTTTTGACTTTTGTCGGCGGATTTTGGATTATAGGCGATACTATCTTAATTAACTTGACTCTTATCGACGTGATCGTTATAATGTGGTATGCCTTTTCCTTCGATTCGCAGCTCAAACGTTATTATTGTGTTTTTTTCCCCTAAGAGTGTACACACACCCAACATTTTTATTCTACCGATTATAGCACATTATCTACACGTAGGTAGGTATAAAGGTTGTGCGCGAGTGGGTCGGATGAGGTGTACATTATTATTTTGGAATACGTCCTGGTAAAACAATAATGGCCGATCGATCGTCAAACATTGACCGGCTATTATGGGCTTTTAAAGAAAGCTAAAAAAAACACCGGTAAAGACATGTAATAGGCGTTACCACAGTAATTCGAGCGTACACCCTAACACGTATAATATGTATAGAGATTTTTGTGGTGTGCACCGAGGACGTGTAACCGATGGCCCGGAATAAAGAAACGCGATTAAGTTGACTCGGGCGTAAACCCTAAGTAGAAAACGAATTCCTCCGAAGGTATTCCCTTTGTGTAAAATATACCCGGGGTGAAGTATATAGTATTGTATTACAAATAACATTATTATTATTTTCCGTGGAAACTCGCGATTGTATTGGCTAAACGTAACTGCTAAAAAAAACGACCGTTTACAATATTTATACCCGTGGGCCTTGCAAATTAGTAAGCAATTGAAAAAAGTTCAATCGATAAGATTAAATTTCATAACTAGCTATGGACCCTACATGGACTCCTTAAGCTGTTGAAAAAATGTATGTAACTGTGTTTTAATTGATTTAATTCCCGAATGTCATCAAAGGTCTCAAGCGTTCTCAAATGTCATGGTTACAAGAACCGATTTTATAAAAATCGGCACTTGAATAATTGAACGTACATAACTTTGTTTAGGTTCTTATGTATTTTTTTCGGTTTTGATAAAACATATTTTTAGCTTGATTGCTAATACCTAATCATTGTTTTCAACCAAAAAGCCTACTGAAGATATATTATTTTAATGTAAACAGCAACTGATAGTAAAACATGGAGAAACACCGCATTCCTACTGTTAAACCAATGAAGCAATAACTTTGTAGGCAATTGTCAAAGATGTATGCCACCTAAAAAAGCCGGTACATCTAAATGTTGTTTGACTGTAGTTAAATTAGAGATTTTTCATACCTTCATATCCATTTTATTTTTATTTTTCTCTGCGTTCTGCTTCTCTTCATTCTAAAACCGTCTCATATTTTCATGATCATCTTATTTTTCTCTATTTTCTCTAGTTTTAATCAACTATCGCAGTAGGTCTATTCGAGTACTTACATACTTGGCACAAATTACTACAAGTTATATTTCATATGTGTGTAAAATAATTTTCTATTGTTTACCAAGTAAATAATAGAAGTTACATGATATAATCCGCAAAGGTCATGTAGGCCCTGTGCGGAAATTATGTGTTTAATATATTTTGCAATGTATGTTTCATTAGACCAAACAAAATAAATATCATCTTTAATATTATGATTATTAAGTATTAGTAATTAAGGCAACTGGCAAGTGTGTGTCGTACTTAAACGATGAAGATACTGTTTTCAGTTTTCTATGCGATAAAAACTTGATTTTGCTTACCTCGGTGTTTTACTGGAAAATATTATGAGCGTTTCCGCAACGATGACGTTATTATTGTACAACAGTACAATATGATTGTGTTTTATCAATGACCGGCAACGATAAATCCAATAAAACTACGCATAAAAATAAAAATCCATAATATGTACTTGAATTCGAACGTTCCATGTGTTGAAATAATGATTATTGTTCAAAGTGACGACACAGCTATATATTGGTGGTGTTGTTTAAGGAAGAATCGGTTTGTTCGCGACATTGACTGCTCATGCAAGCGGCCTTGCACTTTAGGCGGGCATATCGAAAAACACTAAAATATTATGATTAACAGTAAAACTACCGAATTCCCTTTTAATAAAAAAAAATACTACAATAGTGCACAATACAGGGTGTTCCATAAGATTTTGACCTATGTAACATTTACAAAAAAATTGTATTTTCTAGAACAAACAATAATTTTTAGTAATAATGAAACAAATAACATTTGTTAAAAATAAAAATGGTTTTTTATAGAGTAGGTTTCGGGAAAATGTTAATTGGTCGATAACCTGTTAGGGTACATATGTAGTTATTAACGTTATAAAATGTAGACGAGGCATGAGGGAAAGGGTAATGCGGTGGAGTAGTACCCACTACAAAACGGTTTCAAATGAGGAAAATGAAACACTCTATTTTTTGTTGAGATTTTTCATACGAATCATTTTGTTTTCTAGTTGCGTTAGAAAGATTTTCCCGGTATATTTTAAATATCCCGGAGTACTGCATATTTTATATTTTATTTTTTTACTAAAAAGCTAATTGGAATGAAATGACCTCATTAAATTTTCAGAAATACAAACTCTATTGACTACAATTATTCTCACAGGAAAATTTATTTGAATGAATAATATCTGTATACTGTATATAACAACTGTGTTTTCAAATAAATAAAAACTTCTTGCCGGTATTCTAAAAGCAATATACCAAGAACAACATTTCTCTGAAATTGGAACGAACAAACAGATTTAAATAAAATTCTCAAACATTTAGAGTAGCTGTTTTGTTTTATTCCGTTTTGCAGAACTCCAAAATGAACAAATTCAAAAAACCTTCAAAAGGATCACATAACGTGTACAGAACGTGTGTGTACTTAAAAATGATATTACTGTTGTTCTAATGTTCTAAACCAAATTGTTTGGGGAACTATACTCTTTAAAATTAATATTTTAAAAATTAAAATAATAGTTACCTATGCCATTTTTGAATAATTTTATAATGCGATTTTTATTCGTTTCAAAAAATAAAATATACTTTGTTGTTTATATAATCTAACGAATAACAAACAAAGTATATTATTTTTTTGTTAACAATCATTACCTAAAATATACAACTAATAAGGTCAAACATGGTACACCCGGTATAATAATGTACACTATTACAAGGATCGACGATAAGCATATTATTGTATTGTAGCGACCGGACGGCAAAGGTGAGAGTAGGTACCCAGGAATACAATCGTTTCATATTATTATGTAGGAGGAGTAACGGTGTTGTTGTTATCATTGATATTTTTTTATCTGCTTTTGTGATAACCGCATGAGGCATCTTATGGACCGTTCAGGGTTCAATTAAAAACTTACAGTGCTCTATTAGCCGCTAGCTACTGGCTGTCAAATCAGTTGAAATCCGGACCCGAAACCGATCCGGGCACTTGCAAAGTATTGTAGGTATTCTCCTCGAGTCATTGCATCTCTCAATCGAAGGTAAGGAACCAACGCAACTAATATTATTACAATTACTAGAACGAAATCAACGCGTTGAACTCTATTTTATGGTAAAACGTTCGCGTTTTGGATAGTTGCATATTTTTCTTTTCCATTGTTTGCCGCCAAGTTTTTTTTCCCCGTAAGCGTTTCACCGCACTTGGCGAACCGTTTTACGAACAAATATTGCCACCCGACAAAGTGAGTTTTTATATTACGTAATTATTTTTTTTTTTTTTCAAAATAATTATTATAAATACCGCAATTAGCCGGATGTGTTAGCGTTGCGGGCGGGCGTGGCCGGAACCGCATTAACGACACCGAACGCTTTTAAAACTTTTATTGGCAGCTACTCACGCTTGCTAAACTCGCATCACCGTCGAAGAATATAAATATATATATACATAAATAAAAAATATTATATTGTTATGTTTTTTTTGGGGGTTTAGCACCGCGGCGTTTTCCGACTTGACAACAATCGATGGCCCACCAAAGTCTGCCAGCATTTAACCGCAGCCAACGCATTTATCGTCACATCCAGCTTTTCACGTTTTATATTTTATATAGATTTTTTATTTAGATTGTATATTTTATATATATTTTTTCTCCGTCAATAACGAGAAAACGACTTTGGAACTCTAGCATTCGATTTGAATGTGTTTTCCACGCAAAGGATTAGTCGAAAACACTATGACCCACGAGACGTATTAAGCTAAGCAAACGATAATTGCTAGCAGTTATAAATATTTCTAGTTTACCTTGTACTTTATTCAATTCGCATATGTCTCGTGCAAGACCTATATATATAACGTCTGTCTGAATATTTTATAAAATAGAACATTACCGTACAGATAATGTTAATGAATTTGTTTTAATTAAAAAAAAATACTAGTGATTTTTTAATATTAATCAATATGTTGTTTTTGATTGATATTGGATATCGACAATGTGTGGTTTTGTTCACAGTGCGTGGCTAATAGTTTTATGTTAAAGCAAACATCAAGTATAAATGACATTAATGAGTATTTCTCATTTAGTGTTTATGGGTCTTCAGTATAGCGGTTAAAAGGAAAAAATCTATATGGGAAATAAAAAAATAAAGTTAGCTAAACAATGGAATCTATTATAATGACTATATTTTTACAACCAACGTATAAAAAAAGTAGAAATCATTCGTTTATTTTATACTTAAATTTGTGTTTGAAAATGCCGTTCTGTCAAAACATACACATTATATATTTTTATATCTCGTTAGGTTATACTTGTTGTTTAGTCTTGGTAAATTTTGTTTTTTTAACTTAAGTTGTAGTGAAGTAATACGAGTGTATGTATGATTAAGCAAACAAATTTTCTATGAGAGCAAGAGTCCATCTTAGCCCTTAATTGTTTTCTCTATTAATGGAAAAGTTTACAAAGTACACACACTGAGTGTACCCCTTAGTTTTAAAGACAAGAGAGATCATTGAGAAGGGAAGCAGAGGTAGACACGGAATGGAGAAGAAGTGAATGTATGGTAGCAGTAACTTTATATAGAGCGTTGTAGCGCAAGAAGAAACGGGAATTTATTTCATACCTAAAAAAGTATGTCCGTTAAATGCAGACGAGTTTATCCTATTTACTTGCTGTAGCATACCCGGGAATTAAATAGAATATCTCATAAACTTGCAAACATCCCTTATCCGATATTCTTAGGTGCTTCCCGTGTATAATTCCCTGTGTTGTCTGTGTTAGTTTGGAAAAAGACTTTGGCTTTAATTCGATCCGTATTTTTGTTTTTCTTCAGCACATCACGATGATTTTGGGACGTCAAAACCGCCAGTTGACGGCGTTGTCCAACAGTATCAGGATATGTAGATGTTTGAAATCCACGTCTCCGAGCATTCGTCAGTACGGCGCGAAGAGGTCCTACAGCCAGCTCTCGGTAAACGACCACAAAAAAATACCGTAAGACGTTTGGAAAATAAAAACAAAATGCTTTTAATTTGGTTTTCAAGAGCATGCAGCTGGACTTGAAGCGCGCTTTACAGGCGACCGACACACAGTATAGCGGGTTTTCAGACAGGTCGCAACTGAAATACGCTCGTCGTCTGGTCGTGAAATTGGGCAGTGCGGTTATCACTAGAGAAGATGAACACGGTATCGCTCTCGGTCGACTGGCTTCCATCGTCGAACAAGTAAGTCGTTTGTAATTTTGCTAAAAAAATTCCAATTAGCATCAATGGAACGTGCAGCCGTATAAACCAGCACCTGTAAGAACTTGGCGAAGTCCGAGTAATCCGAATATGATTTGATCACTTTGCAACTCTGCTACGCACAATTTGGGATGGCGTATCATTCGAAAGCGGTTTTACAGCCATATCCGGATATTAAGAAGATATTCTGACCATTATCACAAAACTCTAGCGAGCCTAAAATTGAATTTGAAAAAAAAACGCGGGTTTCCCAGTAAAATTACATCAGCTTACTTATACAATGTTCAATTACCTTTGTCGTAGAAATCTATTAGTCCTGGTCGACTATGACGTCGGATTAACTTATTAGGGAGATGTTACATTTAGAGGTTCAGTTGGGTTTGTCACTAATATATTTTTTCATTATGACGGAGGCTACTGATTGCACCTACAAACGAGTTTTTGACGACATTTTATTTTACGGCTGTCCTTAGATAAAGACATGCCTGGTTACTGTTCCACACAAACTTTGACTTGGTTTAACTATTTTTTGCGAGCCAATAGTATGGTAAAGAAAAAATTGAATTTTCTTATATAATTTTTATTTGCGTAGTAATTTAACACCAGTCACCTACATATTTTATTTACCTATTAAAATATTAAATCAAGTTGAAGTAATGAAAATAATAATTTTTATTTAGGTATTTACATTATTTGTCGATACCCAGTTTTGAGCGTATAAGCGCGGATTAAAATAGAAAAAATTATATTTCAGTTTATCTCTCTCTCTTTTTGAACTTTTAAATAGTAATAACTCGAAAAGAATGTACCCATTCAACATTGATTGAATATCGGCTAATTACGATTGCCATTTAATTTTTTTTTTTTAATAAAATATTAGGTAGTAGATAGGTACGTACTATTTGAATTTTAAATATCAGCTTGCAAAACAACTTAGTAAAATAATACTTTTACCTTGAACTCTGTGAACTATTTTTAAATTAAAATTTTTTTTTTAATTATACAACATTTTGTTTACTACACGTTTTCTGATGATACGCATATTAATTGTAAAGGTAAATTTAGTAATTCGTGACATTTGGAATAACGTATCTCTATATTGAAATTATAATAAACTAACAATTGATTATTTAATATTTATTCATCGGCTTTTAAAATTTAGATTTGGAAAATATTTATGTATACTTATCATTAAATAAACAAACCTTATATACATATACCTATCGCTTATAGTTGTTATTAAGGGTTATCAATTGTCATATTATTTACACTGAAATTTCATTTGTTTATTACAAATATCATAGCTAAAGTATATTTTCAGTGATTAATTAAAAATAATAACGTTAAATTTATCTTAATAGCACCGGAAAGTTAGGAAGAAAATGATAACTTATCATTATCTTCCCAGCATTAAATAAGAAGCCAACGGAAACTCACCATTACCTTCCCAACTTCCCGGTTCTATTAGGGTATATATAATGGTTTGTTCGAATTAATAAAGTGGTAAAAACATGCTATGAAAAGAGAAGACAATAAAGTAGTTAAGTCTGTAATGGGCGGCGAATACTATTACGGTGACTGAGGTAAGCATAGAGGTTAGAGGTGATAATTTTTAGAATAAGTTGAGTTATTGTGCAGCGCTGCCCAATATTAGTCGCAAGTGGTAGTTAAGTGCAAAAATAACAAGAAATAGTGTAATTTAATATATTTGAATGGGTATCCACAACTGTAGATCGAACTGATGGAAATGTCAACTTTTTATATACATGAAATGGGGTTTGGTATTGGCGACTCATATAGGTTTCTTCGCAAACCTTCGTTATCCTTATAACACTTTATAAACCTTCTTAGGTAGCCGAATGTCATTTAGAAGGCCGCGAGTGCATAATGGTTACCAGCGGAGCTGTAGCTTTTGGAAAGCAAAAGCTCACCCAAGAGTTGCTCATGTCGATGAGCATGCGAGAGACCCTATCTCCAAGCGATGCTACCAGGAAAGGGGTTACCACCAGTTTGGAAGCTAGAGCAGCTGCTGCCGTCGGTCAGTCGGGTCTTATGTCCTTATACGATGCCATGTTTTCGCAGTATGGCGTTAAGATAGCCCAAGTGCTGGTCACTAAACCTGATTTTTACAACGACGAAACTCGCAAGAATCTTTTCAGCACACTTTCTGAGCTGATCAGCCTCAATATCGTGCCAATCATTAACACCAACGACGCGGTGACGCCACCGCCACAAGACGACAACCTGGTCAAGTCCAAAGGAAAAAAGGTATGTAAGCCATTTAAACGTACATTAATAGCATTGGAATGTTAGGAAAGTAATGGGGCATTCCTGTTATCTTCCTGACAATAATTACGAAGCCAATAGTGTACCCCACACAAGTCGAATGTCTATAGTTGGGAAGTACCCGAATATAGACATTCGGCATACGCGAGGGAGTCCTATTGGATTACTATTTATTGCCGGGAAGATATCGGGAACTCCCCATTATCTTATCCAGCTTACCAGGGCTATTAGTGTATGGCCGTTCGGGCAACGTTGAGTAATCTTATTGGTATCTTTTTTGACGCCGGGGAGATAAGGGGAACTTACAATTATAGTTCCAACATCCCAACATAGTTTGGACCATTTTTTAGACACATCTCACATGTTGCCATCTTCTATATTTTCTAGCTACACTTCCTCTGTTCCACTTTACCAATTATTCAAATATTCGATGGTTAAAACAAATATGTCAGCGTAACGGGAGCCCAAATCAAGTGTATACGTACACAGTAAAACATGTAGTAATAGTAAAATTAATTTGCCATTTTATTTCTGAAGATAACAATTCGAGACGATGTGCAATAACCTGTATATTTCAACCAGGCTTACTACTAAATTTGAGCTCTAATTAATCGCATTTGGGGGTCAAGCAAATTTCCTCCAATGCCTTCTCCCATGCCTATAGATTACTCGTAGTCTGTAATCGTATTAATATAATCTACAAGCAAATGGAATAATACAACGCATATATTAACAATACAGATTGGTATTGGATGTTCACAGGTAATTAGCATCAAGGACAACGACAGTCTGGCAGCAATGTTGGCCGCTGAAGTCAAAGCGGACTTGTTGGTGCTAATGTCCGACGTGGACGGTATTTACACACTACCGCCTAAACAAGAAGGCGCCAAAATGATATGGACCTACAACAGCGACATGGCCGACATAATTCAGTTCGGCAAGAAATCGACCGTGGGCACAGGTGGTATGGACTCCAAGGTGAGTCATTGCCATCATTAAAATTTCAATAAAACGCCGACTTACACATCTCGTATCTGTCTGATTACGTTGAAGTTTAAACTCTAATGGAAACAGACTTAATTGGTTCCGCGTTTAAAGTCAGATAAGAAGACAATGCGAGTTTGTTTTTGCATCTGCTCATTCGAATCTAATCGAAATAGTTGACCCTGTTCAAAATTTAATTTCGATTTTGAATTTCGTACACGCCTTATTCATACACGATCAACGTGTTTCCCTATAATATTACTCTCGTTTCAGGTGCAAGCGGCCACGTGGGCGCTTAATAAAGGCGTCAGTGTAGTCATCTGTAACGGCATGCAAGAAAAAGCAATAAAATCCATTGTGGCAGGTAGAAAAATTGGCACGTTCTTTACAAACGCTCCTACAACCGGCACAGCGCCCGTCGAAGTTTTAGCCGAAAACGGTGAGTGAGAAGTTCTATTAATTTCTAAACTTCAAGGCAAACTTACAAATAAGCTAATTTAATAGTAAACAGTTACATGTATGTTTAAATGAATACACGAGTCTATGTTAATCATTGAATATTAGTTAGCATTCCTACCTCGAACGGATACATTTTTTTAGCTGTGCAATTATACTTAAGTATTGACTATTTAATACTGTAATCTATGGTCTGTCTACGGAGTCATGTTCTCGAACCATGTTTTTTTAACGGATGGAAATTAATGAAATATATGTTTTTGTTAATTGTAAAAACTCTTGCACTCTTGTATTGTCAGTGAAATCTGAGTGCCAAGTTTTATCACTTATGCACTGTTGTTCTGTAATCGATCAAAGTTCATTGACTTGTTCATTTGGTAGTAAATGTATTTTTCAAATCGATCGAGTATTTTTTTTATCGTTTAGGTAAGTTATCAAAAACGGATGATAAAAATTAGGCGCTCACACTTGGCACAATATACCTACGATAAAAAGTTACAATTCAATTGACTACGATTATGGTTAAGTACTCGTTACCAGTGTTTGATATTAAATACTCTTTAAGCGTCTGTAATAATATTAGCATTGTCGACGTCAATATTGATTGATGTTTTAAATAGGAATAATATAATTAATATATAAGAAATAAAATCAGTTGTCATTTGTGTCATATTTTATCCGTCAAGTACATAAAGCTCTCCAAATTAATCAGTACCTACTTACAAAATGAAAATATATCTTTAGACTTTATAATATATACCATGCATTCAGTTTATGGATGTTGTGCTTATGTCATGTTAGTTACTAAATTAATTAATACTACTATTTTTAATTCCCAAAACTTAATAACTATATTAAGCTATAAATTAGCTATAAATTGATTTTAAACATTGATTTAATTAGATGTTTGATCCCCGACAGCTAAAACAATAAATGCAATCAAATAGTTAAATATAGTTAAATGCAATAAAAGTAATGGGCCAGTTTATTTTAATTACAATTTGTATTGATAAAATGACTAATAGTTACATAATGAGTTATCTCTAAATTGAGAAAAATTCGAAGAAACTTATAGATTTTTCAAGTTGCAACTAAGTTTGTCTAATTGCAATATGACCTAAACAAACGATTATTGTTATTATTATTATTATTATACAGAGTGATTTTTAACTTATAGCCGTTATTTATAGCATTGCTATTAAACTATAAGGCAAAGCAAAGACACTTTTTTAAAAACTAAATTGTGTTAGGATAATTAAAAAATAATAAGTTAAGTAGGAAACTTAAGTATTTATATATATTTAAAACATTTTTACAGAGTTTTCAGTTAAAACGTTTTCTAGTTTTTATATAAAAAAAATTTTCAACTTGAAAGAAATATTTTGGTGCAAAACTAGTTACTCCTTGTTTTTTGGATTAGATGTTTTTTAAACCATATAAAGCGTAAAAATGTTTAAGTAAAATTGATATTTTTACTTTTTTTTTCAGTAAACGTAAACAATAGTTTTATTGTAAAAAACAAAAATTCAATTTTTTTTTTAAATGTAACATTTTTTTGAAAAATTTAAATTCATATCAGAAAATCTAAAAGTTTGAGTTATCAACTAGTTAGAAAATTTTGCAGAAATATCATAGATTCATTTTTACTTACAATATAATTTTATATAAACCCTCCAAACTTTTTAGATAGAAAAAAAATTCTAAGAAATATATTCTTAGCTTCTATAGAATATGACCCCATATAAAGTGACATAATTTACATTTATGATAATATATTCTGTATAATATAGTTATTGAAGTAATTAGAGAAAATCAAATTTTGTTTAATTTCGTTTTCAGTTCTTCATTACTGAATGCTTACAATTGCTTTTACATTAAATACTAATTAAAAAAAAAAGGTACTTTTTCAATAACTTCTCTAATTTAACAACCATACTTGTTCACTAATTACCGAATTATGTTTTTAGAAAGCTATTTAAAAATGTTATCAAGTATTTAAATTTGAAACGTTTAAAACAATCAAACCTTTCGAATTGGCGACCGTTAGATTTTCATAATCTTTCATATTAATATTTTAATGTAGGAACATTGTCTTGGTTAGTGCGATAAACTTTAACTAATTAAGTAGTAATATGGTTATTCTGATATCATTTATTTATTTATACTATGATCGTTAGCTTAATATACCCACAATGTGTAATACATTATACGTTTTGTATATTAAATATGTATTCATGATCCATGAAACTAAATGATATAGTTAAAAATTCCGTTAAGCATAACCTTGTAACTAATACATAACACATATTTTAATTGTTTTTTTAACTAGCATTACATCTTCATGTAATCAAAATTTCAAACCGACTTTTATTATAATCACTTCTATATAATAGAATAATAGAATTATTATAAATTTTATTCCGCGAGATAAAAAAAAGTATATATTATATAAATAATCAGCATAAAATAAAAACCGTGTACTAAGGAATTTTAAATTTCATATTTAAACCTTAGTTAAAACAAAATAAATTCAATTACATCGTTAATGTTCTTTTTTTTTTACTTAAATTAGATTACAATTTACATATTACAATACGAAAATAGTAATTAAAATGAAAAAAAAAATTAATTAATAAAAAACGTTTTTTCTTAAAATGATAACGTATTACACAAAATGCAATTAAAATAATTTTTTTCATACGAGGCGTACGGAAATTTAATGAAGCACTCCATATGAAATGCTAAATATATTGTTTAGTTCAACTAAAAGCTCAATCAAAATAATGTAAGTTTTTCCGAATTTGAACATAATGTAAAATACATAAACAAAAAATAAACTATTTATGACCTATGACTATTTTAAATAACCTAACCGCTTTTTAACTGTAATTACGAATCGGTACAATGAATGAGTATTATTATTATTATTTTTGTACTGTTTTTTTTTTTTTATAACAGCGCGCCATGGTAGTCGAGTTTTGCAAAAACTACCGCCCGAAGACAGGGCCAAGGCTATTTACAATTTAGCCGATTTGTTGATAAGCAAACAAGCGACTATTTTGGACGCTAACCATAAAGACGTTGCGATCGCAATCAAAGAAAAGACGGCCGCTCCGCTCGTCAGTCGTTTGTCTTTAACCCCAGAAAAATTGAAAAGCTTGGCCGTTGGTAAGTAGTTGTAATAAATAAAAAATACATATAAATGTCGGGCAATAATGCGGGTCTGGTGTCGGATTAACGAATGATATGGTGGCGTTTGTTAACAGGATTGAAACAAATCGCCGCATCAAGTCTTACCAACGTCGGTAAAGTTTTGAAAAGGACTAAAATCGCCGACGGTTTGGACTTGACCCAAGTCACCGTACCGATTGGAGTTTTGCTGGTCATTTTCGAATCTCGACCGGATTGCTTGCCGCAGGTGAACACAAAAACAAAATTAGCTAATCAAAGGTTCATGTTAAAAATGGGTATTGTGCGCAATCAAGGTCTTATGAACTCATAGCCCATATTGTGTCGATAAAAATTTAAATTGTTGATTCCCATCTGCATTGGGTGTAGTGTAAAAATGTTATTAGCTCGACGATATTTATAGGAAAATATGTATTATGGTCTATGAGTTCAGTGCTGTGAACCGTTGACAACAGCTACCTATGCCAAGTGACGTGGATGCGGGTAGTTCAAAGTATACCAGTATTTTTTTAACAGTTTGTTCTTGCGAAAAACGTTTCAATAATATAAAGGAGAAGAAAAAAAACATTAATTTTATTCAGGAGCTTTACGCTTTCATACATCTAAACCGATTATCAAAGCAACGAAGCGTTCCATTCTCCTATTATTGGTTTTTCGAAGTTGCCATCTTCCGGACGAAAACAGTTAATAATATTATTTTCATCTCTCATCCGACATGACAACGGGATTATTATAATGCAATAGGTATATATATATATATATATATATATATATATTGTGTGTGTATACAGTCTTTGTATATTTTGATAGAGTGAGTTCTGTTTTCATTGTACGAATTAATGCAGGAAATCATCAATGCGTACAAATACGCAGCTGTTGTCTGTAGGTAAATAATATTGGTCGTCTTTTCCATACTTTATAACGATCATTTTTCCCCCACAGTTTCCGGAGACGTACAAACTTTAAATTTACTCAAACGTTAAGTATCGGTAGCGCTATAATAATAGAATAGTTCGTTAGTAGTCAACGATAGTTTTGAGCTAAATTATCATGATTCACTCCACACAATATTTGTATTTAAAATATAAACACGCTTCTTCATCTGTCCACGTTCACTGTTAAATTTCCCATTTAATGACAATCATTGCAGTTTACCGCCTATTTCAAATGTAAAATCGTTAAATCGCTAAACGCGTTTTACTTGCCTCGCAATAGTTTCAAAGGGCTTAAAACATATTTTTTTAAAAATCGATCGAGGATGACTTTTCAGAGAGAACGCCATATCCGTTTATCGAAATATTTCATAGATGTTCATAACATGGATTTCTCGACGAAAGTTATCGCTGTTCAATAGGATAAAAAAATATCACAACGTCAAAATATTAAGTCGATTATTGAATATATTGAAAAATGGATATGTCATACCCACTGCAAAGGCGTCATATATCGGTTTTAAGATAAGCGTTTTTCCTCTATAGCCATTATATAGGCTGTGTAAAACGCATTTTGCGTAGCTATTTTCAAACTAGGCTGATAGTGGAAGCTGTGATAACTTTTTAGCTAAACAAGTATTAGTCCAAAACTGGTTATCGTTATTTTCGTTATGTTTTTCTTAGGTAAATTTAATACATAGGTTGCTCTATTTAGCTTTTAAATGCCATCCCTGAGCATATGACCTTTAAAAGTAAAATTTTCAACTTGAACATCGAGTATAATTTTTGACCATTAAATTTAATTGGGATTTTATTTGACATTTTTTTTTAGCAAAATCAACTATATTTTATGGTAAAAAAAAAAAAATAAAAAAATTGTAACGTGAAATTTGAATAACCATTAACCCTTTACGGTATATATATATATATATATATATATACACACATATGTATGTATATTATGTATAAACGTGAAAACCCTTTGCCGAGTCGAACGATGAATTGTTTTTGTTCCGGCACTCAGTCGCGCTCATCCAGGCGTTTGTACATCGTCTGTCTGTCCGCGCGCGCGCGTGTGTGTGTGTGCCTATATGTGCATAACACGATTGAATATAATGTAAAATGTTATTATGTTATATTATATATATATATGATACTAGTGGCTCTTGGCTGTCAACAGGTGGCTGCTCTGGCGCTGAGCTCGGCAAATGGACTTTTATTAAAAGGAGGCAAAGAGGCGTCGCACAGTAACAAAGCTCTTATGGATGTCGTCAAAGAAGCGTTGAGCTCGGTCGGGGCCCAAGACGCTATATCTCTGGTAAATATATTCACCGTAGCGTTTCACGTTCTGTGTCACCGAGTACACATTGTATATAATATATATTATTACTACTATCGTTATTATATTATACGCAGCGTGTAAATCTAACGCGACCGACGCGCGACAGGTGGGGATCTAAAAACGGCCGAGTTGCTAATATGAGCTAGTTAAAAAAAAAATTTTTTTTCTTTCTTATTAAACCGATACTTTTTTCGCAACACCCATTTCAAAGTACTTAGTTAAAATCGATTAAATAAAAATCGCTGTTAATATTAGTTACCGAAAATTCGATTTTAAAATTTGGGTTTTACTGTAAATTTTAAATTTGGATTATTAAATTAAATTAAATCCATGCACATCACTAATGATTGTGTCTCCCCAAACCATTATTGCCGTAATGGTCATCACATACTTTTAAATAATATCTTTTACAGTGTGATAAGTATTTGATTTCAAACTTTATAAATATTTTTAAGAAACAATGTTATGTGTGTAATTATAATAATTTTTTTATCCCTTTTTAGTACGTAATGTAGCATAGTTGGTTCTGGTTTTTGAATTAAACATCTTTACTCACGGGTAAAGCTAATCTCAATTTAGTTCCGTAACCGGTAAAATCGGTTACTAGTCAGACGGATCACAAAAGTCTTCAATTATCATGAGCTAAACGGAATTACTACTAACATAAATACCGTTTCGATTTGCACATTTTAGCGAGACAAAAAGCAATAGACACATTGTATACCTAACGCGGCACATGGTACACGTGTGAATTCGATTTTGACAAACACAACCAAAAACAGCTTATCGAAAAAGCCTACTGAATTTTTTCACATAAACTTTTACCCTTTCGGATTGGCCCGCGCACAAAACGAGTAAAACATTTTACTACAACGTTCTATTTTCAAATAGCTTTTCTATGTTCGAATATTTTTTTCGATTTCTTCTCATTCACAATAACGTGATCCGTTGTTCGGAAGAAATAAAAAAACGTCGAAGAAAATATTGCTATACATAAAGAACAAAAAGTAATATCTCGAAAGCGCATTACACCCGATTCGTATGATATATGTAACGCTTACACAGGGTGATCGACTTAAAGGTATCCACACAATTCGTCGGGAAATAATAATTGAAAATTCGCAGTTACTTTTTATTTCGGATTTATTTTTGTTTATGTCATTTAAATGTTGTACAATTTCCAAATTTTTACATTTTTTTGTAAAGTTTTTAAAAGCTTCATCGATCTTGTAGAACTTAAAAATGAACAACTTAGTTTTAACTTTTATTCACTTTTTAATGGTCAATAATCAGTTGTAAAAAGTTTGAACTCTTAGAAAAATTCAAGTTTAAATATAATTAGGCGGAATGAAGGTCATTGTTGTTTTATATGTGCGCATTAATAAACCACACTTTGCCTAAAGTTAAAATCTGTTAGTGATTGCTTAAAACTTAGTTATTGACTAATCATAATTTTAAGTAGATTACAGTCTTAAGAAGTGTTGGCTTAACTAGTGGAGGGGGGAGGCCTATTAAGGTCAGACCTATTAAAAAACCCTTAAAATCCCTTCAGAATTTCGGTCGAAAGTAATTTTGAAAACAACGACACATCTTTTTTAAAAGATATAACTGCTGACGTTTTTTATTCCTTAACATATTTTATACAGCTATCTAAAAGAAGTGTTTTTAAAATGTAAAAAATTAGGCATTTTTAAGATTTTAACGATGAAAAAAAGTTCTTTTAATAAAAACTTTTAACAAATTTCAATTTCGGAAATTTTGATTTTGTAAACCAGGGTGCGCCTTAATTCACATACAAAAAAACGATGAAATAATCTCTTTAAAACAATGTTTTTATCCTGGGCTTCAGCCCCCACGATAGTGTTGGAGCCCAGTGTTCTTCTTTTGTTGTTGTTTTAACTGATCCTATCGGCGATTGATCAAGGTGTCTACCAGGGAAGAGATCAGTGACCTGTTGTCGATGGAGCAGCACATCGACCTGATCATACCCCGAGGGTCCAGCGACTTGGTGCGCAGCATCCAGGACCAGAGCGCGCACATTCCCGTGTTGGGGCACGCCGAGGGCATTTGCCACGTGTACGTGGACAAAGAAGCTGACCTTGAAAAGGCCCTGACCATAAGTGAGTAATCCGTTTAGGTCGGATCAAATTCCTATTTGATTACTTTGCCGGCGACGGTGTACTAATACGATTTTGCTGTAACAAAAGTCCGCGACTCCAAATGCGATTATCCGGCCGCCTGCAACGCCATGGAAACGCTGCTCATCCACGAGGGACTTTTTGGTGGACCTTTTTTCAATGACGTCTGCGACATGCTCAAGCAAGAAGAGGTGCGTATCGTTTGAGACATTATATTACGTTTAGTTATCATTCGTGATAGGGTATTCTATCAAACACACGCATACTACAACCCTCTACTAACACACACATACGTGCAATAGTTGGACACAAAAACCACTCGAGGTTTAGGTAAAGGACGTGTGTCGACAAAGGTCGTTGTAGAATTGTAGGGCTCGATTATGATTCTAACATGACTTATAGGTCGGTTTTTTTTATAGAGAAATTTTCTGTTGGATGTAGTTGAGAACAAACAGCGTTGTATTTTCAATAGAAGTACAAAATAAATATTATTTTATCCGTTTTCCAATTGTGACGGACTGGCAAATTATTATTAAGTACATAAGACCTGACACATTGTTTACATTAAACGGGACGTCGAACGCTGACAATTTTTTATCCTTAGTAAATAAAATATAAAGTTTTCAATAACTATATTAAATAACAAGCATCCTATCTGAATTGAAGCCATTGTTCAACAACTTTTTTTTTTTCATCATATCATAGTCAGTTTGTTACAATACGGTTTGAAGCCGTTTTCGGCCTTTTTTAAGGTATTTTATTCAAGAAAAAAAAACCAGATACAAAGACTGGTACGAAGAATGTCTTTCCTAAATTTCGAATAAATATACCTTGAATGGATATTTTTTTTATTTCGTCAGTACCAGCTCTCCCATGTCACATTTTAACAGTAATGAATTTAGTTGTTTGCTTACCAACGGTAAAATGTGGAAAAAATGGTCAGAGATATAAGTTATTATGAGTTTGATTTAAATTAATTAATTTGATTTGATTAGACTCTTCGTTGATAACATTAGTTCATTTACACACTGAAGCAGTGTAAATTAGTATCCGAAAAATAGTGGCAATCTTTATTTTCTCCTTCGCCTCAATTCCGACTATTTAAGGTCGGTCACCCTCGGCCTAAACCTGCACTCGACACGTACTTCCACATCATCATCCTCCTATCATCCAATCGGTTTTTTCGTTCTTCTTATCTTGTTTCCTCTTACGTTTATTTTCGTGACCATCTTACTGCTTCCTATTTCTCTCTCCTCGCATAACATGTCCGAACCATCTCAGTCCATTTTATCTAATTTTTGTCCGCTATCCAAGATGTATTCGTTTTGTATCCTATCTTCTATCGTCACTTAACTTATCCACCAGCATTCTCAGCTACACTCATTCCAGGTTCTATTTTCCTGTCTATCGCCCACACAACACAGTCGGTCCGGACGTAACTCATTCGGCTCCCGTTTTTCCTAAACGGCTCCCGTTTTACAAAAAGGTAAATTCCCAAACGGCTCCGGTTTTTTACAACACAAATTCCTTTTCGTCAGCGAGTTTTTTATGGAATAAAAACGAAACATTTTCTATTATTTTTTCAACAATTTTAATAGATTTAATAGGGGTTGCTACCACTTTTACCAAATTCGGAATTCGTATTGATAAGGACGGTAGGTCTCCGAGTGTTTTGGCACTCGCTCGCTCGGCGCCGTCGCTTCGCTTCGCTAACTAAAAATATCCTAGGTTTGTAGGCTAAAGTCTAGGACGAGGTTACAGGTTTAAATTTAAGTTTAAGTTTTTTTGAAAAGTTAAAGAGACTTGATAATATACGCGTAGTACCGAATACCGGAGCCGTTTGGGAATTTACCTACTCGTAAAACCTTTTTCAACGGGAGCCGTTTGGGAAAAAACATACAATGGATGGGAGCCGTTTGGGTTGCACCGTCGGTCTCGACACACTCTTGTGTGAGAGATTACCTTTAAGTCTCCATTTTTTTCAGGTACAAATATTCTCGGGACCCGAGTTGTCGAAACGTTTGACTTTCGGACCTCCCAGAGCCAAGTCGCTGAAACACGAATACGGTGAGCTAGCGTGCGCCATTGAACTGGTGTCGGATTTGGACTCCGCCATCAACCACATCCACACTTACGGCAGTGGGCACACCGAAGTCATTATTACCGAGAACAGTGGGTTTTTTTGGGATTATTGATTTTTTTTTTCTCTCTTTCTCCTAACACGTGTATAATGTTTATTTCATTAGCCGACGCCGCCGCCAAATTCCAGAGGGACGTCGACAGTGCCTGCGTGTTCCACAACGCCAGCTCTAGGTTTGCCGATGGATTCAGATTTGGCCTGGGTAAGTTCATTGAACCCAGCAAGTTATTGCTAAGCGAAACAATTAACATAAATACGTACTATTGTATAATTCGGTCGAGACGAATGGCATTCGGGTTTCAATCAAATGTATTCAACGAAAATAATGCCAACGCTGTTCGTTTATTTCTCAGGTTCATAATAAACGCGTTTAGTGATTTAGTAAAGATCAATCTCATTCTGTCATACACCAGACGCCCCCTCTCACCATCGTATTTATCGTTGGATTGTTATAAAGGAAACAAATTTGTCTTCAGAATACGTCCTCCAGCTTAGTAGTTCGGGAATTATTCCTAAGGCGACTTAAGATAATCTTGAGACGCGATACCTAATTCCGTGTTTTATCGCCGTAGTCATAATATTATAATGTTAATACCAACCTTGTTTGGCACGGAAAAAGGCAAAGAGAAAGAAGAAGAAGAATAATCTATTATGATTATTATTTATTATAATATACATGATATTATTATTGGAAAATGATAATACAACAATTCAATTTTATTTTATTCAAAAAATAAATAGAAAAATTGTTTTACTTGTTGGATATTGCCGAGGTGAAAATATGAGAAAAACTGAGAAACAGTGCGAAAATATCATGCAAATCAGATGATATTATTTCATCATTGTTTTTTAATTGCGTTACGCTAGTTAACAATATATACACGTTATGTAGTTTGATTTAATGACGAAACCATTGTTTACATAAAATAATATTGTACTTTGTACAAAATTAATGCTAATTAGAATTGGGTTTAATTTTTTTTATATATGTATTATATTTGAAATATCGAAAACTATCATAACCCCCGACAACACATTCGTATAATTTGTATTTTCCACTTGTAGACTTTGGTAATTATGAAACTTGGTGATACAATGCAAATTGATTATTCCCAAACTATTGTCATATTTAATTATTGTTTTTTTTTCGTTTGTAGAAGTTCAAATTTTGGATTTTCACGAAAGAAATTCATTTTGTTTTTTCTGTTAACGCTTATGAAGTACACTCGATTTAGATTTACAGTTGGCCACCGACTTTTAATTTACAACACATTCGCATTCGCTTCGTTTGATACACACTTGTGCACCTCTGACGTGTGCTTTTGCTATTCTGTGACTTGCACAGCTGTACTAAAAAACTTGTATTTTTGTACTTTTCAAACTTTGATAACACTTTAAATCTGTAGAACTGAAAATTAGCGATTTCATGTCAAACGCACATCTTATCGATTTGCGCGAAATGGCTCGGAAGAGGTTTGACGAAAAAGGCGGGTTTTAATTATTTTTAACTTGCCAAATCGGCAGTTCAGTTCAATCTTTTAATAAAATGTTTTTGCCGTTTAAACTCGCCATGTCCTATTGTTTAGTAGAACAGTGGAATTATAGTGAGCCAAGGCAGTCAGCCTCTACATTGTCAGCATTTCTAATCCGGAATCCCTCCCTGACGAGGGATTGTATTTCGAGTAATTAATTTGTATTTCAAGTAATTAATATAAGTGCAATAACATTGTATGTTACACCCGATTATTAGCTGTTATTTCAAAAGTATTTATCGACAATCGTAAATAGCTATTTATGTTCTTAAATCAACCAAAAAATGCATGCGTTTATACGTTCAAAATTGCCTATATATGCACTAACAAACCCCCAATTATGCACTAAAAAAAACATTTGTTAATTTAATTTTCAAACACTCAAATTGTTAATAATAAATAATTTGTTTTCAGTTTTCTACGTTTTTTTTAGTTGAGAACAACAATTGTAACCGCAGTCTAAATAAAAAAAAAATCTTAATAAAATAAATACATATAAATATTATGCAATATTTATTTGTAAATACATTAAAATAATAAAACTAACATTTTTTTTAAAAGAAAACACTTGAAACAAATTATATAAACAAAATAACTGTCTAATAATCTTTTTTTCATCTGATAATACTAATTTTTGTTATATTATAGTTCTCTATTTTTCTAAAAAACAAATCCCCTAATATTTTCATGATATTTTTATTGGTGCTTTTAGTTAAACACAATATTTTAAAAATACAAAATATGCTGTAAATATATTTGAATTTGGATTCTTTAAAATCTGATTCAAATTTTTAGCTTGTATAGCTGTTTTTCGGATCATTTAATAAAAACATGGAAATGCACGAACCTCCGGGGGGACGACACTTGACACTTGCTCCTCTCTGAAAAATAATTGTTTTTTACTCTACTTATTAAAATGCATAACAATACAAACACTAATTATTAATACTTAGCATAATGGCGTATTTACATTTACACGTTGAATAAACATTCAACTTTTATTTAGTTTACACTCTGCTAAGCATAAACTTTTATTTTGCCTTGCCCCCGCCTAAAATTTTACTTATTGGCGCCATTGAATGTACGTTTACCAAACGACGCACTCAAACTAATTGTTGCTAATGTAAAATAAAATACATACTTAACTCGATTGACTAGAATGTGTACATAACATTATTTTGCATTATTTGCACAACGTCTGTAATCCGCTGGTTTGTGCGTTGTCGTTCGTTGGAACGTCAATATTCGATCGACAAACGTTGATGCATGTATTTTTTTTCCCTTAGAATAAGTTAAGACAAAGAACAACTGCGGATTACACCCCGCCCTCCTGGTACAGCCCATAATGTAGAGCCCGTATTGAGAACTCTGACGTTAGTTTGGAAAATAATAAATGTATCATCCACCCCATCCAAAATCCGCTTAATCGCCGCCTGTTCGACCCGGCTGGGTTTAGTGATTTGGACTTGACGGCATTATTTGTGAGTGATAAAGTTAAAAATAAAAAAACCGCGACACAAGTAACAACAGGTGTATGTGGGCGACACGTTCCGTGATGTAAAATGCATGAAGGCAACAATCATAGAAAGGGAAAAAACTTTTCTCCAAGGTTTATCATTCAGACCACGTATTTTATTCATAAAAAAAAAGAAACCAATAACGACATGTGTCTGGCGGAAAGTTGCCAACACGTTTTTAATACTAAAAAAAAAAAATAAATGCTTTAAAGTTTGGAAGGGAAAATGTCGAAAAAATTATTTCTTATGTGCTTATACAGAGTTTATATTCGATTATATTCGACCTTAGTAGACCTATGTCAACGTCTCGTTAGTTTATCGCCGAACCCCAGAACGACGTTTTAGACTTTGCAAGACATACTAATACATTTCCAAACTAACACTGTGGGATTCACTTACTATATGAACCAGCCAATACCTTAGACCGAATTAGACTTGTTAAAAGTATTGCTTTTTATACTTTTATAGTTATTAGTTTGTCCGATTATAATTTATTTTTAAAAAACAATAACTCCATCCATTGTGTGTTAAAATCTAATCAAAGTAAGCTTTTTAAATGGTCAACCTATATATTTCATCAACTTTAAATTCGGAACTAATTTGAATATTTTACAAAATGTCATAGCATAATCTCGTGCTGAAAATTTTGTTTGGCGTTTTTCTCGGTTTTTGTGAGAAATGATGAACTTGTTCAACATTTAGTTTCAAAAAGTATGTTCTGGCTTTAATTCTTCGATCCACAAAGACAAGTGCGCCAGAGACAATAATAATTAATGAATAAATTACGATTTATTAGACATTTTCGTCCGTCTATATATGATGTAAATCAATACGCTATAGGCCGTTGTCACTTTTTGCCGTTGATGTTAAAATGCCTTTTACCCTTGTGATTAAATTACAACGGGAATGGGGTACGGTGCCATTGAGAGGACAAGGAATTTCGGGTTTAGCCATTAACGGTTCGCAGCGATCGACGAGCATATTGTAACGCTTTGGGAATTGGCAAGAGCAACGCGCGTCAACCGTTATAGATTTTTCATTGTATCAAGTTTAGCGAAATCGGTTTTAAGAAATATTTGCTGGTATACCTAATTAACAGTGTGGATCAGCGTAATTGGCGGCCCAAATGTATATGTACATATGTATAAGTATACGTAAGGATAAGGGATACCCTATAGGGACGAAAAACAAACGGTTTCAGCGAGTATTTATTTTGTGGGTAATTATTATTATTTCGGTCCGAATCGTGGTTAGGTATTTTCTAACAAAACAAAGGTAAGGTTTCTTTTGTTATTAGAATAATTGTTTGAAAAAAAATTCGAGCCAGCATTTCTTGGAATAGTACTATATATCGTTCGGTTGTCGCTCAAGGCACCGTGTGACTTCTTAGTACATAAACCCTTGATGCAATAACAATATTTTAAAACGGAGTTTTTTGTTTCCCAATCATTTTACCAATTGAACATTTTTTATTAAAAAAATGGACAAAACAATGAAAGCGTTTGATATACCTTATTAGAAATAAAATTTCTGGGTTATTTGTTTGATTGCTTTAAGGCAATTTCGTCCGTTTCGAGTTTTTTTTGTGGTACCGAACTATAAAAAGTTAAATAATTACAAATACCTTTGAAATGTTTGGGTTTTCAATAAAAATCAAAAAAGCTTTCATTTTAAAAACAAACGTTTGGTATCCTTTAAAGCAAAGTAAAAAAGTTAATGATTATACTCAGAGGGTCGTTTTGTTTGACGTTCATATTGGCATATATTTGTACTGCAATATTTTATAACGCAAGAAAAAAATATATTTATATTTCAATCGTATTTTCATTTTGAAACAAACACAATACAGAAAGCGGTCGGATCAAACAAAACGGTAACTGGTAAGGTTACCAGTAAATATTAGGTATAGGTTAAGGGCAAATTTCATTTCTGTTTAAATACAGGAATTGTTTAAATGCTACAATATCCAATGTTATTGTATTCTTCAAAATCACTGATTGTCAGATATCCTAACAGTTTTATCACGCCATGATGTCATTTTTAAAACCCAACAATTGTACAAATGTTCATACTTTGGTCTAACGCTTTGACCTCGAAACCATCTTTTAATCCGGGTCAGGTAATTGAACCGGGTCAGTAATAATAATTATAATTTATAATAATCACATAAACTCCAGCGTGGTGGATTAAGAAGTCAGCACTAGAAATCTAGTTGGACCTGACAGTATATATACAGTAATATTGCAGCATCGACAACTGTTGTTTTTTCATATATTATTATATTGGGTGTACAGTTGTTCTGTAGATAATCGAATGTATAGGAAGCAAGTAGTTTTACAGCACCGTGTCCGGACGTTATGGCCGCGTTAAGTAAATTAAATTTCATTCCACAGGGATTACAGATTTGATGTAGTTTCATTGACAACATCGGATTACAATATAAAATATGTGCGGCCTATCGGGCATATTTCGGTAACAAACGGTTTGGACGACGGTTTTTTGGGAACATACTGTTTGTACCCTAAACATACAATGCATAATATATTTTTACGGTTTAGGTAGAAGCGGCACGTTCAATATGGAAACCGCATATATATATATATATATAGAGTGCACCGAAACACACGTATGCATCCCCGGGGACCGTACATAGTGTTATCGTCGCTCGAGCAAGCCGGATATACTTCAAATTTTTTTTTTTTGTGGTTTCAAACGTCAAAGTTTCAACGATATTTCATATTTACGCGCGCTTTTGACGTTTTTAGCGATTGGCCTTTTTTTTCTGATTGTTTTTGTATGTCTTTTGTCTGACAAACCGAAAACAATCGCTGTTCGATTAACACAACAGCCCGATAAATGTGACGGTCAACAGTTTTCGACCGGTTCGCTGCACAGGGTGTCTTACGACTGCAGGACCGGACTGGGGACACAGTGGTATTGCGTTCTCACCTATATTGCTTGTAGAGTTTTGTTTCAAGTGCCTGTAACCTGTAACATGGTCTCTAATTTAATCAACTAGTTTTGAATCAAGTATTTTAGTTTATTTTTTTTTTCAAATTTCATCGTGAAACTGTTGTGTTCTCTTCTGACACGACAGTCTAAATTAGTGGACAAGTTTATGCTCCGTGGTATAGTGGGCCAAGTTGCATTTGTGTCGTTCGTTGTAAAAGTGAACTATCTCCTTTTTGTAAATTAATGTGTATGAAAGACAATACAAGAATTCATCCAGTGTTTTCTATTTTTTATTGAAATTTGAACTTATTGGAGTTGCTTCTCTTTTATAATGAAAGATATGACTAAATGTGATCTCGCTAAGAAAACATATGTATATTTAAAAAAATTAGAGTTACACCACTTTAACTATAAACGACCCATCTCTTTCCCGCCTTTACATTAAAAGCTAATAATTCCTTAAAGAATAATTTAAAAAAAACACAATTTTCAATCACACTATGAGAAATTTTAATCATTTTAACTGGGTAAGACACCCAATATGTATAATCAACGTGAACCGGACCACATGAATATGTGTAAAACGCAAATATTATAATTTATGCCGTACTACTAGTTGTTCGATTTATCACATAGCACAAAAAAAAAAATGCTGCAAATATATTTTTTGATTATATTTTGTTCAAAAACAAGCTCAACATTTCTGCCCGCCGGCGTTAGTCCAACATGTTAGATCTTAATATCCAGTGACACCGTATTGGAATTTTAAAGATAAAGACAGTGATATCAGCTACCCAGAGCCCTATGGTTCTTAGGTTACATTTTCCGTTATAAATTTGCCAAAACACGGTTAAGTTTTTTCGGCAGTTTTTCTTTAGCACACCTCTAACTATCAATAGCCAAAAAAATGTATTTACTTAAAATCTACCACTCCCTCTTTCGACGTGAAGACGGAAGTTATTCAAATGAATCGTTTAAAAAAACTTTTATCATAAATAAACTATTTTGATAATATGGTTAATATACAATTACTAAGTTGGAAAAATCATTTCGAAAAAGTTTAAACACAATGCAAATATTGTTAAGCATTAGTATACAGGTAGACAATAACTTATTATGTTTTCAACCTTAAAATGCTACAACTTTGCCAAAAATAGCCGGACCGAGCGGCCGTAACGCCTTACACCCCCAAAGCTCCTTAAAATTGTATCAACAAAATTGGCGCAGTTTCAAATTTTTGTATTCATGCATTTTTTTATTAGTTTGCCTAATGGAGGGGACTTGGACCTTTCGCATTATATTTTTAGCTTGTAATTAATTCATGTTATAATTTTAATTTAATACAATAAACCTGCGCAACTTGTATTCGCGAAAGTTAGCATTTATAGCTCATAACGTTTGTGCAGAAATTTATATCGGCGCCGTTTAATAAGTTTCACTTAATATTTTAAGGACAATGTGAATGTTTATTTATATTTTTGTATTTTGTGTAATTGGCAGTGATTTATTGGCAGTTATACTAGACTTTGACAAATACAATTTTACACTGGGTAATAATCCATCGAAAATACCAAATTACAATAATTAAAATCAGTGTGACATAAATTGTTCCAGAGAAATTAATTTAAATGAATTCGTTTTAATTAAGACAAAGTTTTGGATTTTCCAAAGCCGAACATTTACGGTTTAGACTGTACAATACCGTCATTTATTGATAGCTTTTGTCCTCATTCGCTGCTAATGAAATTATAAAACACATTTTACTGGCTTTGCGGCAATATTGTTTACAAGTATACAAGTAACACGGTGCGCTGTGGTTGGATGTTGGTTACAAAAAAAAAAAAAGATCAAAAATGTTAAAACTGATATTAAAACCACTTATATTTTCTTGCATTAAAAAAAATGAAGTAAAAAATACGAACCGAAGCTTTAAGTTACAACAACAAAGATCAAACGATTTTTAATGTCCATCCAATTGTTGCAAACATTAAAAGAATAATAAGATCTATTTGAAAAAAAGTTAAATGTATATTTATATTATATGATGATGTATATATTACAATATATTATTAATTGCCAACGTCATAACTACCCGAAACGCCTAAAGATATAGAGAAAACGTCAGTCTCTAATCTCTATAGTGAGTAATATTTCTCTTTCGTAAACAACATAGCTTGTTAAAGTTTGGTTGAAGTCGTACTTACTTTAAGGCCAACCTAAATAAAATATTGTTATTTTCCACACAAGTGTCTTAATGTTAGGTATTACAGACAACAGAAAATTGATTGTAGAAAAAATATTTGTAAATTATCACAAAAGGTTTAAATGTAGCCTTTTGGGTCGTCAAAAAACGAAAGTTAATATAGGTTTTGGTGTTTTTTTAATCTGCAGAATAAGCTATAAATTATTCTAAGGTGAGCTAAGGAGATTGACGATCGGGTTTTTGTCAAGGAGTTAAATGATGCCTTTTCTGAAAAATATTATGTAGCCGTTTAACACGAATACATCGGTGAACTTTCAGCATAAATAAATTATATAAAATAAATGATTTCCTTGTTATTGGTTGTAACGTGACTTCGGAGAAGCCTAAACGCAATCAACCTGTATTAAAAACCAAAGAAGTACAATTTTCGAACACAATTTATACATAGGTGTATACTTCTTTATAGTCGCTCAAAGCCGTTTAAAAGAGAGTATTCGTTTGAAAAAAATATTACTAGTTAGATATTTGTTTAACCGCTAATTGACTGCAATTCCCATAGTTGAAAATTTAAAACTGAGCCCAATAGACACTTTATTGGTGTATATTAAACTATTATATGCATTGTACACTAAATAATACGTACTGTAAAACATTTTATTTTTGTGGATGAAATCATAGATTAAAGTATATATGTGTGTACCTATTAACCACTGTCCTATACTACCTACCATATATTACCTACTTATAAAGATAGGCCTGAGTATATTGATTTAACGGTCTCCATTAGGATTCCATAAAAGTTTTATCACTGTGAACTTTAGATTTACGAGCACCTCATCGATGAAATAACGTTGCCGGTTGAAACATTAACGTGGCCTATCTGTAGTAAATGTAATCTATGGTTAAAGGAAGTCGTCGGCACACACGATGAGGCCCAGCTTGAGACAAGTTACGGTATAGGAGGCAGCCTATTATGGTTTTTCTGTGTGATTTATAGAGCTAGTGAGTTAGTAGCTCGGTGCAAGTAGGTTAGGGATCAGATATCGACGTTATTTTTTATTTTAAAATAACATTTTCATAGTAGACCGATTCTTCATTTAGCAAGCCTATGGATCAGAAATCGAAGCCAAATTCCACTCCTCTTTAAAATCGAGAAAAACGCCAAATAAGTTTACAACATTTTCAACGCACGCTATGACATTTTGACAAATAGTCAAATTAGTTCCAAACTTGTGTGGGATATCCTTTTAGATATAGAACTACCGCGGAGAACCAAGGAAAAATCATTAACCCTCTCCTTCGGGATAGAAAGTTTTCATTGGTCTCTCTTTTTTAGGTGAAGTTTAGGACTTGAGTTTTGAAAATTAAACTAAAGGTAGATTTATAACAAGGTTGTAAAATATATGATGTTATACATGGGGGATGTGTACTGGAAGAGAGTGAAGTAAGGGTATGATGACCAGAAATAGTTGTGCAGCGAAGGTTCTAAATTATTGTTATATTTTATTAGATTGTAATAAGGGGGAAATAACCAAATTTCATCGAGGCTCTCACTCACACAGTCGACGTTATCATATAAAATTGACCAATGCTTAAACTTAGGTACGGTTAGGGCGTAACGAGTGTTCCCGTAAATCGTGCACTGCGATTAGCCGGTTCGACAGCTGTTTGTGATGCAAATTTGAATACTATTTTTTAATTTTTTTTAACAGGAGCCGAGGTGGGCATAAGTACGGCCAGAATCCACGCCCGAGGTCCCGTTGGAGTCGAGGGTCTGCTCACCACCAAGTGGATACTTAAGGGCGACGGGCACGCGGCCTCGCAGTTTACCGAAGAAGGCGGCAAGACCTACGTGCACGAACACTTGCCCGTCGACCAATAGCTACCATTACTACCACAACAGCTCCTTACAATGCAAACGCCGACACTGTCCGATAGAATCTTCAGCGCCGTGATCGCGTTGTGGGCAAAAGTGTCGTCGACCACACTAAAGCTGCTCCGTGACTGATTGATTAACTGTCGGACATCAATCAATTACCTTAATATTCACCGAACACCTCATTCGTCCCTTATCCCAAAAAGCTCTAGTAAATTATTTGTAAAGTCTATTATCCGGGCATAGGTGTATCCTCGTTTGTAAATAAAAAAAAAAAAAAACCCCAACCCCCAATAATCGTACCAATTTTATTATTACTATCGTTACTTTCTTTATTTTTGTTTGCTTGGATTAATTTTATCGACTATATTATATTCATCATATGCTGTTGTTACAACGCGCGACGCCTACTTGACCAATTTGTAGGTATTGCGTTTTTATTTTTATTTTTTTCAACATTATTATTTTTTTTAATAATAAATTTCAATAATATCATTGAAAAAGATTACCCGCGAACCGTCAGACTTTTTTACTTGAATCAATTTTAACCTTATCCCACCAGCACAGGATGAACTTATATGAAAAATCACTCAACTGCGTGCGCCAGTCGTATATTTTGTTCTACACCCGTAGACACGCCGGTATAGCAAGCGTATTGCTCGCAAACAGCTAGACGGGTATTCTTCATCAACGACGGACCATAATATGCTGTAGAGATTTGTAACAAACAAAAAGTTTTGTATTGAAGTAACAGTACAAAGCGCTTACCCCTCCTTCTTCTCTCCTGAACGTTGTAAAAAACACTTTAAGCGCATCCGTCCAACAAGCAAACATTCACCTCCAACGGTAGCAAACATGTTGTAGTGCTATTTATTGGAGCATAGCAAATATGTTTTTAGTGAACATCACTTTAATGGAACGCCAAGTAAGTTTATAGTAATTATTTGGTAAACAACATTATTAAAAAGGAAATATAACGAAAATGTGTTTTTTATTTTCAACTTTGATCATTTATTTTGATGAAAATACAATATAATATGTATAATATATGAAGTAAACGCTTCGTACGTCCACGAAAAGAAAAATGTTATACGCAGCGAACCAAACTGGGTATTTTTATTTCATCAAATAATAAAAATCATTTTTATTGTTCAAGTCAAGAATGCTTTTTTTTTTAAGGGGAACTTTTAAACGTCAAATAGTTTACATATTTGATTTTCTGATGAACTTCGTTCTTTTCTTCATTTTATCATTACTTCGATTAGCGGCGGACTTTTGAAATTCAGATTTACAATAAAAAAACGAACGATTTAAAATTTCTAGTTTTAAAGTCTTGAAAAATATAACAATAATAAACAAATATTTAAACAAAAATAAAATATGCAAAAATATTTATAAGCAATACGAGAAGCTTCGAAAATGATGTTGATTTTACCATTGGGTTTTGACTTTTTAATAATTTTTTTTCTGTAAATAGTTTCAATTTGGATATTTATCTATAGATCGTATCTATAAGTATTAACAAGTCTTTAATAAGACTAGAATAACGGGTTTTATGAAAATTAAAATCTCTGTGGTCAAAACCCTAATTTCAATATACATTTTTCCATAACAATATTTCTGTCGACAGTCACAATTGGGCCAATCCAATTTTAGAAAAAAATGGGTTTTAACGGTTTTGGATCAAGTAATAAAAAATACAATCCAACAGTTCAAAACAATGAAAACTAAAATTTTTCAGATATTGTACTTGACTAAATATGGTCGACCACCGAAGACGTACTTCATGGAAAAAATAATGTGTTTCAATAAACGCTCAAGACTTTTACTACAAATGTACCTAGCAAGTACATAAGAACTATATATTTTTATATTTTCTCAGAGACAATATTATATTATCATTTTAGTTGTCATTCAACGGCTGGGTAATGTACTGTATTAGGTCTCTTATTTTTAGAAGCAACTTTTATTTGGTAATAAATAACAATTTTGAACCCTTAATGATGGTGTACGAGTTAAGTGCTAAAGAACGAGGAAACTTTTTACTCAAGTTATACCTTCAAGACATTTTTTCCCCCTCAGACTGTTCGAGATATAAAATAATAATTGTGATTTGTACGGCTCTATATTAGAATGTGACATGTTGCCTACTGAATCATTATCAATGGTATATATATATAACAACGGTTGTTCATTATTCGGAGCTCCACAGTTCGTCTTTTATTGTTTTATTTAATTGGGCGACGCTTTCAAAGTGACAACCAAGATACCACCATTGATAAGTTTTAATAAATATCCGACCGAGATCCCAATGTAAAAGACGTTTTATACAACCATATTATAATGAAAACAGTTATAATTAAACATTATTACGAGGTGTTGCTTACACTGTTCCATAAACACAAACAAAAAAAACCTATAGGAACGAAGCATAACTGGACTATGTTGTTCTTTTACTAAAACAAATTATATTATCGACGTAATGAGAAAAAAAGCTCAGAAAATAGTCTTTCGAAAAGTCGTATAAAGGTACATGGGTATAAAGTAATTATAGGGCATGTTTTCGATAACTGACAAAACTAGAGACAATAATCGACATAGTTTGGGAAAATTAAAGAAGAGATGAATGTACAGTAGCTCTGTCCAGTTAACTGATCGGATCTTGATAATTTATTCATTTCCAAAGAAGTTCAATGCATTATTTTTAACTTTTCCCTTTATTAGATCCGCATAAACAATGTCCACTGGTGGACATGATCACTTTGCTTGTAACCACTAATGCTTGCGTTACAATAGTTGTTATTTGACATGTTTCGTAATGGTGTGGCGTAGATACATTGAATGTGATGTGATGGTCATCGCATAGCATAATGCTCTGCTAGAACTTGTCTGATTAGGACTATAATATTATCGTGTTGGTGTTTTTGAATTTGTTCTATGAATTTCCATACATTTGAATGACGAAAATCAAATAACAATAGGTTTATGTAACTCGGAATTTAACCTTTCTGTGGAATGAGATGTTCTCTATGTCCGATTAATAACAAAATCATATTGTACGTCCCACGGTTGGTTGGAAAGAGAAACACGTGGGTGTACTGTCATTTGTCCAAACTGGCAAGTGACAGATACCAGATACTTTGAATTATTATTACCGAATTGGTAATAATTGTAAATATATTTCTATGGAATGTTACCTACCTATGTATGTACATTAAAAAATAAATATTTTCATTATAGCTTTGCCGGATTATAATCGTGGATTTTTTCATATAAATTTTAGGAGTAGTTTCAGATGTTTACTCGGAAGATTAGATTGATGCTAAAAACCTGACATAAGCGTAAAATACTTTACATAATTTGATTTATAAAAAAAAATGTTTTTAAGTTGTTTACTCAAAAATGTTTACTACAAAAATAACTAATATCATAATTAATAAATAATATTCTCTAATAATTCAAATGAATAAACTTGCGTTTAATAGCTGGGACACTTTGGTATGTCGGTAATAACACTTCCTGTAAAGACTTAAAAATACAAACGGTAGCAAATCTAGCAACTCAAAAATACAAAACTTTTCATAACGAAAACAAAAATATTCTCTAATTTCAAACTTACATAGTCTCATTAATCCCACAAAACCAACCCAAAAGTAGATGTCCAAGAGTAGTCCTTCTTGAAACCACACAAAGCTCCTAAACAAATAATTGAAGTGGGGTCACCGGACATTTTCTATCAGGTTTGCATATTAAGTGATATTCATTATCTAATTTGGTTATTGCATTTTTATATACAAATTGTAAATACACTTTGTTTGATGATAGTAAAACAATAAAATGTTTTTACCGTTTGTAAATTTTATTGAATTGTACAATTATAATATTTCAAGTTTTTTTTTTAATCCCCCAAAACGTTTATTAACGTGTTGGTCTTCAAAATATATTATAGATTTTTGGAATTTTATATTCCAATATGCAATTTCAATATGAACACCCGCACACTTTTGAATGTAGTTTCCAGATACTAAAAAACGAAGCTTCTTCGTCAGGTTCTGTATTATATTATGGCATGTAATATACATAAAAACAATATATATTATTATAATATAAAAAATTGGTATAAATGTATGTGTGTGTTAAGATGAATGGCTCAATTTGTGCGTTAAACTAGGAGATGTTTCAGCGATCACGTTTTGCCATTTTCGACAAGTGTGTATGTGTAATGTAGCCGTCCGTTATATACATATATTTTTCCACGGGATTGAGAATATTATGGGATATTTTTTCTCGGGCGAAACTTAATCGTGTGTAGACACGCTTGACATTTTTTATACTCCAACCCATTCGCATTTCGACGACGGTTCGAATAATAAGGATCGCATTATTGTTTTTGACGACAATATCGCTCAGCGAAAATATATGCAATCGGCATTATTATACTGTATAATATTATGTTTTCTTCCTCCGCATTAAGCTTCACCGAACACAGCGCTGTGTTATCTAGAAATTCTATTATACAGTCTCCCTGCCATCGAGTTGAAGTATCAAATCATACGTTGTGTGTATGTTGTAGAATTTGTTTTCAAAAAATACATTATGTATCGTCGCTTAAGCTCATAACTAATTGAATATCCCATTTTTTATCAAATTTACAATAGAGCAAAAACTCCATTTTCAAATTATGTGTTGCACTATTAACACCATGTTGTCTATTATTCGATTATACGTTACTTAAACACATACAGTAAAAATATAATTTTTAATAAAATTTATTAAAAAATGTGCCGGCGACACATGTCATCTGAATTTAGATTACCAAAGGTGTAAAGGTGTAATCGATATTGTATTTCAACAGTATACATAACCTAACCTGATGTATTTCAATATTCTTAAAGATCAAAACGATACTTATTTCTATAAGCCCCTTAGCAATCCATTAGATACAAGTCAGCAGGCATGTACCTATTTTGCCTATTTAACGCGCCGTTTTAATAATTCTTTGTGCTAACTTTTGTGTTATTACTACAATATTTTTGAATTTATCATCAACACAATTTATCATTTAAAAACTGTACTTTGTTGCAGTTTCGTTGGTTACAAACCATTTTATTCCAAATGAAGATAATACATTAATAGATTTTCCAAATTTAATTAAAACACGTCATCTATTTTATACGCCATATTAAAAAAATACATCAGACAGTCAGCACTATTTTAGGGGAGGGGGGTTCACTAAACTTAATTAAATATACATTTGTTCCAAACAAAAGCAATCATTTAACTCGGTTAGACGAATAAAAATTATGTAAATTCCAGATTTATACATCTTTCGTAAAGTTGGTTTTTTTCTAAACGTTATCTTAAATCATTTAAATTTGTATTAAATTGTTTTCATAAATTAGATTTGTTTTATCTAACGATCGGTGACTTTAACTAGTTAGTTTTCTTATATCTTTATAATATGTTCTTAACGTATTTTGTTAAAATTTGAAAAAAAATATTCAAATTGAAATGTT